TCAAAATCGAGGCAAGACCGTAGAGGAACAGAACGACGAAGACGTATTCGATGTGGAACCATACAGAAGACAGACCGCTCCAAATTCCAGTGACAACAGCGGCACTTACAAGCGCGATGGTGAAGTCGAACAGGAGATATGCAATCCAGAGCGGGAATGGGCGGACACCATTCGAGTACTGTAGACTTCTTACAAACCTTCGGCGCTCGTTACTGGGATAGAGGGCGAAGAACGCAGGATAGCAGGATAACGCCAGACCCATGTAGATCACCAAATTCAACGAATCGCCAGTTTGAGGATCAAAAGGAACCTGGAAAGGAGACCAAGTGGTCTGAATCGTGGTGTTGGTGAGAAGAGTATCCAGAAATTGTTGAGCAGTGATGGGACTGGTCACGAAAAGATTGGCCACGTAAGCAATCGTGGGTGGATTAGAGTCGTCTCCAAGCCAAAACCCAGTGGTGAGATTCTTCCTTTTGTCGTTGACGATATTTTGGAACTCGTCAAAAGTATCAACCAATTGCAGGTTGCTGAGGGCGGCTTGACCCCTCGAGACTCCCTTGCCCCCACCGCTGAAAATGGGTCGCAGGAGCTCAACCATCGTTGCTTGAGACAAGCTGGCGCGGGGTCCGGCGAGAAACGAGATATTGCCGCTGCTGCTGACTTGAGAAAACGCGTCTTGCGTTGTAGAGGTTGATACTTGGGAGGATGGTGAGCAGCCAGGGGTGGTCTGGCGTTTTACGTAGAGCGACGTGAGGCCAGCCGCTAGAATGGGTAGCCAAAAAGCGATAAAATATGGAAGATAGTTTCTCTTGAGAATAGTCAGACGCTTCATGAAAAGAATCTGAGCCTGTTTCACATATCCAACTTTCTGGCCATCCAGCAGCTTTAGGCCGCTCTTCTTCGGACTCTCGTCTCCAGAATGCTTTTCATGTAGTTCTGTGGTCTTTTCCGAGTTGCGGAAAGCTTCCTCATCCTTGATCTCTTCAGCCACTTGCAGGAATACGTCTTCAATTGTGGGACCAGAGAAGCGATAGCCAGGGATACCCTCTTCCTCAAGCGTCTTGATGACCTTTGCGGAAAGGCTGGAGGAGGGTGACTTGTAGGTGATGAGGTCAAGTGTTTCCTTCTTGGTGACGCCGTCGATGTCTGGCGTATACTTCATACCAGCAGATTTCGGGACATGAACCTTATAACCCCCACCGAGTTTGTCCTTGAGTTCAACTGAAGAGCCCTCAGCACGGAGAGTTCCCTTGGACAGAATGACGATATGATCAGCAAGCAAATCGGCTTCATCTAGAAAGTGAGTGGTGAGAATGAGAGTTCGCTTTCCTCGTTCTACAAGGAGAATGTCCCAGAGCTTCCGACGCGACAGGGGGTCAATACCGCTGCTGACTTCATCGACACAGCACACGGCGCTGCCACCAGTCAGCATCATACCCAGCTGCAATTTACGCTTCTGCCCTCCTGATAGTGTCTTTGATAGGGCTTTGCGCTTCTTAGTCAGGTCAATTGCATCGATGAGCTCAGTTATTTCCTGGGGCGTGGCTAGAGCATTAGGCGACTTCAGGCGGTTGAAAATTCTGAGATGTTCTTCGACTGTCAGATCGTCCCAAAGCACATTCTTCTGGGGCGCGGTACCAAGCCCCCCTGTGCCATCAATGGCAATAGAACCGCTGGTTAACTTGCTAAGGCCAGCAATGCTGTTGAGGGTGGTGCTCTTTCCAGAACCGTTAGCACCAAGCAGGGCGACGATCTGGCCCTTCCGAGCATTGAAACTGAGATCATCTACGGCAACAACGGGCTTGGCAGGTTTAGATTTCTTGGCAAAGATTCGCGAGAAGATGTTCGGGTTATAGATTTTGGTGAATCCGCTCAGCTCAACGGCATTTTCACCCAATGCTGCTCCCCCAGCGTCTGGGAATTGGATCTTCCTGCCCTTGGTAGATGTTCCATAGAGACTGTTCTCAATGATGGCGCCAATCAAGGGGTAGGCGAAAATTTGGATGATGACAAAAATCCAGAGGACAATACCCGGAAGGTTCCAGGGGCTGTTTGGAGGGGTTGCGGTCAGGTTGGTGGGCAACTGTTCCTTCTCAAAGCGAGCCATCAAAGTAATGAAGTAAACATAACTGCAAGGGGTAAACAGCACCGAGAGAGCGGCCACTACTCCTGTGCGAGGCGCCGTGATGGATTGAGCCAGGATACCGAGAAGAAGCGTGGCTAGAATGGCAGTGATACCGCTCAGTTGGGCCTTCTTGAACAGAGAAGCGAAGAGGATCGAAAATGAAGACAGCGCCAATCCGGCCAGGATATTGAAGATGATCAACACACCCGGATTCGTGTGTGTGAACACACCAGCTCGCAGGATAGCGGCGGAGATGACCCAGGCCGGGATGTAAACGATGCTAAAGGATAGGTGGTGTGAGATGATACGAGCGGCCTGCGACATCCACGTATATTTCACGGGCATCATGGCATCGATCAAATTTGCTATACCGTTCTCTCGCTCGGTGGCAATGAACCCCGTTAAGTGATACGTAACCCAGAGGATGGTGGCGATAAAAGTGACACCCATGAAGTTAATGATAGCCTGACAGTAGATCTCTCGGATGTATTGCTGCCGCTCTGGTTCCGTCAAGCTGGTAAACGCAAGTTCCCTGGTGTTGGCCAGCGGATCGGCTTCGGGGGTCTTCAGCTTAGCAATGATCCGATCGATGGCGCGTTGTGTAGGGATCATATAGACCTGGGAAGGGTTCTTGGTGTTCTTGACGCTGAACCTGACGGAGCTGCGTGCGAAGTCGGCGTCGGTCCGGATGGTGTAGTTCCAAAGGCCACCGCTCCCCTCGTTTGGCGAGGATCTCATCACCACGGCATTGAAGCAGGTCGTGACGCCGCGCAGGGTGCTACGACAGTGCCTAGGGATATCACTTTCGCTATCAATGCGGATAACTTGCATGTCCGAGTTGGCGTTTGTGGTTGCTGTGGCCAGCTGATCAAAGACTCGCTCGATATCGCCGCCAGTAAAGCCATTGTTGACCAAAAGAACCTTGTCTCTGCCAGTACTCTTGCCAACTTCGTAAGCGTCTCCCAGAGATCGAATGGTGCTGGGCGTGGCAATACCAAAGTCGGCTGGGGGGACAAAGAGGTTCCTTGCGAAGCTGAAGAAGGCGCCGAGGAAGACGGGCACAATCAGGGCCATGAAGACTGTGATGGTTGGATGGCGCAGGAGAATGGACCTCCAGTTCTTGCCCATCAGGGTCCACATCTGCTTGAGGAAAGCCATGATGTCGCACTTGACGGGGCCGCTGGGCGCAAAACGAGGATCACTTGGCGAGGAGCGCTCAACTCAGTAAGGCGGCATGAACAGACAGACGGCCGGGACGAGGGAGGAGACGAGACCAGCGGGCGATGGGGATGGCAATTGCGAAAGCAGCCATGAGCCTTGGCGCAGGTGTCTCTGACCTTGAATCCCGTCGGGACGGTTCTGGTCGAGACGGTCAGTTGCTGCGATAATGGCGATGCTAGTGATGATGCGATGCGACGAAATGGGAGTGAGTCGCGAGTTAAGCGACCAGCTAATTACCAATAGCCTGCGAGGGCGGACGTACTACGGCTGCCGGCGCCGACACAGCACTCAAAACACTCGGTAGAACGACTGGACGGAGGTCTCTGGGCATGCTGCTCTATCCTGGATGGGGATGGGCGCATGCTCCATTTATTCGTTAGCTGTTCGATGGAGGAGTCCAAAGACGACGGCCATGGAGATTTTGGGGGAAGTGGCAGTGTCTCCAGGATCCAGACCGCGCTGTGGGGCGAGCCATCTCACTATTTCCCTTGTACGTGTATACGGAGTATGGTGTGTATTGGCATCGAGTGTATACGCAATCGATCCTATCCGCCTTAGGCAGACACAAACATCCTGGTTCGAAGCTTTCATGACTACCTACAGTTCGGGGCTTGGGCATCAGGTTATTGTGCCTGCTGGCGCTCCAGGTGCAGTTCCAGCGGCTTCATAGGGGGTTTTGCTCGCTCTTCTTGACGTACGACTAATGCAGTCCACATAACATGAGACCGAGGCATACGGCAATATAACGGGCAACAATGCAGATCTGCAATTTAATCATCATAATGCGCAGTGCCTCGTGTGGACGGCTCTTTCTCACGCCGTTCCCTGTCATGTTGCCCTCGGCCTTGGATGGACCACTGGAATACGCGTTCTTCCATGGAGCGGACTCCGAACCCAACTGCGCCAAGCTCGCCAGACGTCTTGGCCATGGATTAGCTGACAGTATTCGCATTATTGGAATTAGCTTGGTGATGCGATGAGGAGTTCGGACTTTAGATCGACCCGTTGCGACTGATTTTACTCTAAAAGGTGGATCTCTATCGCAGAATGGCAACCCATTCGACGGTTGTCGCTTCAGGTTGGATTAGCCCTGGCAAACAAGGTGTGTCATCGGGATTCGGATGGCGGAATATATGCCGGATCCCTGCTCGCCGAGTCCAAGGTTCCAGATGGCAGCTTGAGACCTAATTGCTGAAGATAGTCGTCAGGGGACTGCCTGCAGTAATGCGCTGTGCTAAGCCTTCCAGTGTCGCTTACTATAGATAGCCCCCTTGTAGCTTCTGAATTTCAGTACACGTGCTGGTAATTGCTCAGATTCAAAGCCCCCAGTCAACTCTGTATACATCACCTCTCCAAGATACTATCACTCCCAGAGCAGAACAATGGGGAACCTTGCCAGTAGGTAAGGTAAGGTTGACAAGTACAAAAGTTAAAGCCCCAGAGGCGTTTAGCAAGAGCTCAGAAGGCTGAAATACCGATAAGAGATAGCCATAGCCGGCCCCACTTCTTTGATGACGCATGAGCGCGCGCATCTTAACGTGAATTCTCATCCGGACGGAGGCACCATTAATCAAGCTTCATACCCAGCCCCTAACTTCAATTATCATGTGAATTTGCTAGGGGCGGGGGTTAAAGGGGAATTATAACCTTAAAAATGGTGGGGAGAAGACGAAATGGCGCCGGCAGAGCCTCCTCCACTGCTGCAGCTGGGAGGCCGAGCGCCCCTGATATCTACCATGAGATGCTTACAGAGGCCGGCGTCTCTTCACGCCAACAACCCATCGCCGAACGGCCGTTAAAGCGGAGGCGCGTCGGTCGCAATACCGATCCAGTAGAGGATGGGCCATCATCGGCGGCCCCTGCCACAGTTGTGGACAGGACGGAGCAGAACCGTGAGGCCGCCCAGGATGATCCAGTCCCCGCGCCAACCGTGCAAACCATGGAAAGAGACTCAGACGAAAGTGAAGACGAGGATGTTGAATTCGAGGACGTCGATTTTGAAGCTTGGCTGAACGCCGGGACCGGTGAAGGGCCATCCGAAGCAGCAGGGGAGCCGGCAGAGGAGCCGGCGGAGCTCGAGCTTAACCTGACGGCGCAAAGGTCGGAAATGACACCGAAGAAGAAATCTGTTGCTCGCGCGAAGCCCCTCTCAAGGGAGGAGAAGGAGCGCCGCACTCAGGTGCATCAGATGCACCTGCTTTGTCTCCTGTCGCACGTTGCGAAGCGAAACCATTGGTGCAACGATCCCAAAGTGCAGGATTCATTAAGATCGCTTCTCCCAAAGAAGACAGTCACATACCTGAACCCTGGATCCGACCTATCACAGTTTGGTTGGACTAACAGCCTGAAAACCGGACTTCAGCAGGTAGCGGAGATATGGAACACCAAATTCGAGATCACGGAAAGAGGGCTGAGGCGATCGCTCTGGGCTGAAAACCCGGAGCAGCTTCAGGATGTAGGTATTCAACTGGACCGATTCGCGGAATTGCGCTAACCTATATATTTATATAGTATGAGGCACCGGACGATATGGAATCGTGTCTTGACCGCGAGGATTTCCGTCATTCTGCTAAGAGATTAGAGGGATCCCGAGATGTCGGGGCGCAGCTATATTGCGCGCTTTTGAGAGCCGCCGGCGTCCGCGCTCGTCTGGTGTGTTCGCTACAGCCCCTCGCCTGTGTGTCGGGGGCGCCGGTCCTCGCAAAGCCCAAGGAATCGAAACAGAAAGCCTCCAAAGCATCGAGGGCGGAGCAGGTTCGGGCCTCGATGGCCCAATATGAGGAGAGGTCGAATGCTGCCAGGGCGTCCCTGGCTGAAGGTCTGGGTGGCTCTACCGCTCTCCGAAGGCTGGGCCATCCCGGCGCAACCGCCTACAATTTCAAACCAACTGCGGCACCGCCCCCGAAGGCAAAGGCTGGGCGTGGCTTCAGTGCGCCGAAGCGCATCCGTGAGTCTCCGCAGCCGGTGTATTGGGTGGAGGTGCTAGACGTAGGGCACCAGAAATGGCAGCCAGCGGATCCCGTCGTCACGAACACATTCTGGAAACCCAAAGTTTTCGAACCAGCCATGACAGACAAAGAAAACCTCATGTCGTATGTCATTGCGTTCGAAGCTGATGGCTCAGCCAAAGATGTTACGAGAAGATATACCAAGGCATATACGTCCAAGACCAGACGATGGAGAGTTGAGAACGCTTCGGAAGGGGGTGAACGTTGGTGGCACAAGGTGATGAAATCCTATCAGAAGATAGTACCCGATGTGCTCGACCAGATCGAAGACAACGAGCTTGTGGGGGTAGAGGCCCGGGAACCGATGCCGCGAAATGTCCAAGATTTCAAAGATCATCCTATCTACGCCCTTGAGAGACACCTCCGCCGACATGAGGTATTGATCCGAGATGCGAAGCCTTCCGGCACGATTAGTGCGGGGAAGGGGATGCCCTTGGAGAAAATCTACCGAAGGAGAGATGTCAAGATTGCGAGGACCGTTGACAAATGGTATCGAATGGGACGAGAGGTACTGCCGAATGAGATACCCGCAAAATGGGTCCCGAAAAGAACCCAGCCCAAGAAGTCTAGATATGACGACGACAGGGAAGATGAGCGTGAGAAAGATGACGCCGGGATGCCGATATATACAATAGACCAGACGGAGCAATATGAGGCTCCCCCAGTGAGGGATGGGAAAGTACCTAAGAACAAGTTTGGCAACATCGACCTCTACGTCCCGAGTATGGTACCAAGGGGAGGTGTCCATATCGAACACGAACAGGCCTCCCGAGCGGCTTATGTGCTGGGAGTGGATTACGCCCCGGCGTTGACTGGCTTCTCATTCAAAGGGCGCCAAGGATCAGCGGTGCTCAACGGCATCGTAGTTGCGAAAGAATACGAAGAGGCTGTACGAGAAGCCATCGAAGGTTTAGGAAATATGGAGCAAGAGGCGGAGATAGAGAAACGACGGCAAATAGTACTACGGGTATGGAGGAAATTTATCATGGGCTTGCGAATCAGGGAGCGCGTTTGGGCAGGGGTGGACGAGGAGGAGCGGATGGAAGCTGAGCGTGAGGCTGAGCGTGAAGCCGGCTTGGACGCAGAGATTGAGGATGCGCCGAGTGATGTGACTGAGGAGTTTGATATGGTAACTGGAGATGATGATTACAATGATGAAGACTACGGTGGTGGTGGATTCCTCGTTGACTGAGGTAGAGGAGGTCCCTTTGAATAGAAATACATATCTCAACGCATGATTATGGCATGAATGCGGTTCTTCAAATACGAAGGGCTGTCCTACCTCTCCAGCCAGAAATGTCCTTCAAAGAGAGGCAATCATGCTAAGCAAGAGGTTCATCCTTTCAAGGTAGACCTGCACCGTACTTTGCTCATTGCTCGTATGGGCCTGGATTATGGAGATGGCTCACCATAGCACGCGCGGCATATGATTCGTATTAAACTTGGCACCACGATAAATTTACACCGATCAAGGCCAACAATCGACACAGTGGTCAAGCCCTTGTGTAACAATGCTGCTAGATACCGAAGGAAATCCGCGTGATCTCCGATTCCGATTTCAGACCCCTCCAGTAGCGGAATCCGGAATCAGCTCTGAGGATAATCTCTCCCGGGAAACGCACGAGGGGTTTTCGACCAGCATGTTGATTGGCAGTAATTATTATTATTCCCTCGAATAGAGATGCGCAGTTTTCAAGTATTCAATCAATGTCTGACCAATGAGTTGGGCACCTGACTGGTCTCCATAACATAAGTTGTTGCAGCATGCATGAGGTTCTGTACATTATCGTACTTGGCCTGTATAGAAAGAACCATTGAGAGGATACGGATGGTGGCACACCAAGATCACCAACGTAGAGTTTTAGCACATAAAAAAAGGCTAACCAAATAGATTGCAGGATTAGTACAAATAATTAAAGCATTTTTTTCCATCACCATAAGCAAGGTGTTTCCTAAGATTAGGCCACGCACATGATTACATGTATATCGTAAAGTTTTTCCATGGTCTATACCTAAACCTTTCATACTAAGATACTAAGAAAAGTTAGAAATCTAACACACGTAGCCTAGGAATAGGCATCAAAACCTTGGAAAAATTATAGTACGAGCTGGCCAGTATATAACTTGACCATGGTTCCCAAGGGGAATGCTCAGAACCACAACTCTCATTACACCATGATGTTAGCAATAGATGTTATTATCCCTGCCACATCACCTAGGGCCCAGTCAGGGCAAATGACTAGGTCTAGAAAACAGGATGACGATGATCAGCGACAACCCAAAGCAGCTCTATTTAAATTTGATCAAACATACAAGCCTCCCATCAGTTGGTGAACTTGGTATAGAGATGCTTTGGGTTGTCGCTGATCATCTTCATCATTTGCTCTAGAACCTGGACATTTGCCCTGACTGGTTCCTGTGGGTAGGAAACCAAAGCATGTGTTGTTTACCTATGGCTACCCAAATAATTGCTTTGACTGAATCGATACACGCAAGCTGGGTGTACTGCTCTAGTCTGCTTATTACCTACCCTGAGGTGAGCACCTGTGGGGGACAATAGGGTTTAGAGTGCCTGTGTGCTAGCGCACATCGGCGCCTAAGAGAGCTGGAACAACACCGCCAATACAAGGGCGCACCTACTGGCTAGATGTGGCCACCCCACAGGGAGAAGGGAGGATGCTCAAAAAATACTTCACCACCAGCATCAGGTCGCACCTCACGCGAATGTCTAACCACGCCTCAGCTCTTCTCCATTATCCACCTTCCATGATACCCATGTAATCTTCCATGGCCCATATTTTGCTATCACTGAGAGTCGGACTATCTCAATTCCCAGGAAGGAGCCAGCTATCTTTTCCACTCGTCCGGCTGGAGCAACGGACGCACGACGCTGCTAGCTTGCCTCACATGTGGACTCAAATCTTGTGTCATTTAAAAATGTCTCGCTTCGCCGTTTGCTATCTTCGTATGTAACCGATCCATCTAGCTACTCCCCAGCTCAGTGTGCTCTCTGGGTACTACTACGGGGGGATGCACTTGGGTAAGGAACCACGACGCGTCTTTTTTATAAGGAACTGAAGCAGTGGTATATCTTCGACGTGTCCAATCAATCGATGCAAGTCCTCATCATCAACACCTTAACGCCAAATGAGAAGAAGAAGAAAAAAAGAAGAAGAGGAAGAAAGAAGAAGAAAAAAACAGAAAGGAGGCAAAAGAAAGAAAGTCGGGCAATCGCAGCTAACAATCGCAGTCCCATTATTTGGTGATCCATCCAAGGTAATCGGCAACGATCAGGGTGACCATCCTACATTAGCAACGTCGTTAGCATACCGCCGACATCGAAATCCAAGGACGGCAGGATTCACTTACGCATGAGGGGCAATTCGGATATAGTAGGTACCGAAGCCACGGTAGAATCGCAGAGCACCTTCTTGACGGGCAACCTTGGCGAAGCAGTCAACCATGCCGCGGTAAGGGAGCTTGCCGTCGGGACCCTTTGTCTGCTTCTGGAGACGGGTCTTGACAAAGTCAAATGGCAGGCTGAAGAAGCTGGCAAAGAAGCCAGCGATCGCACTCGCGCTTAGGGTCTGGGCTTGGGAGGAGAGGCCGCTGTTCTTCAACTGCACCTTGGCTTCGCTGAAGAAGGCGAGCTGGCCAAAATTGAGAGCCATGGCACGCGCGATGGTGGGTGCGGCGCCAGCCCACAGCGCAGCTACTCCCTCGGACTTGGCAATGGACCCCAGAGCATCGATGACTGACTTGTAGTTCTTTCTCTCCGCGAGCGGCTTGAGGCCGTCGCTCTGCATGCGGATCAAGGCCAGATCTGCAGGGTTTCCGATCATGGCTGCGATGCCACCTGCCGAGAGGCCTGCAGTGGCTCGATCGGAAAACCCGATCTGGCGACCTTGCTCCTTAGCCCGGGCCGTCAGCTTAGCCATGAAGGTATCGAAGAAGCCCAAGCGGGCGGTGGTGTATACTGCCTGGCGCAGCAGGCCCGCAGACAGACCCGTGTACAGGTCAAGGACCTTCCCGCTGCCGACAATCTGTCGAGTGACCGACCAGGGGGTAGGCTTGGGTCCGCCTGATACTCCCTCGCCAGCAAGCTGGATGCGGACCTTGACCATGTCGACGGGTTGAATGACGGTCGTGGCGACCATGCCACTGATACCTCCATTGATGAAGGGTAGTGCGGCTCGGGCAAACGGAGTCTGGATGAAGCCGGTAGCCACAGCGGCGGTGCTTGTTTTAGCGGCACCAAGGACTTCGGTCGTTTTAGACCTGGCCGACTCGGCCGCTTGCTTCAAACTTCCAGAAGTCATTTTGGTGTTTCTTTTCTCGTTTACCCAAGTTTATTTGGATCTGGTGTCGAGGGGGTTATGCTCGGTTACAATAAACGAGTAATACCTCTTTTCCTTGTGTGGTCTCGGTTCAAGGAAGAGCAGGCGTCTATCAACCGAGTTGTGATTGCTCGCGGTTATCTATTGGCTCGCGGTTAACCGAGGAACTGACCAAGAAAACATGCAGAGATCGGTTTTGACAACTTTGGGGGGCCATGATGATATTATATCCTAAAGGGAACGGCAATTGATGACATAGGGCTTTGTGAGGTGGGCACAATTGGGCAAAGGTAGGCTCGGACGTATGTCAATGAGGATTCTCATGACCGACAACAGCCGGGAGCATCACCTCGGTCGTCCGACGAAGCTATTGACCTGCAGTAATCAATTGCAAGGAAGTGCTGCTGCGTGGTGTTGAGTGGGCCCAGCTGTCGGCTCGGGAAGTGCAGGGAAGTGCAGGGAGCGCGCCAAATGGGTCGTTGAGGCTGCATCACATCGAATCACGACAGCCGTGGTTGGTGGCCCGGCTGTGTCTCAGCCGGTGGGTCGCAGATCTAGTCGACGACGAGCATCGACATGAGAAGGCCTGGAGTTGGAACATGCCAGGAGGAATGGCCCAGACTTACAGGCCGGCAACCTCGACAAGGATCCCAGCGGCCGTGGATCTCTCCGTCATGCAGCGATGGGGCGTGTGAATTAAAAAACCCTACTCACATTGTCTCTTAGAGTCGACGCTCCAGTCAACGATTCGTGGCTGGGACGAACGTGCGGTCCAGCGAGTGGAAGTGGGACGTGAGACAGATACGCCAAGGCAATCGAGCTCCGCAAATGCCTAGTTCTGTCGAGCCGACGATACCTGAAACTAACGAAGAAAACGAGGCCGTCTAATAACCGAGATGCGCAGTCTGGCAATCGCTACGAGATGTACACGGCAGCAACGTTGCGTGCTCGCTCAGCATGTATGGGAGACTCGCGCAAGTAATGACAGCAGACAAAACGAGGAGGATGGAGAGGGAAACGGCGATCTTCGGCGGTTGGGAAAAAGCGATGATGGCATACTATTTGAATGGGGGAATGCCAAAAGCGCCTCCCCTCCTCATTTGCCTCTACCTCATCGATCCGACTGCCACCAGACTTGACAATGGTGGTAAAGTGAGGAGTCGTGGCGCCTCTCATCCAGTGGCCACCCTCCAACACACGTCATCTCGACCATTCACATTGCCAGTCTGGATGGAGGTTTGGCTAAGTAGATGGTAAGTTGCAACGACATATGGTGGTGTTTGACCTCCTTTACGACTAGTGCCCAGCGACCAAGCGTGCGGGGTACCGCTGAGGAGCCAATGCCTCGACGCATCATTAAACTTTGGGAAGGGAGGGGGGGACGGAGATGGATGGCTACGCGAGGAGCTGTCACTCCAGAACACCAGCCACAGGCACTCTCGACGTATTACATGGAGGAATTACGATGACGGTTCCTGGACTGGATTCTGAGGGCCAAACAAGGTCCAGCGTGGACACTACTGGCCCAAAAGTCCACCCCGGTGCTGATAGCAGATTGCTAGGCCCATGTCAAGCGAAGGACCCTGATGGGAGACGCAGCCCTGCTCATTGGCTTGGGAGTACTCAATACGGAGAAATGACACAAGAGCACAAAGCATGGAAGAGGGATGCTTGAGTGGCCTAGCCCGGACGCGGTATTTCCACCCCTTCTGATTGGCGCAAGTTGAGTGTCCAATGAACTTGGCGCCATTACTACGGATAATCGAATCCACCGCAGGGACAATCGGGTCTGGGCATTGGCCTGAAGGTGATGCGAGGGCTCTCAGTGCGCTGCTGCTCTGATCCTACCACAGCATGTAAGTGCGCTGTTGGTCGGTGGGCCTCAGTGGACCTGCAGCGGACTGCGGGGCTCCGCCTAAGCTCTAGGCCCCCAGAAAGGGAACTAACCCAGTGCATTGCCAGCGGCCTGAGACGCTAAGCAAGACGCCGACCTACGACTCTCTTGTCGGGACGCACTTTGTATCACCGAACCCTGAGATCCTCGGTTAAACTCACGAAAACGAAGCATCGACAGCCGAAGTCAGCAAATTGCATCGTCTCAATATCGTCTGATCCTATAGATACCTGATACCTAGACGGACAAATGAATCATATCGGGAGTCTCCTGTACCCAATCATCTGCAAGGTTCCCCTGAAGGTTCATTGGGGCGTTGAGCTCCCACCAAAATGACGTCGTTTAATGGTGTGCAGCTCTACTATCCCCAACGGCCGCATCTTCCGATAACGGGCATCGAACCTTGGTAATGCTTTTAATTTTCAGCATCATCAACTACTAGGTATTCGGTCCAGCTAGGGCAGCTTGGCGGGACCGGCTGCTATACCAAGGAGGACGGATGGTGGGGGGAAACCGATCCAACTCACCATTTTCATCCTCCGTCCGTCATGTTATCACAAGAAGCAACCGCGATATCCACATCTTCAATTACGTCGTAATAAACTAGGAAATGAACCATGATGCCACCATGGGTCATTGTTTGGTCTGACAATTATTGATTGTTCATAACCCTGAGAACTCCCTGGACGATTCGTCATGATAGCCGTCATCCGGCAAACGGTTCGGCTACAGTCAACGTCTTAAACCGAAAACTCCCGCCGGCCCGGTCAGTTGCGGCATTGTCTCATCACGAAGATTTCATAATTTACAAACCGCCAGAAGCCTACGTGCTGCGCCCGCTTGGCATCCCGCGGAAATGGCTGCCTCGTCGGTAAGCGCGCGCTGAGCGGGCTGTGATTTGTCTGCCTTCAGGCACCAAGCGAGGGTATACCTGCAGCTAAAACGATGCGAGATCAAGGGTGGAAGGTGGGAGACAAGACGACGTGGGTGAAACTGCAGATTGGCGTCTGAATGTAGTATCTGTCTACATCCACCCCCTTTTCCCCTTTCTTTTTTGAGAGCTCAACTCAGCTTGATTCGTCTGTGATGGATGCACGTGGTAAAACAGAGGCTAGTTAGTCGAGTTGATGGAATGTATAATTCTCTCTACTCTCGATTCAACTTAGCGTCCAGCCTTGGGGGCTGCAGATGCAGACAGACTGCACACATACCGCCATATTGCTCAGCCTATGTGCGTCCTCTTATCTCATGCTAGTACCGGCTTGCATCAACGAAGCGCACATTCAAGGCAGAGGAAACCCACTTGCCATCAAATATAGCTAATAGATTGTGGACAACGACTAACCGGCATGAAGCTCCTGACTCATAAGACGGAAAGGCCCTCGGTGCCAGCCAGTTTTGTCATAGGAGCTTCAAGCCTCGGATAGTGCTCGCCCTCGCGAGGTCGGCTTAGTTACTTGAGGGGAATGTCCCGAGTCGCCCTCCGTCGATGACAATCACCGTTCCGTTGCAATACGCCCCGGCCCGAGAGGCAAGATACAACAAGGTTCCGCCCATGTCCTGACTAGTTCCCATTCTCCCTAGAGGCACCATCGTGTTGGGTAAAGCGCCCGGGCCACCTGAGCCATCCGAGTAGAGGTTGACGATGGGCTCCGACATCTCGCTCGGAAATACTATGGCCGGAAAACTAAAGTCAGCATCCCCACTCAACCTCTTAATCCGAGATGTCGGATCGGATGGCGGTTTAACAGCCATAGTAAAGAGATGGACGGGATAAACTTACAGCCTGGCGCGATGCAATTTGCTCTGAGGATCAGAAATTTGTACTCAGTCAGCAATATGGTTCTCGTTCACGTATCCGGCGACGGCAAATCTCGAGAACTCACCGGATATTCCACTGAGGCAACGCCACGGCGAGCTGTTTGGCCGCCAGCGTGGCCCCTGCCTTTGATTGCCCGTAGGCCCATCCGCCGGGTGCTTTCTTGTTAAAACTGGCAATTGAGCTCGTGATTATTACCTGTGAGGTTTGGTCCAGATTCCCCTTCTTATTACCGAGGTCCAAGAGCTTCAGGCAGGCCATAGTGGTGAACCAGACGGCAGCTGTGTTCACGGAGAATGTCTGGACATAATCATCAAAGCTGACCTCTAGATTGGCCTTGGCCCACTCCTCGGCCGTGGTATCGGGTGTTGGGAGCTTAACCTGCGGCCCTCCGATGCCCGAGTTGCAGACGAGTAGGTTGAGGTAGCCGCTGTCCTTCTCGATGGTCTCTACCGCCTGTGCCAGGCTCTCCTTGGAAGTCACATCGCACTGGATCGGGATCACGTTGGAGCCGATGGAGCTCACGGCAGAGTCCAGGACCTCCTTTCGCCGCCCGGCAATGTAAACTTTGGAGGCACCGTTCTCAACCAATGCTTTTGTAATCATCAGCCCAATGCCTAGCAGGGTGTCAGTACATTCCTCACGTGGTCGTATTGATATGTCCGAGGCCTCTGCTCTCGTGTCCCACCTGTTCCTCCTCCAGTGACCAGTGCCACCATGTTGTCCACATTGAACAGCGCAGAGGCTGAGAGGCTGCCAGGGGAAGTGTTCTTGGAAGCCATGATCACAATGGTTGAGGTCTTGAAGCTGTGTGGTCAAATGAAATTCAATACACCGATATACCGTATTTGTATGTACAATGTCGATTATTTGGATGAGGTAGTATTCCGTAATACCACATCAATTACCAATTGTCCTATGGCTATTTATCTCGTTTGGGCGTAATCGACGCAACCCCGCCAGTGGAGCTATCTTCACCCCGCCATCGTCATTGCGATTTGGTCCCTGTCGGCCGTTGTACAGCGGTCTTATCCACACTGTGTAATCCATACCCAAGCCTTACAGTGCATCTTCCCAATTCATACTCCCAGCTCAAACCGACCGGACCCAGTTAATTTTTTTGAAGATGGTCCAAATCAGAACCTCTAGAAATCATATCTAGAAAGACCTCCCGGAACAGAAACAACACAATCCACCATGTCGAAAAGAAAGCGGAATTCCGAGCCCACCCTGCAAGACCAGCTCACAAAGAGCCAGGATGAGCTGTTCCGAGCCCTAAAAGCCGCCAAGGGCTTCGAGCGACAGCGCCTCAGCAAGCGGCTCCACGAGGCTGGCATCACGCCCGACAAGCAGGAAAGGCTGGAGCGGGAGGTTGCCGTTCTCAAGGTTCGATCCCACATCTAACACATGTACTCCAATCGCATGGGTTCTCAGTAGTTCCAGAGATCATTTGGCTAACTCTGCCAACGCGCAGTCACTCGAGCTCCACCAGACCGCGCGGGCGCACCTCTTCTCCTCGCTCCTCAAGGTGAAAGCGATCGCGGCGTCCACCGACCTCCCCGACGAGATACGCACCGGCGTGCCCAGGCCCGAGCTCTCGGAGGAGGAGAGGTCGGCGCTGCACAATGTGACGAGCGGGCTGTACAACAGGAAGCCGGTCAAGGACGTCGTGGACCGGGCGGTTGGGTCGGTTTGCAAGCTTCTCGGGGTGCCGGTCCCGTCCAAGGGGAAGCAGGGGAAGAGTGATAGACGTGGGGATGCGGAGGATCAGCCGGCCGATAGGATATCCCACGAGGCCGAGGACGAGGTCAGTCTTCCTCCGGAGAGTGGTGATGGGGTGGGCGAAGAAGACCCGGGTGAGGTGACGGATTTTGAGGGTTTCAGCGATGATGGCGGACCCGATCCTGAGGTCGCGGATGATGCTTCGGACAGCGAGGGTGAGGACGCAGATGTTGAAGAGGGTGATTTTGCGGAGTACGGTCATTTACTCGGGAGCTCCTCGGAAGATGAGGATGTGGAATTCAACGACAAACGGTATGATCAGTTCAGAGGCCGAGAAAAGGTCAATCTGGATGACATCTCAGTTTCGGGGTCCGATGCAGACGTGGAGGTTGGAGAGGAGAGCGAGGATGATGAGGAAGACGAGGAACAAGAAGAGGAGGAGCAGGAGGCTGAGAGCGACCAGTCGTCCTCACCCCCGCCCCCAGCAAAGAAGACAAAGAGGAGCAAAGATCCCGGCCCCATCAGGGACTCAACCTTCCTGCCGTCCCTGATGGGGGGCTATATGTCCGGTTCTGAATCAGCATCAGACGTGGACGTCGAGGCGCCCAAGAAAAGACGCGGTCAGCGGGCTCGGCAGGCCATCTGGGAGAAGAAGTTCGGCGCCAAGGCTAAGCATCTCCAGCAACAGAAGAGGAAAGGAGGCAGAGATGACGGATGGGATATGAGACGAGGGGCCGTCGACGGAGACGACCAGGGTCGCAGGACGCCATGGAAAAAGGGTGTGAGCAACCCTTTCTTAAATAAGGGCAGAGGTGATGGCGATGGTTCTGGTTTCCAACCAAAGCCGCAGCCGCCCAAACCAACCAAGCGGGATGATGAGGGAGTACTGCACCCCTCTTGGGAGGCGGCCAAGAAGGCTAAGGATGCTCAGAAGGCAATCGCTTTCTCTGGAGCGAAGATCGTTTTTGACTAAAGATACCACAAAATTTTGCATCATCAAAGTTTAATTACAATGCCATTCTATTAGAAGTGCTCAACCTCTTATGCCTTGCATTGTACATCTCTAACAAACATTACCCGCTATGAGAAACGTGTTTAGGGGTATTTCTGCCGTCTCATCTACCCATCTTCGATCTTCAACTCACTCAGCCGCCCAAGCATTTGACCTTCATCGATCTCTATCTTTAAAACATTTCCTTGAACTGAGCAAAGACAGTCCCGTCACCTCCGAATGTACCATTGCCTGATTCAGACCTTTGCATTTCAGGCGCATTAGACCCTGAGTTCTCCTCTTCCTCGCCTCCCGGGGTTTGTACTCCATTCAAGCCAACATAGCCTTCAAATATTCGAGACATCTCGCTTTGTATCATTGATCCATTTTGATCCACCGTAGCTCCCTGTTGGAACTGCCCAGCTGGTAACGAGGGCCGTTGAAAGGGCGAGGGTCTACCAGAACCAGAATCCAAATGTCCACGAGCAAGCCCAATCATGCCAAGAGCAGCTGTGGAATGAGGATCGTCATCTGGATTCAGGCCAAATCGAGGTGCAACGTCCTTGAGGGACCGTATCGTTCTCCACAAACGCTTCGACACCCAGCTCTTGGCGGACAGATCTTTCACCAACTCGAGGGCCAGGTAGAACTCTTCGCGACAAACTGCGCTAAATCGCACTGGCGCGTGGACAGATGCAAGAAACACAACTCCGATGGCAGACGTCAAAAACTGGTTATAAAACACCTGAATGCGACGGTAAAGATTTGTTGTTGTGTTGAGATGGTTGAGGTAACGGATCGTGTCCTTGGCAAGATCGACAACTCGCTGAGCTTGTATGGGGTTGGCCATAATGCTAGTAGCACTATGCAACACTGGCGTGTATAGCCAAATGCGAATCTAAAGATCATTAGCTTCCACCTGATCTAGCATATCAGGCGACATACCTGATTAAGTCTCAAATACGTCCATATCCGCAGACGTTGAAGGTTATACGAGGGCGTCAATGTCATGTGCCTGTCCTTGTCCCAGCTCCTAACTTTGACCTCTTCAGGAACAGTTTCATACCATTTTAGAATATCTTTATCAAGATTCTCGATCTCTTCTTGGCGCAACTCTCTTGCCAGGATTGGTCCAAAATGCATCACTTGACGCCAGACCTTGGCACATAGTTTTGAGTATGTAATCATAGCCATTAAATAGGGGTATTCCTCCTAAACAGTACCGTTAGAAATTTCGCCTCATGAGCTTTTAGACATTCATCCGATTTGTCTTACCGGTACCGGTAAGTGAGGGTCGATATCATCATCCTGTACGACATATGGCAGCCCAGTACCAAAGGCCCACCTACGATCGAGAACGTAGGCAGACCAAAAGCTATTCAGGGCATTTTTTCTGTCCAGTTCATTGCGAATGCCCAACAGACCGCTTCTCTGGTGAATCCCGAGCTCGAGACACAGTCTGGCAACCTGACCCATCACTCTCCACGAAAGCACTTCATCGTTAGACAGGAAGCGATAGCCTGCCAGGAGCGCTAAGAGTGGCAAACTCGATACATCGCTCGTGTCTGCCATCAGCTTTCGATTAACAACTGCTTCCATGCTGTTGTAGAGTCGTGCAGCTTTTTCGCTATGGCCATGCTCCTCAACAACAAGCCCACAACACATAACCATCTTCAGCTGCAGCGTCTTCTCATCATTCAGAGCTTCTAGCGGTTGCTGATTTTTCAGCGATTCAATCACAGAAGCTAGGCTTTTAGCATGAGAGATGACAGCTTGGATGTCAAGGACAGGGTACATTATCCCAACCTCCTCTTCGTGTAACCGGCATAGACGAACCATTTCGTCTCTCTCAAATTCAAGCAACGGATCGGGAATCGCCTGCCCGGACTTCTCTACCATTGGCAGCTGGTTATCCTCCAAAAATTGCTGAGTCTGGAGGTCATCGCCCTCATTCGACACCTTATACCCCATGTTTGCCATTGTCGTGTTCGCAACATCCAAGCTATATACCATGGTCGTCGGCCCTCTGAAAGACCCTTGCCTGGTGGAAAAAGCTTCAGGGCGATGCACGGTGCCTCCACTATGGGCTGGCGTAGGCGCGGAGGATATCGAGGCAGCCAATCGATCTGTCGGGGGAGCCGGGTGCGCAGCATCATCCTGCAAGGCTTTGACGGTTTGATTCAGCCAATTGACCTCATCCTGCAGCCGACTGATCTGTGCTGTGACCTGCTTGAATTCGTCCGAGTCTTTGAAAGTGCTGGAACAGCAGTTGGGGGCGTACAGACACGCCAAGTTGAGGTTCCCGCATCGTTGGCACGGTGTCTCACCATTGCATTTGATCTTGCGTCGTTTACACTCGTTACTAATCCAGAACGGTCAGTCATAAAGGGACCTATGGCGCGGGGAATTATCGATTATGGCGGCAGGGCGGTAGTGGTTGGTTGGACAGAAAATATCCGAGGTGCGTATGTCTTACCAGGCGATGGAGATGTACTGTACGACGGCGGATACGAGAATTAGCGGGAGCGAACTTCTACAAAGCACCTGCTGCAAGCCACGGTGCGCACTAGGCCGAATAAAAGGTGGCAGTGAAGTGAAAGCATTGTACGTACTCTGTTCCTTTTGCTCCTGGTCTGTTTGCTGGCACCGTCATCCACTGATTTGCGCTTGTTGGAGCTGCTGTATGGAGCTGCAACTGCTGTGGCGGTTGGAGCGGAATTGTCTCCGACAGATGCGGAACCAGGACTGTGCTGGGGCACCGGGGTGTCGTAGACTGATGCAGCGTCGCTCAAAGAGACGGGAGCCTGGGCGAGGTAACGCAGGTCCGTGGCCTGGGTCTCAATCTGCTCCATCGTGCATCGACGGCCATCCAGAGGCTGGAGACAGCAATGATGTCGCTGGATGAAGCGGAAGCAGCAACTGCATAGCGACGACTTTCAGCTTGCCCCGAATTGGTCAGTTCCTCTGTTTCCCCAGGATGAGAGACCACGTGACCGCCCGTCCTCTCTTGCCTCTGGACTGCGGGTAAATTACCCTCCGACCCAGCCTGGGCCTTACTGACTACCCTGCAGCTCGTGAATGCCTCTTCGATTGATCAAACTGCGCCTAGAGTTTGTTTCGTAGAGGAACTTAGGTGACGTAGTGGGAGCAAATCGGCTTGCTATTAGTCGCATTTCCTAAAGTTTGGCGTTTGTCACTCGCTAAAGGTGAGCGTAGCTGAAACTTTCACTGCGCAGACCTCTCCTCCCACCCTCGCTTATAACGACCAAACAGACGAAGAGAAGCCAAACTATCACCGGAATGTCGGGGTCCCATTAATTTCGGCATCCTACAATCTAGCTTCAAACGCCAATTGTTGGTTGCTACGTCTGGATTTGACAAACTGACACAGTTCATCCTAGCAGTTTGCGAGGTTGAACCGCCTTGTGACCCTACAAGGTGTCCTACAAGGTGACACGGCGGTGTTTGCTTCGCTCCAATGATTTCATACGTTGACCACACCAAGCCACGGACTCTATCCGGGGAGCTGGCATGATGGATATTTCTTGTAGCTAATAATAATGAGGATGAATCATTGAATAAGTATTAGCTAACATCATCTATCTATTGTTACACATTACATTGGAAAGCATTTGTTGTTGGCTTTCGCCACAAACAAGGGTATATCCTAAGATTAGCCAACACATGATTTGGTCTAGTTCTATAGTTTTCCCTCAAACCCAAACCTTCCAAACTAGAAAAGGTCAAACAACAAAACATCCAGCCCGGGCACAGGTATCAATATCTCAAAAACTCTAACAGCCAGGTATATAATTTAGCCATGGCCCTTGAGAGGGGAAGCTCATCCTCCATCAACCACAACCACCTTTCCAAGCGAGTACTCATCACTACCAACCACACCTCTCTTAGCAACAGCACCAACAGCAGTAATGTCAGTATACAACAGCGATATCCCTGCCTCTCAGGGCCAGGTCAAGCCTCATTCAAGAGATGATGACGGTCATCAGACACGATACACTACAGCTATATTCCGACCTCGTTCATAATACACCCCCTTGATTAGTCGAGGGCTTGCTTGCGGCAACAAAGCTACTTACAACAGCTTAGATCCAGCAGTTATGTCTGTTGGCCTGTCCATTTATTGTACGTCCTGATGCCAGGCACCACCACCACAGGCACTTATGGAGGACAAGGATTGGCTCGATGAAGAGCCATATCAAGCGTCATTATATGACTGACTGCCACAATAATGCTGTCGAGGTACCCTTGCAGTCTTTGTTTTTGTGACAGGCACTTGCCTACATACAAAACGAAGCAGGATGGCTCTGCCCCCTCCCAGCGAGTACAGAACGCTGTACAATCTGTCATTGCTTGATGAGCCAAAACTATCCACAAAAACCCAGCATCACTACAGTTCACGGAATATAGTGTTTCCTTGTACCATTTGGCAATTAACTTGAACGTGGATGCGGCAACCTTCCGAACTTCGAGATGCTAGGAAAATCTTGGAGATGTTGAGAATGAATTCCCTTCCCCCCCTCACGAATGCCCAAGTTCGACTGGAAGACCGAGTGCAACTGCTCATCGAGCCCGGCACCCGTCTGGATTTCCATACGGGCCACGAAATTTTCCTCGCCGTCCTGAAGCGGCACATACAAAACTATACCTTCTCAAATTTTTCCAAGGGTTTATTTTCTTCTTCCCATGTCCATCCCATACAAGCGAGTAAAAATACCACCACCATCATCATAGCCAATCCATATTCTACTCGCAGCCTGGAGTCAGTTTCTATGTTGGACGCAGATAATATCGCGAGCCTGAGTATACCAAATCCTCCTCCAGAACCATATTAGGGAATTGTCATGCTTCATGGGTTGGCATCAATTGTTGTTTTATTCTCTCAGTATCTCTCTGGCCTCGCTACTTTGTGGGAACCACTATAGTACCCGCCAGGACCACATCTACCCAAATGATCAGATTGATAACCCACAGCAGCAGATCTTTTGGATCAACTGGTTTCTCGATGGCCTTCGAAGTAATTTCCCTCGAGTCCAGATCGTTCCCAACAGCACTATTGGCTCATCTGATACTGAGATGGGTGTTATGAACTGGCTGAACCAAAATCCAGCCGCCCTCAACGGCCCAAGGTTCCCAGCCCGACTTGCCGGCAATCTTCGACTGAATGAAGTGGTGAGTCAACTATATCAAGCGCTCAACATGTCTCATTGAACCCTAATGACCGAAATCTCGTCGCAGGTAATTGAAACAGCGGTGCTTGCGCACAAAACCGCCTTCAACCCGTTGAGTTCCTCCCCCGAAAAGCGCAAGGCTATTACGAACTGGACCATTCCACATGACAGAAATGTTCAGGTCGATCCGCAAATCTTTCATCTCAAAGGGACGAAATACAGGATTGAAGTTGACTACAATGGCAGAGAATCAAGCCCCATCTCCCTCGTTCAAATCACAACCACAATGGATGTACTTCTTCACCGTACATCCATATACCTCATATTTCATGATTGACTGGCTCCTCAATAAATTCGAGATCACATTTCCGGAGCTGATCAAAGACCCAACCCGTTTGAAGAAGGTTACAAAACAAATTCTTGAATCTTATGAGGGGGATACCGAATTTCAACAACTCCAAAAGAATGATCCTAGGCGATGCACCAGCTTTGCCCCCCAAGTTGTACGAATGATCGAGGAGCCTTGGACCGTTAGATCAGTCTCCGTCCCCGGTCAGGTTGTGCGAGCCGTAGTTGTAGCTGGTGCCGTTCTTGTGAGAAGGGTCACCGAGGAGAATGGTGGCGATTATTATTTGCGCCATTTAGCACTTGGACGGGGGCTGCGTGATGATTTGGGAGGTGTATAATTACCATTCTTGGTGACGTTTGTGGGAAGACAACCTGCTTCCCCTTGCCGACCAGCATCCCGCGAATAGCGAGGATGTCGCCGTCCCAAGCCATCCTCCCGTGGTTCCCGAGGGTTTTGCCACTCCTGTTGCCAACCGCCGTCGCAACACCCTCGATCCTGCAACGCGCGCTTCGCGATCCGGCCACGGTTCGGTTGCTTCATCTGCCGCTTCTCGTCTGAGCTAGCGAATCGTTGATAATGCCATTTCTCCTCCGGCTGTGAGAAAGAGATCATCCTGGGCAAAGTCAACGCTGAAATGGGTCAACTGGCTTTATATAATCACATATCCAGCGTTGTTGCTGCTCCAACAGCTCTCTTCTGGCCACTGACCGTTGGTCTCACATCAGCAAATATTCTGCGCTTCAGCCATCCTTCCCATCATGCCTATACCCACAGTCGACAACTCTCTCCTCTTTGAGTCCATCCCAGTGAAGCCGGGACAGGACCATGTCACTCGGCACATTTTTGACGAATACAACGCTGTCAAGGCACCATGGACTAACGACGACCACCACGAATTTTAATCTACATCGTCATTCGATGGTGGCACTTCCAGACGGGTTCGACCATCACCGACCCTAACCGTACCACTGGCACCACTCCAGGTACCTTGATATTTGACCTGTCGCTGCTTTCTAAGCGCCAATAGATATCTACACAGTCAAAATAGAACCTCAGGATGATCTCCGCATTATCATTGGCACTATTCTAGATGGGTCATCTCTTACCAAGATCGAGGGTATGACTATCAACAAATTCATCCAATAGATCGAATCACCAATAAGGCTTGGCAGACTGTTTTTTTACAGTTTTGAGTATGAGGTATTGATCATTAAATATCTATTGTCTCACGTGAATGAGATGCTCCATGGCAATCTCTATGATATGTTTCGATATCAAATGAATCGAACTCTTTTCGAAGAGACTACTGGATATGGGTAAACAACATACTAGGTAGTTTTCAGATGAACTTTCATCCGCAACAAGTCCGAAGGCGGCTTAAAGCCGGCCGCTATCAAGAATCACAATAATTCACTGCCAAGCAAGATTGACATCTTGGCTTTACGATATATCGATCCCTGCTCATTCAACGGGCAAATTGCAGCCAAACTCGCATTGCTCGGTCGTGTGGATTTAATAATAATCAGCAACATACCGGAGGTAGAAGCACGATCAAGCTACATCGTCGAATCCCGCTTTAACTATATTGCCGAAGATATTCGCCGCAAGGTCGAAGTCTACGACTACAGCATGGTCAATAAAGCCAACAACAGGATTTTCAAAGGGCTGTAGACACGCCTTTCCAGCCTAGAGGAAGGGAAGACGGCCATAGAGGAGAAAAACGCGGACCTGGAGACCGAGCTCACCAGTCTTCAAGGTAAAATCGCCGCGCTCAAGAAAACAATGTTTATACAATTTTTATCTTCAACGCGGAAAGCCTGGAGATTCTGCGGTGATGAGTTGGGCTTATAATTGCGTAGATGGGTGCGCAGAGGTGAAAGAGAGTGAATCAGGTACTAGAAGAAATAGTGAAATCAATCCAGGGAATACAGTATCGGATAGAAGTAATAGGAAATCTCTGATTGGACGACGACTTGATATCTTACCACGCACCGAAGGGAATGTAAAGCTTGGGCTATCCTGAGGCTGGACGGCATAGTTGGCAGCCGGCGGTACAGGAGGGGCGGGCGGCTGGCCAGACATGATGACAGTGGCAGTGCGCACTTTGGCTCGCTATCCTGCTATACCGAGCGGTGGGTTCCCTTCGAGTGCGAGCTTGCTGTCATGGTGGTCTGCACGGAAGACGCCGAGGGTAGCACTAAGCGAGTAGTCACAAAGGCTCAGGACATGGCTCCTGTTGCTTGAGAAGCAGTAGTAGCGTCGGCGCTGTTGAATAAATGCGTCAGTACAACCTAAATTGAAATACAATATTCAGAGCGTCTCTCAGGACAAGAGGGACTCATGAGTCGTAATGTGGATCAACACAGGTGTTTCACGACGGCGTCAAGGAGTTCAGTCTATATGTTCAGGGTTTCCTGAATTTAAAAACTGACTTTTAGTGGCGATGAGCCCATCGGAATAATCGAGACATTCTCTGAAGCCCTTATTGAACACTTGAAGATTGAAATCGAAACAATACTGGGCCTGGAGGAGGTCGGCGAAGAGAGAATGGCGGAAATACTGGACATCAATGCTCAAGCGGTAAGGAAAGTTATGGTAAGGACCTGCAGTATACCCATTAACGAACAACACCCGCTGGCTGTCTCTCCGTACAACAAAATCGCAGGGCATGACCGCCGGGCTGCTATTCGCCATCGCCAACTTGGATCTTTACTACGAGGGCAGCATACATGCTAAGACGTTCCCACCCCTGGAGGCAGTTGGGCCGCTCTTCGTGATTCGACATATCGGATTCTGGTTTCATCGAGATTGGTGAAAGTTTGTTTCCTGTGACAACTTACTAGGTAGGGAAAAGGCTTAGGGAGCCTGTAGCCTCTTTATGCTGTATCGAAGTAGTCAAAACATAACCACTCTGGGCAGAAAGGTCAATTCATATGGAATGTTGCGCTTATTTATTGATAAGGGCTGTGGTTTTACGAGGAGTTGGTGGGTTAATGGTATGCTCGCCTAGGTATCCATGGTTGACAGTGTTCTCTTAATGAGAATTATGATGAATATTCCTATTATAACTGACCCTTCTCGTCGTCAGTCAAGTTCTAGTAATTCTAAAGACTTCTCTATGAACTGTTTATATTGTCCAGGCAACCGATCTTCAGATAACCCGTTCAACGACAAATCGTCATCCGAAATGCCTTCGCTGGCCTCGTTGTCTGTCTCTGGTGGTGTCGATATCCCAACTATCTTGCTACCGTGATCCTTGTTGCGCTTGAGCATGCACATCTCCACCGATATACCAGGCCCGAATGCGCACCCAACGACGTAGTCACGCACATGGCCATCTGGAGCGAGGGCATCCATTTCCTTGTGCCGCAGCCGGTCCATGACGCTGAATATCGTTGCCGAGCTCGAGTTGCCGTGGCTTATATACCTATCGTAGCTTGCCCGCATGTGCTCTGGCTTGATGCCCATGATGCGCTCGGCGCCTGACAGTATTGTCGCCCCTCCTGGGTGCATGGCCCAGTCAAAGTCGGCGGCTTCCCGGCAGCTTGATGGCAGCTCTGGCAACTGTGAGAGGAGAGATTCAAATGCCGGCTGCATGGATGAGCCGGCCAGCTTTGGGACTCTTGGAGTCAGCACGACTTTCCATCCTGGTTTTTGACACTGGTTAGTGACACCTTGATCTATAAGAGCGGTCTGAATGTAGGATCATATCTCACCGAGAGGATCTACGTTAAAACCAAGATCACCATCTGTATCTGGAATGATCCGGTGATCCCATCCCAGAAGTTCGTAAACGGGGTCTCGTCGCTCCCCAATCCCGTTGCTCAAAATCAAGGCACTCGCACAGTCTGAGAAAAGGCAGGGACCAATTCTGGTCTCTTGCAGCTCAATTATACTGTCCAACTCACTCCGGATCAGAATCGTGCTGATCTCCAAGGCAAGGCACAGAACGCGAGCGGGTTTTCTCCGTGCTGAATGTCCCAGAGCCAGATTGGCAGCCGTTCGCAAGGCAGCCAAGCCTCCACTGCACCCGACTCCATGCAGAAGTACCTTCTCGACTTGGTGGGAAATTCCAAGCTCTTTAGCAACATAATGATCGAACCCTGGATTCGAGCTGTCCGTGCAAGTCGTGGAGACAATGTGTGTAATCTGGCTCAGGTCAATGCCTGCCTCTTTGACAGCTTTCCGGGCGGCATTGACAGCGAGCGGTAGCCCGAGATTGAAAAACAGCTCGTGAATCTGCTTTATGGAAGGGGCCGTCTCCTGATTGACCAGCGGGTGCTCTGGTGTGCCGATTGATGATCGTGCTTCGATTCCTGTAAATCTGTTGATGGAGAGCATCTTTTTCATGCTAGACGCAGTTCAGTCCAGCACTAGGAGAACCCTCGATTATTACTTTATAAAGAAGAAATACTTACGCATCTGACTGAGGATAATACTTCTCGCTAAGGATATTCAATGCATCTGGCTTGAGCGAGTGAGGCGGGTATTGCGTCCCAATACCGAGGATGGAGAGGGCCAGTTCCCCGAAGGAACTGACGCCCGACATGACTGCTGAAGTTTACCTCGCTGGAATTGAAGAGCATTAAAGATATTTTGTACCTGGCTTCGGCAAATAGGTAGCTTCGGGTCAACGTATATTATGTGGACAGAAACCTAGGGCTTGAAGATGCCAAAGCAACGGACTCGCAGAGTGAGCAGAAATTATGTTTTCAGCTGCTGAAGCTTACATCACTTTGGTTTCACAGTGGTTTTTACTCTATTTTTTCCGTTGGGGCATTCCTTCTGATATTTAAACTGATGCGCAATCAATGACGGCGTCTAATGGGAGTAGGAGCGGCCAGCTTGATAGCTAATTTGGACTACATACTAATCTTCTATTCATATTCGTGAGGGATGTGAAATACAGAATCTATGCAAAATGAGCTACCCACAGGTTTTTTTGCCCTAATGAGTTCGGTACGGAACGAAAATGCGTAAAAACATGTGTCAGTCAATGACGACTTGAAGAGGTCATTGATGCTTGAGATGTCTCAGCTGAATGTACCACCATGATAGGCTCAACAGCTGTTGTGGGGCAGATTCAAAGCTCAGCTGAAGCGAGTTCTAGCTGGACTCGACTAAACAGTTGGGGATGCTACTCAGAACCTGATGATCATTACTTATGTAGGTGGAACCATTGTCGGGAGCCGTAAGATGGGGCATGAGAAAGCACCTCTTCTCTAGGTCTATGCATAAAGTTTATCTAGATGCTGACCCCAACGTCCTCGGCGAACCTTGTTTACCCTCAGGCCGAACAATCACCACCGGGGAATAAAGCAAGACATATATATACATCAGTACCTATGTATCACGACGAGAAATCTGGGAAATCCAATACAATCTTTCGCTAGCTATGAAAACAGCAAGAATGAGCACATGCCACCAAGATCAAGCTGCTCAATATATCAGTACTCCATGTGCATCGGCCCTCATCTGGTGCCAGCCACGAATGAAGGGTCCTTGATGCTGCCACCTGCGTCATTCAGTCCCTCCACAGGCCTGCTGTAGCTGAAGCCTGCAAACTGGTTTCTATGGCCAATAATGTTAGCTTCGATATTCCTCACCCATGATTCTTGCTTCACTTACTGCATAGTTTGAGACAGAACCGGATCGTCCACAAACGAATCCTGTGCCGGCTCGGATGTAAACTCAGGGTCAAAGTTGGCCGTGTCAAGGGCATCAACCTGTGTCAAATTGTGTCAGCAAGTACTTTCAATCTATGAGTGAGGATGAGTTGGGGGCAGCAATACGTACTACGCTCGGCTTGAAGGTAGGCTCATATTTTCGCTGCAGCAACTTCTTCCAGTCAATCGCATGGAAGAAGGGGTGTGCCTTGATCTCCGCTGAACCGTTCGCTCCCAGTCGCTGCGCGGGATCACGGTTCAGCAGCCTCGTCAGAAGATCGCGAGCGGCGGGCGGGACGATCTCGGGGCCCGGGAAGTGCAGAGGATCCGAAAGGATCTTGCGATACATTTCGTTCGTGTTCTCGTCATAGAAAGGAGGCAGACCCGTAAGCATTTCATACAGAAGCACACCCAGGGTCCACCAATCCACCGTCTTGTTATACCCCTTGCCCTTCAGCAACTCGGGGGCTAGATATTCTGGAGTTCCACAGAAAGTGTGAGTCTCATCCTCATCCTTCACCTCGAGCTTACAAAGACCGAAGTCGCACAGAGCAATGTGGCCCTGATAATCAAGCAGAATATTCTCGGGCTTGAGGTCACGGTAAATGACGTTGAATCCGTGCAAGCATTCGAGGGCGCAGAGAAGTTCAGCGGTGTAGAAGCGAGAGCGGTTGATATCAAAGCGTCTCTCAATCGTGAGATGATGAAACAGCTCACCACCGTTGACAAACGCTAGGACGAAGTACAGCTTCTCAGGGGATTGGAAGCTGAACTTCAGAGGGACGATGAAGGGGTTGTTAATCTGAGCAAGGACGGATCTCTCTGCCAATGTGTGTGCCACCTCCGAGCGGGAGATGATCTTGGCCTTGCGAATGGTCTTCAAGGCATAGATACGGTTGGTATCCTTCTTCCGCACCTGCATAACCTTTCCAAAACTTCCCTTTCCGACGACCTTGAGGAGGTCGAAATTTTCGATTCCAAGCTTGGTGGCCGGTGGCTCGGCATATTCGACGGAAACCTGGAGCTGGCCCGTTCCGTACTGCAAATCGATCCACCGAGTATCCTTGTTGGGTTCGTTGAAGTTAGGATCAACGCGAAGAGCACCAATGAAGATATCTTGGCTTCTTCCTGACTTGGGGGGTGCACTTGGGTTGCGGATATATAGATGAACGGTAAGCTGCGTCACGCGGGACACATCGAACTTGTACTGTGTGTTGGAGCCTGCCCAGGTAGGATTCTCGGGGCTTCCATCGATCGAGTTGACAAAGACCTGCACCTTATCGAAATCGAGGAGGGCATATGGCATGTATTTTCCGGAGACTCGTCCATGGTTCGTCGGGATATCGCCGAGGCCAGATGAAGAGGTCTGGGGGCGAGTGTTCGATGGCCTAACAGACCCAGACACGCTACTAGCCTGGCTTGTGGATCGGCTGTGAGATGCAAAAATATGACGATACTGTTCGGGTAAAGAGAATCCCCTTCCTTCGTGGAGAGTAACAATCAGGATACCGGGTTTCGAGGTCTTGATGACGGGGGCTTGGGTGAGAGCTTCTGTATATCCGGTTGCGGTCAGTAAAAGCCACGAGGATCATATGGAGAGAATTGGTAAACAAACCCGCCGTAATCTTCTCATCTTCGCCGGACGCATAGCTTTCCGGTCGCTCTTCCTGTTCCTTCTCTGGTGTAGCATTCGTTGTGTTCCTTGAGGAGTTGGACGACCAAGATCCCAGATGGGTCTCCTTTAACTCTGTAGAGGGGGTTAGCTTGAGTCGATAAACGGTGTAGAATGAAGGGGAACTCAAAGAACCAAATTGCTGCACGTACTCTTGGTGATCTTCCACGAGGCCATGTTGACTGCCGTTCCTCGTTTATTATAAATTTACTTTATTTTCAATTGCGCCCAGAAGCCAACTGGAAATATGTTGGGCGCTGGAGCTCTGCTGGTTTAAGGGCAGGAGTAGTAGTTAATTACCAATCTGCTGCACCCACTATTATTGCCTCGGTGGAGACCCTTTCCGGTGCAATTGAGCTGTGGAGATGGATTAACGGTTGTTCCGCATAGGGGTTCAGGCTGGAAACGTTTCATTTAGGCTGTCAGAGCTCTCAAACACAGGGGTGAAACATAGAGAACATCCAAAAGTCCGGCGAAAGATCCTTAATACGGTTTCAAAACTGGCTCTGACAGGTGTTCTTTGAAGCTTTTCGCTATCCATTAGTTATAAACACAGGTGTCGTCAGCTTATGCACCTTGGTGCTGGAATGACATATTCCATTCCGGCTGCCACTACCCCGCAGTGCCTGATTTTAGGGGATTTCCTCGCCATCTGTAGGTAGGCGTCTAAGCAGAGATACACTTAATGTACAAGTTGCCATTGCAAACCCAAAAATGGAAAACTCCAGAGCATGAGATGTTCAATTAGGCACCGAGATACCGAAACAGGGTCTTCTCAACTAGGACATCATTGCTCCCCAGGAATCTAAAACACTGAAAGATCGGACTAATGTCTCCACCGTAATGCTGCCTCAGTCCCTGAAGTCCCTGAGTCCGATCCTTAATGCAAGCGACAGAGTTTCAGACACTTGATATCCACACTCCCTGTCCCACTCTTCTCTGAGCATTGCATCCATTCTCAAGCAAACAGTGACAGAAGCGACGCTTCTCCTTATCCGCAACCTCGTTTATCGGACCCCAAAGCTCTGGATTCAGGATGCTCTCCCTTGCAAAGCTGCCGTTCTTCATTCACATCCTTGTCGCCTCCTGCTCAGGTCTGACGTTCATATTCCGCCCCCATAGACAGCTCCAGCCGTTGTCTCACTCGGCGGCGATCATCCTGCAATGCTACGGCGGCTGCATCCTCTTCACCAATCTCATCAGTCTTATATTTCTCGTCAGGCCTGTGGTTGATGAGACGACCAAGCTTGTGGCATTGGCGTTCGCATTCTGCCACGCTTGGCCCAGCTACCGGGCTGTGACCAGGCTCCAGAACAATCTTGACGTCCAGGGAGAGCTAGGAAGTACTTTGGGGGGTCCCATCGTTCACTTGGGCGTTCACGGCCTCTTGTTTTTCATGTTCTTGCAAGCAGGTCTATTGTATTGAATGGTATTTGGTTTGGTTCTGGGAAGCCCGGGGTGTCTAAGGTGGGCAGATGTTTATACAAAAAACTTTTCCTACTATTGAAACAGTCTCAATCCTTCGGCTTGTGCCTCGACTTCCTTCATGTCCTCATCTTCACTCTCATCCTCCTCGAGTTCCATCTTCTGGCCGAATAGGGTGACAAAGAAGCGATCAATGGCCCCTTGCTCCCAGGACCGGCGATCTTCGGGTGCCATGAAGTTCTGCAGCTTTTCGTGGACGGTGAATCGCATCTTCCTGCCTTTGCTCGCTTTTCGGTCCACATTCTTGCGCATCTTGACGTCTTTCGCAGCCGTGAGCATGACAGAGGGAACGCCATTGACCTGGTCACCGGATGTGTCGACGGTTCGCTGCTCAACGAGTTCCTTCAGCAGCAGCTGGTAGAAGTCGGCATCATCATAGATGTACTCGTCCTCGGTGACCCTCTTGGCAGCCTGAGCTGGGGCGCAAGAGCGGGGAACCCGCGTCTTCTTCACCAGGCGATCGTCAGAATCAGCCAGTTGGTCCTCCAAGTTGTTAATGAGGGTCTTGTTTCTGGCCCCGAGCCCCTTGGGAGCAGTAGTCACAGTGACTGACTGTACCCGTCGAGACCATTTTTCCAGTCTGTCCTGTCGTGATTTCATCAGTTCACGCTCTTCCTCCTTGAGTTGCTCCCAGATATCGTCATTGGAAAGAGAGATTTCAATTTCTCGCTTCCTCTTTGAGCCTACTTGGGCCGTGTTTCCAAAGTCATGCTTCAAGTTGCTGATAGTATTGAGAAGCTTGACCGCAGCAACCTCGGCCGCCTCGTAAGGCTCAGTAGCAGGTTCAGAGTCATCGATGACCGGAAAGGTGTTTACGGCGACCAAAGCCTTTTGCAACCGGATACGGAGGTTAAGAAGCCCATCGTACACCTTGCGTTGCTGCTGAATTGCCACTCCCTTCTCCACCTCTGATTGCTGCTGAGATGCTGGGGCCTGAGACACCAATCCAGGAGCTGACTTCTTCTTGGTGGCTTTGCCATCGTCATCCGAACTGTCGTCCTCGCTATTTCCATCATCCTCATCAGATGGATCCTCTTCCTCAGACCCTTCGGAGTCCTCTCCCAGGTCAGAGAGGCCATCTGCAAGTGCTTCAAGGCCGTCATCCTCGTCACCCTCTGATTCATCAGACCCAAGCTCGTCCTCGTCTAGGGCTTCGTCGGAAGACTCGTCGTCCTCAAGGTCTGCACCGCTAGTGGCACCATCACCATCCTCCGAGGATGACATGAAGTCGGCGGCTGTTGCCCTCTTTGCTGATGGCTTTGCAGGCTTGGAACTTCCTCGGAAGGTGAAGTCTTTCAGACGCTCCTCATCCGATTCAGCCAGCGCGTCATCGCTCTCGATCTCCGAGTCGCTAGCATTGGCTTCGTCGGCTTCCAAGTCGGCAAGATCGGGATCATCGTATTGTTCCTCGTCGTCGTCGTCGTCGTCCTCATCTTCCTCATCGTCATCTTCTAAGGCGGCTCTGGAGACTTTGGAACCCCGATACTCAGAGCCCAAAAAGACGGAATCTTTTTGTCTAAGCTTGCTTTTCCCTACGGCCTCATAGTGCTCTGTCCCGGTGCGCTCGTCGCCACTGGCATCGCTACCACTCTCTTCGACGTCTCGGCCATCCGCCTCAGGGTCGTAGTCTGCGCCTGGTTAGTCGCAAAACATTCAATTGGAACAATGGCTCCTTCTCCTTACCTTTGACGATTTTTTCATCGTCCATGAATTGCTTCGCGCGACCTTTCAACCCGGACATCTTGAACGCTTCTCTATAAGTTTGCCGGCAAATAACCTGGTTTGGCTTGGCCCCACGGTGGGATTTTTTCTAGACATTTTGCACTTGAACTTTTAAGCGGTGTAGAGCGGCAGAACGAATGGTGTGGGTCTTGAACTGGTAGCTCTCCACTTTTACCTGCTGCTTGAGGCGTCGCTCTGAAGCGAGATGGTGAAGATCAGATTGGTGGCTGTCTTCGATTTCATTCCAGTATATGTCGTTTTCCTATAATTAAAAGCCAGCCTAATTTAGGATTTGGTTCTACTTCTATCGTGTAATTTTGACATATGTAATTGTACACTCCCTAGACCAGGCTGAACATTATCTACCGAACTGTGCATAATGCGTGCTACCCTGCCACGCCTTCTCCAGGCGACTCGGGCTCTACGGCATGAAAATCCCCTTGTATGTCGACTTCCAACTTGCATGGTTTCTCGCTTACCGAAATCCTTAGGGCTTGCCACGGTCGGGGACACCTCCCAGCTGGCCGAAACGACCACAAAGGAGGAAGATCACAGGAGTTGACAAAGTCATTGCTGTCTCCTCGGCTAAAGGAGGTGTTGGCAAGAGCACTGTGGCTGGTACGTGTCGTTGTACCTGGCCTCTCAACTTTCGAGCTTCTAATTCATAAGGGTAGCAAACTTATCACTGGCCTTTGCAAGGCTTGGGCTACGTTCTGGCATTCTAGATGTCGACATCTTCGGGCCCTCTATCCCTACCTTATTTGACTTGTCTGGGGAACCGAATTTATCGAGCAGTAAGCTTAGTTCTCATGCATGGCAAACAAAAAACATGCTTACCAAGACCACGAAGATAACCAGCTTGTTCCTCTGACAAATTATGGTGTGAAGACCATGTCGATGGGCTATCTCGTTGGGGAGAGCGCCCCTGTAGTGTGGAGAGGACCGATGGTTATGAAGGCAGTCCAGCAGCTCCTACATGAAGTCGATTGGGGTGGTCTTGATGTCTTGGTCCTTGACTTACCACCTGGAACGGGTGATACCCAACTGACCATTACGCAACAAATCATCCTAGATGGTAAGGCTCACTACTACTTTGCATTACAACGAAGCTCATCATTCATAGGCTCTGTCATTGTGTCTACGCCTCACACATTGGCAACGAAAGATGCTGTCAAGGGAATTAACATGTTCAAGACTGTCAATGTTAATATTCTCGGAATGGTCCAGAATATGTCTCTTTTCACATGCCCAAAGTGTAACGAGGCAACACATGTGTTTGGATCAAATGAGCGGGTTAAAAAATTGTGTGCTGAGCACAGTATCGATTTCCTAGGTGATATTCCCCTACACCCTAACATCGGTGATGATGGCGACAAGGGCAAACCTACTGTGGTTTCAGAACCAACGAGCACCAGAGCATCATCATTCTTGAAAATAGCAAAGACAATCTGCTCCAAAGTTGGCCTAAATAAAGACTAGTTATGCCGTGGCATGATCTATACCATGCTCAATGTCAACTCTGTCATCCAGAGTTCAACCAGTCATTCTTGTCTTGCTCCGATACCTGGCTGCAGCCAGCTGAATGCTGCTTTTCGTCGGAAACCGATTACGAGTCGTAGCGCGATATGAATGTGAAATCCGAGCAAACCAAGTCATCGTCAGTTTGTGTCAACTAAGCGAGCAGGTGGATTACCGATTTAAGAGAACCATGATCAACCATTTAATCAACGAACACCAACGCCGCCTCGGCCGAAATCGACAGGGCCCTATCGAGAAAAACTGAATAATTAGTCGTTGTCTTCGTTAATTTGATACACATGGCGGCTTCGGGTAGGGTCCTTGCGCATGGCTTGGCCGGAACCTGTGAAGCCCACTGCAGGAAGATGTTAACTTCAAATCCCTCTGAGGTTACACAAATGGCACACAAACCTCTACTGTTCACCCCTTGGGGAACTCGGAACATGCTCTCCTTCTTCGATTTCTTCCCAAACTTGGACTTGTTGTTGAAGTCTTGCCATTTGCTCTTGCCAGCCTCAAGCTCCTTATTCGCCTTGATCTTTTTAGCCTTGGGAGGCTTGGGCGAGTCAGCCTGGTTCTGGGTCTCTCTTTTGGCATCGGGGTAGACAGTAGCACCAGCGGAAGAAACAACACCTGGTGCAGGTGGGGTCGCCACAGTTGGAGAGGGTGCTGCAGCGGGAGCGTCCGCCTTTCGTTTGTTTGTCATAGGACGGAGATCTTTCGCCCTTAGATTCTCTATGTTATCATAGCCCTTAAACTTGACGCTGTAAACCGGTGCTTTATCCGAACCGGTAATGCCCATGATCTGGGCAGGGTAGAATGCCTTGTCGCCCGAAAGCCATTTCGCTTGAACGATATCGTTGGTCCGGTAATGAACCACAGGCTCTTCCTTCTCCTCGGGTTGCGTGTCTCCTTTCTTAAAGGCAGGATGGGCATCTCGAGACCATTTCTCAGACGGCGGTGGTGGTGGGGGCGATGGCTGTTTAGTCGCCTGCTTCGCATGTTCCTCGGCCATTCCGAGGAGCTCAGTCAGGTCGCGCTGTAATGAAATAAGTTCTGCATTGTCGGGGTCCTCCCGCAGAGAACTAGAGACGAGATCAAGCTAGTGGTCGAGATGTTAGTAACGGTAAATGACACAAGAGACGAGGGGAGAAGTCAACGTACTTGTTCTTGATATAGTTGCCTCTCCTCCGTGCTCAGGGGATCAGGCATGCTGGGCTTGGCTGAATGGTGAGGACCGTAATGGAACAAACAAATAGGGTTCTTGGTTATTCCTGCGTACAAGGGGAGAGGCTGCAGCAAGTGAGCAGGATCGAGATGTTGTCAATGTGCATCTGGGCAATCGGCTGCGAGGCTTCCTTGCGCTAGTGATATCAAGGCGTGTGGGGATGGCACGTGATTGCGGAGCGGTACGTATCACCAAGGAGCAAACATGCGCCAACGATGGCAGAACACAGGTGAGAAGAGGGTCAGGTGAGAAGAGAGTGAGGGATCATTTTCAATATTCTTGATTGAAGTGCTTGCATTTCTATCTCTAGGTAATGCAGAGTGACAAATGGAACATTGTTTGGGGTACTATGTATGCTCGCAATGCGCCCACTTAGAAGCTAACCAAGAAATACAAACCCGAGAGTGGTGAAAATGGGGGAGAACAAGCCGAAACGGCTATCATAGGAAATAGTCGTGCAAATACCTGGATGTGCTGTGCTCGAAGATATCATAAATATGATAAGGTATCTTTCCGAGAAGGGTATCCCGTTCTTGGCGCTCAACTGCGGTGTGGGTGCCTTGTTTGGCGTGGAAGCATGTGCTCTCCTTCCCTGTGGTGTGGTGAAAGAGAGAAGGTTGAGCTCAGCTTCAGCGCCTGCCTGCTGCCAAAGACCCATTGACGGCACGAACTTCCCGTTACGTACCGATTGTCAGGACCCATCCACATTGAACCTAACCCACACCCGTCTGCTCCCCCAACCCCTTCAGCAGATGCAATTGCTGGTTCCGTATTTGTCGCTAGCTGTCTCGGGCAAATGTTACATGCCCATGCCTCCATGTAGTACTCCGACAGCCAACCACGGCTGCATGCAGAGCTGTTTTGGCACATTGTTTCCCTCGGGCATATTCTGCATGGTCTTACGGTGACAGCGCCGCCGGCATTGCCCATATCGTCACGATCACACATCACGCTGCATGACAGCGTTAGATGCAGCGCGAACTCTCTGTTGAATGAGAGAGTTCTGGCTGCCTACCCGTAGTCAACTACTAGAGCTAGGCCTATATAACACTAGCACCCATTGTTCCCGATTTCGCAAGCTGCCACAAACATCCCTGCCACGCACTTTGACCTCCATGTCTCTCTCTCCATGCTGGTAATCGGCACCGCTATTTCGCCCTCGCATCACCTCCAGAACCCAATCTCAATTGAGCACAACCTTGCGACTTTGGTCACGGCCGGAGGAAAGGACAGTCTGACCGAGGCTGTGCATTTTGTCCACAGGCCCCTTTCTCAGCGAGACTGAGAATCCGAAACCAGGCAATCATGGCTCGTGACAAGGAATATGACAGCGCATCCTCGACCAGCGGCCAATCAAAACGGCCTCCGCTCAGCCGTCAAGAGAGCGACCTGAACGGAGAGGCGCATCAGCGCCCAAAAGGGCACCAGAAGCAACATCACGTCGGCCGCATCCACGCCCGAGTTCCTTCATCAAAAGCACTGCAAAAATACGGTCATGGGCACGGCCACGGCGCTCATGGACACGGCCACGCGCACGCTTCAACTACCAAGTTGAACAATAATACTCGACGGACCTTTTCGCCACCCGACTCGCCTCAACAACCCCAGCGACCCTCGTCACATCGCCGGGCGACGAGCGACGGGAAGCTTACTCGCGATTCATCAGCTACAAGCATTCAGAAAAGCGTTTCCCAGACGAGCCTGAAGCGCAACCGTTCGCACGGCGAGGTAAATAAGCGCAATCGATCGTCGGAAAAGATACGTCGGAATTCATTGGGTTTGACCGCAGCCAACCGGCCCAAGTCAAGCAAGTCCCAGGTTCACTTTGATTTGGGTGGTGACGGGCAGGACGATGATGAATGGGTGGATGCTAGTGGTTCTAACTCACCTCATCTGTCACGCAAAGGCTCAATCAACAGCAGCGCGCAATCGTCCCTGAAACCAAACCTGAGTGCTGGCAACTCGCGGCCGCAGACGCCCAACGAACAAGTCCAGCGCGTGCTGTCGTCGCCCGATCGCGAAAGACTGCATCAAAAGGAATATTTGACTACTCGTATACTGCAGCGAACACCTTCCCACGGAGCGCCGCCCCAAATGACAAACGAAATGGCCCAGGTGAACCCGCAGCAATTTTCACCCAGTTCTGGCCAAGAAGCGACCTTGGCTGGGAGCAGTAAGGATGGCCTTACATCTCGCTTCGTTGATACTCCCGCTTCGGGCATCACGAGCGAAGGCTCCTTCTATCGTCCGGAGAGGAGTGACACGCATCACTCGGACGATCTGCTTCGACGACCTGCGTCGATGGCTGAACTACCCCGTGCAGAGAGACAAATGGAACGCGCACGCGTGGCGCACGATACGGATGATAGCGCGCTGGTGCCGAAGCCTGCGCGAAGGACTGCTGCAAAGTCAGCAGAGACCTCCCGTATTCAACAAAAGCTAAATCTCCAGCGCGCTAGCTCAGCCATTGAACCCAACCATGGAGTAGCCACTGGGCCAGGAAATCTCGGCGCAAGCCCTCTCATAGGAGTTGGCGGTCCTGTATACGATGCTGGCAACAATCGCGACCCGAGAATGACCAAACTAATGGACCGCACGGGCTCAGAGTACCTTGTGGTCCGGCGTTACCAGAATCCCGTTGCTCGATCCCTCAACCGATTGACCCACCTGCCTGATATAAATCGCACAAAGAGAATCCCTCGGGTCAACACTGGCTCATCTGCTAACAAGCGCTCTCTCGAGATGCCCCTCCGGCATACCCGGAACGTTAGTCTGCCAGATCAGCGGCGGCAAGCTTCACGGAGCAACCTGACATTGCGAACCAACGGGGGATCCAATTATGACGACAATGAAGATGGACGTCTAAACGAAAGGCTCAGCGGGTCGAGCCTGGTAGGAAGCGAGGAGGATAACGGGACGTTGACACTACTAAGAAACCTCTGGGAGAAGTCAATAGAACTCAGCGCCAGCGGGGATTGAAAAATTTCGCGACGTTGAGAGACATTTTTTTCCTCCTGCAGCTGGTCTTGGCCCGTGTCTTTACTTTTGGCGGCGTGCAGACTCTGATACTCTGCGCCAGCGAAATTTTTCTTCTTTCTGAAACACGGCGTTCGGAAGGGACAAGATACTCATTTTACTGCATCGGACGAGGCGATAAGGAAATTATGCTTTGAAAGCATGACCCTTGGGTTTGAGATAAAGAAGCGATATCTGTACACACTCCCGATGTCCCCCATCCAGACTTCAATCAAGAGCACACTATTCTAATTGCGTTGATTGGGTCGTGGTGGTCATACTCGGATACATCATCATCATCACCATAACATTTTACTTTGTAGCACTATAAGGAAGGATATTCGGGAGGCTAGGAGCGAGAGAAGCTGTGTTGAGGAGACGGTGATAGAGCAGAGGAAATTAGCCAGTACGGAATACAGAATATTTTGACGTCAGTTGATCATTAAATCTTGTCATTTTGTAAACTCTGGAGTGTAGAAATCTATACGGATAGGATCTGCAACAGCCAACCAGGGCTAAGAGTATTTCCAATCGCCATATGCCAGTTCGCTGACCCTTCGAGGAGGCGGCATATTCTGTTAATATACAAGGGTGTTTTTCTCTGTAATTACCAATCATACATTGGGTGAAAGTAAATCGTATTTCACACAGTTCTCGACCTAGTTCGTATTGTTAGCAACGGCTTGTACTAGAAGCTGCTGGGGATGGGATCTGGGCCACTTACATCGTCGATGCTAGCTTGCATGAAGCGTCTCGCCTCTAGCCCCATCCACACGACAACCATGGAGAAGTCGCCATGCTTGGCCATCTCAGCACCGCTCTGTGCGCTGAGCTGTCGCAGGATGGGCAGCGAGCTGCTAAGAAGATCCACATTTGGATTCAGGCTCCGACCAATACCTTCGAGGAGCAAGATGCTGATGACGACGTTGACAAAGTCGCCTTCTAGACGTACGTGGTGATTACGGACCATGTTGAGGACCTTCTGGAGGATGTCGCCGATTTTGACATTGCCCAGCGCAAGCGTATTGCTCTTGACGTTGAGCACGAGGTGCTGCATCTTGAGCGCGAAGATCTCCTTGTCGAGCACGGCGTCTGGCTGGCGGCATCGCTCGCACATGAGATGGCCAGCTTTGTATCCGTCAAATTCAGCAACGGCCCTGAAAAGATCCAGGAAATTCTGGCGATTTGTGCCATTCAGCTCTGTCACGAGGCCAGTGTCGATGAATATCAACTGTGGGCGGAAGCCCTCGGAATCAAGCCTGGTCAGCTCCGATTGCCACCCGGCCTTATCTTTGTTGTGTTTGAACGGCCGTAGCCGTTCTAAGATCTGTTCCGTGACGTCTGACATTTCATCAGGATGAGGATTGCTTTCGGGGCGACGGATTCCTAGATTAGGCTGCGCTGTTTTGTAGAACCGGACCATAATGTTTCCTGGATGAAGATCCGCATGGACGAAATTATCCAAGAGAAGCATGCGCAAAAAGGCGTCGAGTCCCTCGTTGGCGATATCGTGTTGGAACACGCCCCCACCGTACTCCATAAAGTCGGAAATAGGTATGCCCTGAGCAAACTCCTCTATTAGGACGTTTCGCGTGGTAAAGTCAGTATATGGATAGGGGAACCAAGCTGTTGTACGGTCCTTGAAATTTTGGCGGAATGCAGTAAGGTTTGCAGCTTCTATGCGTAGATCAAGCTGCAGCTTCATCATCTCGCCAAACTGCGAAACCTCGTCAGGCAAAGAGAGCCATTCAATTGTAGGAATCATGTTTAATGCTGAGGCGAAGAAGTGCATGATTCTAAGATCTCTTCTTACGATGCGTTCTACTCTTGGGTGGAGAACCTTGACTGCCACATAGTCAGAAGGCACGCGCTTGGGAGAGCTCTTCAGGACGATCTCCACGTTGTGTCGTAGTGGATGAAGCGTTTTTGAGATGTCATTATCTCTTGGGGCTGCGAGATCAGGCTTGAGTTTTGCCTTGTAGACTTGCGCAATGGCTCCAACACCCAACGGCTTTTCATTGAACTCTTCAAAGATGTCCTCGAAGCTGCGCCCATCGAATGCGGCCTCTACAGTCCGGCGTGTCGCTTCCATGGAGTGTGCATTCGAATTGGAGTGTAGCTTAGACATGATCTCGCAGAGCTCATCAGGAAAGACGTCGGAGCGGGACGCAGCCCACTGTCCCAACTTGATGAACGCCGGACCTGCCAATTCCATGGACCTGACGAGGAATCCATACCACCACAAGGTGCCACTGCGCTCGTTATCTCGGTGCAATTGGCGTTGTCCAATCCATATTGCCGGGACCGATACGATGACAGGCACAAATATGGCGGCTAGCTGGAGGAATCTAAGGGCGGTGCAAAAGGGCTCCCACATATAGACATCCAGGAACACAATGACAGACTTGACGACTCGGGAGGCTCCGTGGGAATCGACGGGGACTTGTTTCTTGATTTCATCCCGGGATGCCCTCAACATTCGCTGCTCCGTGGTTTCCTTGGAGTCGTTTCCTTCATCTGGCTGGGCAAGACTCACAAATGCCGCGGCCCCCAAAGCAGTGGCACCACCTGAAGCGTGAAGGCAAATTCGCCTGGCTCGTCCCTTCGGTCCAGCAGGAAACCTGATTGGGAGGCTGCGGAATTCAAGCCTGCGAAGAGGTGACAGGCCACATTTCTGAGGGATTGAATGCGCTGAACGAGCGCAAAACCGACTGAATAAGAGCCGCGTGCTCATCTCGCCGATTCCTGTATGCAAATAAGAGCCCCAAGGAATCCGGGGTTTCCTTGCATACTTCCTGTAAAAGAAAGTGGCATCAAACTTGAGGGTGCATATATTCAAATGTACATGTACAGGAGAAAGTACATGGATGACAGCGTAGGGCGAAGTAGTGGCCGCATACAGGTCTGGTCCTACAGGTGGGATGAGAATAGTGACGTATAAGCCGAGCTGCTAAAAAAAAAAAGCATGTGGATGGCCTGGAATCAGGACAAGGCCGGCATCTCCAACGGGGATTGCTCGGGTAAAGCGCTTGTACGAGTAATGTAATGTGTGAGTGCAAGACCCAATTAACGCGCTCAGTTTCGCCATCTCTTGAGGCGATACTAGCTCAAAAGTCTTTCAGCGATCCGCTCCTTCCCGAGCCAGATCTGTAATCTACCTCCCATGTAATTTTTTTTTGCGCCCAACCGACCAGGACTGGCCATCTTCCTTTCACTCCAGAACATTACATCACTTTCAATCAACCCCTCCAATTATCCTGCTCTTCTATCGCAAACATCAGAATCAGAAAAGAACCCGATTAAATTTCAGCAATATGGGTTGGTTTTGGGCAGATACAACGCCTGCCGTTGTGCAGCCCCCGAGCGGCCACCCTCCCATCGGTGGAGATCGCGAACCACCTGTACGGTCTTCCAGCAACGCCATATCCATCCCTTGAGACGAGTGCTAACCGCCATGATAGCGAGGATGCCCTATGCACCAGAAATCGGCCGATGCTCTCAAATTCACCGACAAGGAATCGGCCAAGACTCCTAGCAACTCTGCGTCCGCTTGTCCGGTACCACACACCCAGAGTGCACCCAACTCTGCCTGCCCTGTGAAGCACGATTCCAGCAACAGCGCGGACAAGTCCAAAGGCATTCTCTCTCAACTAAACCCCCTCAACTACATGTTCCCCGACCTTTCGCAAAAGCCTGCGCCAAACCAGGAATTCAACCTCCCTACCTCCCGAGAAGAATCGACCATACCCAAGGGATCTGGTGATGGCAACTGGGAGTACCCTTCTCCGCAACAAATGTACAACGCTCTCTTGCGCAAGGGATACTCCGACACTGATATCACTGCTGTCGAGTCAATGGTCTCGGTTCACAACTTTCTCAACGAGGGCGCATGGCAGGAAATCCTTGGCTGGGAGCAACGATTCGGGCGGGGTCTATACAGAGGATGGCAGCTCTGCAAGCGTGGCGAAGAACATACCGGGGAAGAAGTTGATCGTCACTGGGACGGAAAGGACGTTGAGCCCACCCTCATCCGATTCCAGGGCCGACCCAAGGATATGACCCCCAAGGCTACAATGCTGCAAGTCCTGGGATGGATTTATCCCTCTAAGTTTGGGTAAGTGATGCTAGGTAAACTCCTTTTTTTCAAACACACCCGATCACTAACAAGAAATCCGAAAGCTCTGAGCCCCCATTCGATCGTCATGACTGGTTCGTTTCCCGAACCGTTGACGGACAACCGCAAGAGGTAAGATATGTCATTGACTACTACTCTGGCGAGCCCGAACCTACAGGCGAGCCCGTTTTCTACCTCGACGTGCGACCTGCCGCAACGATGCAAGGCAGCGCCGAACGAATCATCCGCTGGGGCAGTGACGTGTGGTGGAAGGCCATTGGAGGCGATAAGCGCGAGCAGGATCCTCAGTCCTTGGTTCGTTAAAATTCTGCTAAGCCACAGAGCTAAGCGCAACGGTCGGTTTCCTTCCTTTTGACGGATGGGACATGATACAATTAGTCACCCTATCCTCAGTGAGGGGTTGGGATTCGGCGTGTACTCCTATTCTAATGACTGGAATGTTTTTGAACCTTGGAGTTGGCGTTAATCGATACAAATATTTTTGTACAGTCATGATATATATTCCCCTTCTACTTGTATCACTTCCTGAATAAGAGATCTTAAAAGCCTGGTTGAATGGACCGTTTAGTTTTTGGATCATTGGCAAGGTGATAATATTGCTAAATTCATCTGAAACACAACTGAGTTTCATTATTTCAATCCTCCATAATAAAGACATGTGAGATATCAAATCTACTGCCAAAAATATCATATGATCAAACACTATCCAGATGATGGCATTCTGAACTTGGTCTCCATTGTTGACTCATTACTTGATCGATGTCTTGATGTGAGGGTTACATTGTTCTTAGAAATTCGAGACACATCATGCGATGCATATTAGATACCTGAGAACTGCACTTATCAGTCCAATAAAATTTTAGCAATCCAAAATCCCAACGGCGCACGTGTGGAGGGGTGAGAGATCGTCAAAAATTCAAAGCTTGAGCCATCTCATGAACCCAAGGACAGGCACTAACGGCAGAGTGGAGACGGTCCATTTTAATTTTTGTTCCTGGTCGAACAGACTTGACCCAGAGTCTTCTCCCAGAAGCAATCTTCCTCTATTCTGTGCTGCCTTTTTCGCACTCTCTATTTCCCCCCGTCCCCCAAACGCGCAGGACCAGCGATTTTGTTGTAGGCCACCTTTCTGGCCCGTTGGTGCCTAATTGGTCTCCCCGGGTGGGAAATGCCGGTTGACGCAGTAGACGCTGGCGACAGCAACGACGGCTTCACGAGGCTGCACATCACGCCCTTCGACCCCGACCTGCTCAACATCGTCGTCCCGGCGTCGATCCGCCCCTCCGCGCGCAACGTCTCCTACCACACCGTCGAGACCTTCCCCGAGAGGCGCTTCGGGTTCGTCGATCTGCCCGCGGCCGATGCGGAGAAGCTCAAGAACAAGCTGAACGGCTCGGTCCTCAAGGGCACCAAGATGCGGATCCAGGAGGCGGTCCCCGAGGTGCGGATAGAGCCCGGCGGCTTCGACCCCGAGGCGAAGAAAAAGAAGAAGGACAAGAAGAGCAAGGAAAGGTCGGAGGATAAAGCCGAGGGGAGCTCCAAGAAGCGCAAGCGGGACGACAATGTGGTCCGTGGCGTCCTTCTGACGGACCGGAAGGTGCAGCGCGGGTGGACAGAAGCGCCGGATTACAAGCAGAAGAAGCAGAAGAGAAAGGAGAAAGGGGACAAGGACAAGGTGAAGGAGAAGAAAACGCGGACTAAGTCCAAATATACTGAGAGGGAGGAATGCCTGCTCAAAACAACAGTCCCGCCCGATGCGATGAAGAACCTCCCCGAAGACGCAGTACAGGACAAGAGGAGAAAGAAGAAGAAGGGTGGCGATCGGGAGTTTACCGTGCACGAGTTTGAGAAGACGACCAAATTCCCCAGTTTTCTGAAGACATCCAATTCGGCAGAGTCGCGGAAAGCTGCTACAGAGTTCGTCGAGGGCAAGGGATGGGTGGACGAGGATGGGGACGTCGTCGAGGCTGCGAAGGCTACCAAACCAGCGCCCAAGGCGCCGAAGAAGGCTCCCGCCAAGCCCAAGGAAGAGCCTATCGAGGATAGCGACGATGAGACAAGTAGCAGTGGCACCTCTTCAGATGACACATCCGACGACGATTCTGAAGAGGAAGAGGAGACCAAGAAGGAAGACGTCGATATGTCCGAGGACGCCAAGCTCGGGGGTAGCGAGGCTGAAGCTGAGCCAGCGCCTCAATTCACTACACCGAAATCTGCTTCCACGGCCAACCGCCCAACATCCTCGGGGTCGGTGGGGAGCCTCAAGTTACAAATTCCTGCTACCAAGACGCCCCCTCAAGAAGTACATCCTCTTGAAGCTCTGTACAAGAAGAAGAAGCCGGAGGACGATACTTCCGGAACTCCAGCCCAAGCGTCAGAGCCATTTACTTTCTTCGGTGACAATGATGAAGAAGAGGATGAAGACGAAGATGACGGAGCCGCGGACGATAGCGATGAGCGGATGGACCGCAGCACCCCCATGCCCATGACCCCCTACACACGCCAGGATCTGGAGGAGCGCATCATCCGCAGTGCCGCGCCCACACCCGACACCGCGCATCCTAGCCGCATGCGAAATATCTGGGGCGCCTTGCACAAGAACGACGAGGACATGGATGAGGAGATGGACGGTGCAGACGAGGAAGACGATGATGAGAACGGACAGGCCTCTGCAGCCGCTGGTCCCAGAGATGCGGGCGATTTCCAATCTTGGTTCTGGGAGAACAGAGGCGATCTGAATAGGTCATGGATGAAGAGGAGGAAAATGGCGGCAAAGGAGAAGAGGCATCGGGAGAATAAGACAAGAGCATCAAAAGCCGTATAGACATATTAATGATGAATTATATTTGCGCTCACTGAATGCCATTTTCCAAGTTACTAGTAGCTCAATTAAAGAGCTCTAATGCCTTCCAATCCGACATGAGTGCGTCTTTCCCTTACCTGATTTCCTCAGCCTCACGAGTATGCCTGGGTATCTATCTCGTTATAGTTACTGAGAGTCAAGACGCAGGCGTGCTCATAGAGACTCGTGCACAAGTTAGGATGATTTTTCCCGCAAATCTTTAAAAGGTATCTCGTCAAATTGTTTATTTCTAGGTAAGAGTATCCGAGTCCTACGATTCATGGCCTTTCATGATGCTGTCTACCATTTTCAATTTGGCCGATATCTTTCAGTGAGGAGGTAGGCTGCCTGGTGTGATTGCAAGTAGATCATCTTGACACACGTGGGGTCTGTTGTCTTCTGAGCAAGTGTTTCGATGTTTGCTTCGAATCAACAACCTACTTCCGGTTAATGCTTCATATATCCCAGCCCGATCTAGGGTCTGTGGCTCAACCGTATGCTCCCTGACCACGCTATTCCTCGATCTCACATCTGGCGAATTGTAAGGGGTATGAAACCCCCCATCCGTATTTTCGGAGCTCTTGTGAGATCTGTCCCTGTGAAACAATCTATGACCGCCCTTGCGGATCCTTTCGATCAAAGCGGGAACGAAGCCATCGGCCGTATCTGCGTCATTGATACTGTGTTGGATTTGGCCTTGACAGCTTCGACGGCGGTATGATGCCGAGAGAATGGGATTGGCAGAAGCCATTTCAATTTGGGAGCCTTCCTCATAGTTGCTCGCGAGCACGTTATCTGGCGACTCCTGGCAAAAAGGGTTCTCATGGAACAAGTCACGATAACAGTGAGGAGGTTTCATAGGCTCATCTTCGCTGAAAGCAACCGAGGGACGCGAAGATCTGCCGCAGTGAGCATCGACACCCTGATTATACAAATCGTCTGTTGTTTCAACGACATGTTTGGGTTTAGCTGTTGGAACGAGCCACTCATTGGTGCATTGTCGAGAAGACAGCTTTGGAAAAGATGTTATGTTCCCACAGCCACTATATGGGGTTGGAGTTATGCCGAACTCTACCCATTCATTGTCCGGTGAGGCCAATACTTTCAGCTTCGACTGCTGTGGAGAACACGTAGCCGAAAGGCTATTCAGCTTAGTTGAAGCCTTCGAAGATCTCCTTGACGGGTCTATGAATGGTTGCCCACCAATTCTACTGGCGGAATCGTGTCGTTCTTGTGCCCAAGTAATTTCAGCAATGCTTTGACGAGATATAACCGTTGTAGTTGTCGTGACCTCAACATCTCTGTTTTTCGTATGGATCTGGTTACTGGCAGGCCCCAACTTCGTGTATGAAGTCTTCGGGTGACTGATGGTTGTTGCCGGGCAAGCAACGACAGCTGGAGGTGGCAAGATCGTATCGCCGGCTAGCTTGGGCAATGCTGGTGGCTCCTTCGGCGTCTCCTTCGGCTTTTTTTTGCCCTGTGAAGTCTCTTGAAGAATATCTATCTCCTCCAGAATACCTCTCACCATCTGCCTAATGTCTTCATCGCAAATCAAGTACATGCTTCTGAAGTCAGGGACATGATATCCTGAGTCATCAATTACGTGCAGGTTTCCCTGAGAGAGCCTGTGGTGATCAATGATTCGCCGGGCTTTGCTTGTTAAATTATCCAAACTTTCCAACGAGGAAGAGGTCGTAGAATCGGCTCTCTCCGGCGTCGTGATGGATACTCGAACCTGCTGATTGTTTGATACATCGACTAGGTATGTTGAGCGGCCAGAAGCTTGACGTTGAAGCTCAACGGGAACTTGGCCAACCTGAAACACTTGTCGCTCAAGCTTGTCGAGGGTTGAATAAAGGCAACATGCTGAAGGTACAGAATGCAAATCTAAAATGCAAAATGACGGAGTACGCATGCTGGATGTGGAGGAGTCATCTTGATTATCGGCTCTCTCCTCGATGACTGAGAAACCGCCATGTTCAGGCTTCTCGAATGCCGACGACTCGCATCTCTCACAGCCCTGTATGATGCCTTCAAGCAAAGACTGCATGCTCAAGGACACTGGATGGTTGCTAACAATGTCCTCATTGTCATTCTCGCCTTGAGAGTCTTTCATTCCTACTGCGGGCTGCTGGATGCTGCTACTGCGTTCGTTGAATACTTGGCTTTTGGAAGGGCGTGGAGGCTCGGCGTTCAATCTCTAAGTGAAGTCCTGTGGCCTTCCTGGGCTGACGAGGCTATAGGATACCGATGTGGCTGGTGGAGGAGGAAGATCAAGCATCTTCCCTTTGGTAGAAGCTGTTGTCTCATCTTCGGGTGTGTTGGGTCCCGAAGGGTTCCAATTCGTTTCTTGACGAAAGATGACCTGTTCACTAGGCGAGGCTTGGAGACTAGATTGTTCAGACATGTTGATGCTGCTCAGGTGCTAAAGGTATTGTATAGGGAATAGTGGGCGCTGAAAACGTATAATAGGAAGCTAGACTCTATGATGCTCGTAAGATGAGCCGGTTGGTGGTGAGGAAAGGCGATGAGAAGTCGGCTACTCCCGGCTTGAGGAAAAAAATACTCTAGGATTGTTTGCTGAGCTACCAATACAATTGCCCAGAGTATGTGTGATAGGTTTCTACTAGGGACATCCCTTACCAACCTGCTTGGTGCCTGACTGAATGCCGCTATCGCCAGGCATCGTTCCTTCTGCACCAACTGGACTGCACTTACCCATTCAGGAAGATATGTTGCATGTCAGACTTCTTCTAGGTTGTCAAAGAAGGAACGGCCGGGATTGAGTTCAAACACAACCCCGGTGCTCTCCACAATAGTTCCAGGCACGGTGAAGTGGCAGGAGCCGCCACTTGCCATCCCGCGGGAAACTCAGGGCCATCAGGCGAACAGGTGGAGAAGCAGAGATTCGTGGACTCGCGGGTGGATGGGATGGCACTTGGATCGTATGATAGACTAGGCGGTCAGAGGGAAAGGCTGTGGAGAGGGAAAAGGGGCGAAGATAGGGCCTTCGCATATCCAGGTTGCTGGTTCGTCTCATCTGTTGACGTGAGGTGATAGATGATAGCTTATCGGGAGAAGAAGATAAGGCACGAGCAGGGGTTGCTGCCGTGTTCGCTGTGGGTGGCGGCCAATTAGCATCTCGGTGGTGCGCTAAAGTGGAAGGCCGGGATGAAGATGATGGTGTAAGGGGCATCCGGCACTGATCTGTGAGAACTTACACCACTAAACACCTTCCGCTATCGACTGTCAGATGCTGCAGAGGGCGAGCCGACGTCGGAGGGACCAGCCTTCGGGATATTATCTTCAGACTACTCATATTTAAGATTTCTCCTGGATCTACAAGGTGTCCCGACTCAGTTGGTGGGGCGCAAAGTTCTGCTGCCGCATTCTGTCCGCGGGAAATGTTCGTCTAGCCAGTTCCCCGCGGGGAACTCATCATGTCCGCAAGAGCCGGTGTTGTGCTCCGTGGCAGCCGCTGTCACCCCCGTCGCAACTAATCTATACCGGCGAGACGACCAACTCAAGCGTGTGTTGATTTGTTCTGGGCTCTGGACCTTTGGATCTTTAGACCTCCATTCTTCCTCGCGTGTTGCCAGGTCTGCTGCATTCCAGCCCAACAACGGATCATGCAGCAGAACCAGCAAGGCCGCGGGGAGAGGCCGTACAGATCACATCTGCGCCCAGCTTGCCTCGCCTGCCGGCGGCGGAAGTCGAGATGCCAGACTGAGCCAGACGCTGACCGTTGTCTCATGTGTAGAGCACACGGAACAGACTGCGTCTTCCCAGGAGGATCACCTAGTCCGACCTCCAAGGACAATTCTGACCTGGTTGCACGTCGCCGGGGACGTGGAAAGAGTGGCGCAACGCCGAGGATATCGACACCTCCTCTTCGTCCAGTCTCTGGGTCAAGAGCTCATCCAAATGTTGCTTCTGCATCCATTTCTGGGTCGCACGATGGGGAAATGGTGCCGGGTTCGACGTCTGCATCGTCGGCATATAATTCTTCCCTCAACCCCCCATCAAACAGAAACCATCACCAGCAAGAGATGCATGGCGGTGATTCTCCGTCTATTGAGTTCGGCTCAGCTGATGATCATGCTTCGAATTTGCACATTGTTGGCCCAGCTACGACCAAGGATAACCAAGTCCTATCAGACTACCTATCTGCAATACCGGGGGCTACCCGTGGGACACGCATGGTTGTTCCCGTCCCTGCGAGTCGTTCTAGGCCAGTACTCTTTACAAGGGTTCAAAAGCGGCCTTTTGGTGTCCCAGTAAACCGTAGCCCGTCAGCCGAAAAACTGGAGATGATTGAAAAACTCCTAGAGCCATACGCGGGAGATGTAATTGATCTGTAAGCCTGGACACATGGGAGACCCTCGTTCTGTTTTGTGTTCTAAGCCCTAACAACCAGAACCAGTTACTTTAGAAAGGTGAACATTTGTTTCCCGTTGCTTGACGAGGTCTCATTTCGTCAGCAATGGCTTGAAAACAGGGAACGTATATCACCGGCGTTGCTTGCTTGCCTGTATGCGCATACAATGGCCTATTGGCAATATTCCCCAGCCTTGGCCCATCAAAAGTGCCCAGATGTACGTTTCATTTGGAACCTTGCCAACGACGCAGTCTATTCTGAGCTGCATCTCTCTCCCGGAATGTCCATCATCAAAGCGATTGTGCTCAACGTTGGCGGTCTTCCAACCACCTCCCTCATCGGGAACGGTGTACTTTTGGGATCGGCCGTGTCAGTGGCATACTCTCTGGGGTTGAATCGGAATCCCATGTCATGGGAGATAACACACTCAGAGAAGTGTTTGAGGATGAAGATCTGGTGGACTCTGCTCATCCATGACCGATGGTAGGTCACATGCAATACCGCCTTCTTACTCGCCGCTGATCGTGGTATAGGACAAGTCTCGCACATGGCACGCCACCCCACATACTCCCAACCCAATACGACGTTCCGCTGCCAAGTCTTGAATATATGGCTGACAACGCAGCAAGCGGAATGCAACATAGGGCCGCTAGTGTCTTCATTGCGTTAGCTAGCTTGACCGATGTGCTAGATCAACACCTACAGTATATCTACCAGGTCCGAAAAGACGAGACTGGTAGCACGGTGCAGCTAGAACTTGCCCTCAATAATTGGGTAGAGAGTCTAAGCGGGACAGTTCGGTTGATAATCCTTCGTGGCTCGCACTTGGATATCCCTGGTGCAGCCAACTTACGATTCAGCTATTTAACGACAAGGTTATTGCTCGAGCGCATTGAGCTGGAGGCGGACAAGCAGAGCTATGATCCCCACGATCAGAGACTATCGAATCGCTATATTCAGGCTCGCAGGACTGCTGAGGAGATTCTGATCATGACGCAAGAACTTCAGCAGGAACAGATGGGAGATTTCTGGCTGGCCACCTCGGCGTTTTCATACCCTGCAACGGTAAATTTCTTGCTCCGATGCGGTTTAGAGACAGAGAGCTCGCCGGTCGAATTGGTGCGCAGCCCTCCATTTAAGATTGCGCAAGACTTGATAGAAACACTGCGGTCACATCAGGACAAATTCTCGTGGGACCTGGCCAGGGTATGTCTGGCGCAACACGCCGAAATTGTTGACAAGATACTTTCCAGTGTCTCGTCAAGTGAGACTCAAGGCGGAAACAGTGGCTCCTTCGACCCGCAGGAGTTTGTGCTGCCAGATGCATCCTTCATTGACCAATTCTTCCCCAGTCTTTGGGACCCGCTGCAGAATGCATGGTGAATGAATGTCAACGTGATCAGATCTGTGACAAGGTGGTTGGGCCTAAATTAGTCTCTGTGAAGGTTGATTCACTGTCTTTCCCGCGGTCAACTTTCCCGCGGCGGGAGCTCTGTTTATCAGGCATCGAACAATCTTCCTCGCGAGTCACGACAACTTCGGCAAGAGCCGGGGTCAGAGATACGAAAACCGGCAGCAAGATGAATTGTGTATAAGAGATGCCCGACAGCTGGAGAGATTCTTCATTCTTGCCAGATCTTCTTCACTCTCATTATCATCATCTGTCTTCTTGTTGCCCTAATAAACAATAAAGGGGCAATCATTTGATTGGCCTCGATCACTATCCTAGTTTCCTGCATCTTTGATTTATCCTAGGAATGAGTCCCTCGGCCGTCGTCGACGCCTATCCAGAGGCTCTTGACATCCAAGTGAAAGAGATCCATGCCAAAGTTCTCAAAAAGTCACACGAGGATGAACTGCGCGAGAAGAGCAGCAAGTATATCCTTAGCAGTGGCGCAGGCTACTCAAAGGAGATCATCACCGCTGCCGAGGGCATGCACTTCTACACTGCTTCCGGTCACAAGGTACTCGACTGGACCTCAGGCCAGATGTCCTGCCTCCTAGGACATGGTCATCCTGAAATTGTCAAAGTCATCACACAGAATGCAATTCATCTAGACCATCTCTTCTCGGGGATGATCTCCCCCCCTGTTGTCTCCCTTGCAGAACGCCTGTGCACCTCCCTGCCCGACGGGCTTGACAAGGCTTTCTTCCTTTCTACTGGAGGTGAAAGCAATGAGGCCGCTATCAAACTGGCCAAATCATACACTGGAAAGTTCGAAATTGTCGGTCTCGGCGCCTCATGGCACGGCATGACTGGAGCTGCCCTATCGGCGCAGTACCACTACGGCCGCAAAGGCAACGGCCCAATGATGCCAGGGACACACATGCTGCCCTCACCCAATGCTTACCGATCCGTCTTCCGCAGGCCCGATGGTTCTTATGACTGGGAGGCGGAGCTGGAGTATGGCTGGAGGATGATTGATATGGCCTCTTGCGGATCTCTGGCCGCGTGTATCGTGGAATGCATCCAGAGCTCTGGGGGTATGCATGTTCTGCCTCCCGGCTACCTCAAGGCACTAAAGAAGCATTGCGAGGCCCGTGGAATGCTACTCATCGTCGATGAAGCCCAGACTGGCGTTGGCCGCTGCGGTGATTTCATGGCCATCAACCATGAGGGTGTTGTCCCTGATATTCTCACCCTCTCCAAGGCTTTTGGCAACGGCCTGCCTCTCAGTGCTGTTGTTACGAGCGAGAAGATTGAGAGCGGTGCTAAGGAGAGAGACTTCATGTTTTATACTACCCATCTCAATGATCCTCTTCCAGCTGCGGTGGGTGACAAGGTGCTTGAGATTGTGCTCCGTGACAACTTGGTCGACAAGGCCCGCGAGAACGGAAAGGTCCTGCACGATGGCCTGAACAAGCTCAAGTCCCGATATGGCTGCATCGGTGACGTGCGCGGGAGGGGTCTGCTCGCTGGCGTGGAGATTGTCAGCGACCCTGTGCTCAAGACGCCTGGTCTTGACTTGGCCAAGAAGATAGGTGACCGCGCCTACGAGTTGGGCATCTGGGCCAATTTGAGCAGCCACCCAAGCTTCGGGGGTGTTTTCAGAATGGCACCACCTATCACGGTGTCGGAGGAGCAGCTGAGGACCGGCCTGGCCATCTTTGAACAGGCGCTGGCAGAGACTGAGGGTACTCTGCCTCAGTATTAAAGCCATTAGGTCTAATTATAGCGAGTTACTGTTTATTTGGTCTCTTTTCAAATTCGGCTGCAATGCCAGATTAGCTATGATAAAAAGTAGCAACAGACAGCCATTAGGCTTTCTTAATAATTTAAAAGTATAAGCATTGTGTCAAAGACCCTCGAGGAAGATGCGATATGTGAAGTCAAACGAGCTGCAGTGGACTAGCATCCTGATGGATCGTCCCAACCCTAAACATGGTGTAAGAAACCCTACCAGTGTATACATTCACCAACCTCCGCCTTTTTCAGACGATTCATATAAAGTGACCTAAAGTTTAATTCAGATTGTTTGCATATCAATAAACACGCAATTACATATTTCCATGACCCAACATGCTGGCACATCTCGATAGTGCTGGGCTGGGGTAGTATGTGGTAAGGGGTTAATGTTGTGGTCTTATACATTCCACACCAAACCAGCACGTCATATGATTCTCCCTCCGCACCCTAGAAGTCTCAAGATTTCAAGAACGAATGAAGATCTGTGCAATTCCTACGCAGTCATTGAGGGTTTTCCATGACGTGGCTGAAATACCTAGTTCAAGCACCAAGCGACCTCTTAGGGGAAGAGCGCCATCTACATTGCTTTGGATTTTCTCCCGTGTTTTTCTGCACACTTTGTTCTGCTCGAGCCTCCCATTACAACAAAATAAAATGAGCCTTCAAAATTATTTCCAGAAGTAGCAGGAGCCCAAGTTACATTTATTGTGTTTGCTTGGGTCTATTTCCCCTTCAAGACGTAGATTGTGCGCTGCGGGTCCTCAAGCTCATGTGAGAGTACTTGGAATGCTATAAGACGACGGGTAAACAAAAAAGGCTTAAATCCAAGACAATGGTTATTTCCACACAACTGTCACGAGACCAGATCCTCTGGCGAAAGAACTATGGTCGTGTGCGAGGCCGGTCTGTTGCGACCCGTATAAGCCCTGATCACGTAGAGAAACGGACACAACTCCCAGGCACAGATGGAATTAGAAAATGATCATAATTGGTATCTTGCAATGATATGTAAAGTAAAATATATACGCTGAAGTAGGTAATCGTAATGAAAAGCAGGTTACGCCGTGCGTCAGAGATGTTTCCCCACCAAACACCAAGTCATTAAAACCACTTGAAACCAAAGACGTCCCAAGAATGCGCCGCCGCCTATGCTGTAACGACGCTCAAACGATAAAAGAAGGAGAAAGAAACAAATGGAAACACAAATGGAAACGCCACCGACCAGCAGCTTGAGATGATCGAAAGCTGAAAACGCCCGCCATGAGATTTGATGAAACAGATAATGCTTTCAAAACGCCCAATTTTTAATGCTTTGTTGCTCGATAGTCGCGTGAGAGCCGCGTCATGATTGCAGCATCTTTCTGTGGTATTGTGCTGCTAATTCGGCTTGGTAGCCGTTGGGCTGTTTGTGGGCGAGGCGCTTCCAGATGCTTTGGATGGCCACGCCGAGGACCATGAGGACCTCGAGGCCGAGGATGCCGACCCAGACGGCATTGAGGATCTTGTCCTCGCTGCCGAAGTCGAAGTCGAACTTTGTGTTTTGCAGCTTCATGTTCCCGATCATGGTGGAAGAAGCAGAGGAGGGGTTGGTGTAAGTGGAGTGAGTTTTGTCGTTGCGAATCGAGAGACTATCGATTGGCCAGTGTTAGCGACTGAAAGGCGCAGAGACCCATTAAGATTAAGAGGCGAGTGGGCTGGTGGGTATTTCACACAACATGAGAGGGCATCAAATAGTGCGAAGGAAAGGAATTAAATCAAAGACGAGTGAAATTTCAAAAAAGGATATGTGCACGGGTCGAGCACAAAGACTCAGGAGATTTTTGTTCACGTACATATTTGTGTCTCGCAATTCAACAGTCGCCCGCACGGGGATAGTGGGCTTCCAACGGTGCAAGCCCTGGCCCTGGGATTGGATGGATACGAGGAGATTGGATGTGATGAGGTAGGTGGCAAAAACGAGCAAGGGTCAGGTGCGGAATATCAATAAACTTGTTTTTCAAAAGAGCATATCCAAGACAAAAGGGCGACTAATATGAATGAATAGAAGAGGAGGAGTCAAGGGAGAACCGAACGATTGGAGGGAGAGAGGGTGTAATTAAGCGAGTGAGAGACAATCGGCAGACGCAGATGGATGGGGTTGGAGCCGAAGAGGGGACAAGGAGGTCGCCCTAATGCTCAGCAAGGGTGTAGCGATGGTTTTTTCTTCCTGCAGCCTTCGCGTGATAGATTGAGGCCGTGGTATGTGCGTGGGTGGTGATCGATGCAGAGTGCCAGCAAAGAACGAGACGGTGAGGGCACGACTCCAGAGCCACAGCATAGACGACGGGAGAACGGTCAAGGGAGAGGACCTGTTGATTGGACGCAACGGGGGAGCCTTGCCAGGCTGAGGAGCTTTAGCTCGCGGCGCTTCTGTGTAAGTGGATGGGGACAGGCAGGATAATGCACAAGTGCAGCCGGGGGGGCTGGAAGCGGTGACGAAAGAAATCTCCTTGGTGGAAAAGAGCGAAATTGTTGGGGAAGCAGTGAGCGATGCGAAGGCCTTTATTTCTTCCAGGGTGCCATCGCCAGACGACCGATGGTCCCTCCGTCCTGGCAGGAAGAGGACACTTCTTCGGATCTTTGGCAGCGACTGCCTTTTGCACACGGCGACGATGGAACAGCCGCCGCGGGCTTACCCCATTTCTGGCTATCTATAGTGACCTTCCCGCATCGATAGTCGCTCTGGGAAGCAGTCTGAAGGTCACACTACCTCACATGGCACTTGGCAGCGAGCGGGAACGGAGTCGTGTGGCCGCCAGACCCTGCTTGGCTCTGTCCGTGCAGACGGACGGGCAGGGATTGCGCATCGCCTAAGATCCCTCTGTGCCAGATGCACCAACTGCGGGAGCACGAGCTTACTGGGGATGGATTCTCACACATGGACCGGGGAGTAAGAGTCTTCTCACTCTTACTCTCAGCCTGTCATCCTCGCTGCCATGCACGGACTCGAAATGCGGGATTGGAGAAGAACCGGCGCTATTTTTACAGAGTTCAATGCTCTCATCCCAGGATCAACCTCTCTAAAGTGGGACTCTCTCAGTCAGTTCGTCAACGAAATTGCTTGGGTCTCATGGCATGAATGGATATTCCCCGAGATTACCCAGTTGATATTATCCCCTATATCGCATAATGATATCGCTCCCGGCAGTTGAGCATCACTTACATATCTCCCCTGGCAATGGTCTGGACTTTCTCACCCAAGTATCGGGGGAAACTGGCATGGTATTGCATGAAACTCGATCGGCTCTCATTGACACACTCCAGTCTCACATCCCCTAGGTAGGATCAAGCATAGACATTGTGGGCTGTTCTAATAAGCCAAATAGCCTGAAAAGAGCCATCTTGAAACGAAAACTAAACACAAAACTCGCTCTCAACGCCATAGTGCATAACCATGCCGGGGTGCCACAGCATCATTCTGGGCCACATGAAGCACAGGTAAAGAAGAAACAGAGCCTTCGCCTGGCCTCCTGTCAGAGAGGGGGCTAAGGTATAACGAAGGGTTAGAAAAAGCGCCGTAGGAGGTAGGGCAACGTGCCTCTCCTTTTCTACGGAAGACCTGAACTCGCCGCGCTCTCTCCTACCTTGACCTCCTCTTCAGGAACTCCCACCGCATCACTAGTAGTGCTGCGGCCTGTCAAACCTCGACCACGGTCGGTGCGGGATGAAGAACTCTCTCTGGGCGCTGCCACGCTTGTGCCTGTGCTAGGAACCACGTTCATGCTAGCGGTTGTGCTAAAGCTCTCCCGCCGAGCAGGACCTGCCTCGCCAGCTTTGCCCTCCTGCACCTGTTTCTCAAGCTCCCTTATGCGCTTCTTCAGTATCTCATTCTCTCGCTTTGCTGCTTCAAGCTCGCCCTTAAAATGCTGGGTTTCTTCGTAACGTAGGGTTGCAGGCATCATCCCCGGGCTAAGTTGCTCCGACACGTGATGATTCGATCCCTGTGCCGTCATTGGAATGGAGGTTGGAGGTGGCACCCGCTGCTGGTGGAAATACTGCGAAGGATCCAGGCCGGCCGACGGGATGGGGGAGCCGTTGTTCTGGCTTCTTCGTGATGCAGTGCTATTTTGTCGGGAGATGGACAGGGGCCTCGTAGGCATCGCCGCCTGGGTTCGAGCATCATACGATGAGGACAGCGGATTTTGCGACGTAGACGATGACGTGCGCCGGTGCCTCCCCGCGGTTGGGATGGCGAATCCGGCGCCGGAACGGTAGGAGGCGTCGGTGATCACGTCCTGGTTCGACTGCGTCGCAGATGTTGAGGACGCATTTGAGACAACCGATGCATTGTGGGCGGCTCGCAGCAGCGACAGCTCACGTGTGAGACGGTTTACCTAACATGATGACGTGAGTTGCATGTCAATACCACAGAAAGTGACGAAAGAAACATACCACTGCCTCCTGCTCCTTCTCTAGCTGCATATGCAGCTCCGAAGCCGTGAGAGGTCGAGGATGCCTCAGAGGACCCGGCCCTGAAACAATTTCAGCATCAAGCTGGGCTGAGTTTGGCGGTAGAGGTGGCGAGGACTGTGAAGCATGAATATGAGAGGACGAGGGTGACGCAGATGGGTTGACGGCGCTCTGGTTCGACGGTAAGATATTCAGGGAGGATTCTAGGGCGTCTGATGATTGGTGTTGAGATGCACGGCGCGAGCGACTTTGTAGACTGGCTGACGCCGGGATTGAATTGATGTCGGGCATCTTGAGGTCGTTATAGAAAGTCGATGTTTGGAATGGGTTGTAAGTAACAGAGCTCCCAAAGCAGGCAGCTTTGGATGTTGTTATCTGTAGGTGGGTGGGTGAGTGGGAATCGTAATGGATGGCAGGCAGCAGGGATAATAAGTGAAGCTGGCAATCAATATTTATCCATCTGTATCGGAAGTCTGAATTAAATGTACAGGCTGTTTAGGTCCTTAGATGTGTCTCAAGCATAGACCATTCGGCAGGAAGGGAGTTGTCTGTTCAAATGGAAAGGTGGCAGCAGTCGTCTATCGTTGCATGGCCCTTGATAGTTGGATGCGGACGCGAACATTTATCAGGCGCGGGGTTCGCGTTGATCCTCATCTCTAGCAGGGCACTACGTTGGCAATGCCCTGTGCTGGCACCTACCAGGCCGCCGGGCGCTAGTGCCTGACCCCCGGTAACGCAGGCCTTCTGCCAGCTCGGGCTGCAACTCTGGCAGTGTCCATCTCATGCCGGCCGCCATTGCATGACAACAACAACAACAACCCTCACGACGAGTCAGCATTGAATGTGATGAAAGGGGCTGCCCAATTCGAATTCCTCACTACCGATGCTTTTCGAAGCGAAATATTATCATGCGGATCCCTACAAAGGACTTAACAATCTCCCATATTCCTCCCTCGCTACCAACCGCAAACATGCTCCTCTCCACCGGCCTCCCCACAAGGTATCACCGCTTTGACAACACAGGTGCCAGTAACGCTCTCCTGCTTCTAGAACAATCTCTCCAATTCCACCTCTCTCCCAGGTAAGCATCTACACGAGATGGCTGCGGACCTCCTTGTCCGCCGGCCTCGCCCAGTGCGTTTTCACTCCCCCCCAGCTCTCCTCGCTGTAGCCCTCCTGCACCTTCTTGCAGGTGCTCAGCCCCCACTCCGTCACGCCCATCATCAGGCAGCTCTCGAACATGAAGGCGCAGCTGCCCGCGCCGACCTTGGCCGGCGGCAGCTGGGCCTCGCGCGCGCCCTCGTTGCTCTCCGCGTCCGGCCCGTGCCCGCTCATGACGTTGTGCAGGCTCGCTCCCCCCGGGACGAACCCGCCCGAGCCCCCCCGCTTGGCGTCGTAGCCGCCCTGTATCAGGCCCATGAACTCGCTCATGGTGTTGCGGTGGTAGTAGGGCGGGCGGAAGGTGTCCTCGGCGACGAGCCAGCGCGGGGGGAAGATGACGAAGTCGGCGACGGCCGTGCCCGCCACGGGCGAGGGGGCGGACAGCACGGTGAAGATGGACGGGTCCGGGTGGTCGTAGGAGATGGTGCCTATCGTGTTGAAGCGGCCCAGGTCGTACTTGTAGGGGTAGTAGTTGCCGTGCCACGCCACGACGTCGAAGGGCGTGTGGGCCTGCCTGGTGTCGAAGAGGGCGTTGTTGAACTTGACCGTCACCGTGTGCTGGGCGCTGCCCTCCGAGGCCAGTGAGCCGCAGTCCTCGTCGAAGCAAGCCACCGGGGATTGGAAGTCGCGGGCATTCGCCAGCCCGTTGGATCCAATTGGTCCGAGTTCCGGTAGGACGAAGTGTCCCTGGTACAGCTCGAGTGCGTAGCCTCTGGCAGGACCCGACGGGAGGAAGACCTGGTATTTGACACCTCTGGGGATAACACATATCTCCATCGGTCGGACAAGTATCCAGCCAAACTCTGTTCGGATGTCGAGGTCACCCTCTTGTGCAACAATCAGCAGGTCGCCGTCGGCCGAGTAAAAGGAAGACGTCTTTTCCATGCTTTTCCCAGCGGCGAACACAAACATGCCGATTCCCTGCTTCAACACCGGGTCGCCGGCGCCGGCCACTAGTCTAAGCCCCGTAACAAAGTCGAGATGCTTGGAGCTATCGTGGTCAAAGGGGTCCCAGCGCAGCTGATTGGGGATATAGTGCAGCTTCTCATCCTTGCCCCACTGGTTTACGCCATCTGGGTTGACTCCGGTGGTCGCCGGGCCGTATGGAGGGTGGGCGCAAGAGGGCAGAATTCTGTACAGCCATGTCTGCTTGTTCTCATGCCTGGGCGCCGTGAAGGCAGTCCCCGACAACTTCTCAGCATACAAACCGTACGGTGGTTTTTGAGGCGAGTTCATGCCGATGGGTAATGAACCCTCGACGGCCTCAGATCTGACTACTTGTTAGTTTTCATTGTTTTCATGATACACACGTAGTCTACCTTACTCTAAGTGGCTGTCAAAGCCATTCTGGTATCGGTATTTCTCCTTTGTACTAAAGCTGGTGACCGGCATAATGTCAGAGTATTGACGGCGCTGGCAAGTAGGTGTGAGCTGGAGATGTGTGATGAGAGGGATGGTGGCCGACGACAAACGTCGAAAGCCGGGAAGCTTAAATATTATTCAGTACATCACACGCCGACCTCTCTTGCGCTCCCCTCCTCTCCCCCCCCTCGCTCGGATGGTTTGTAACTTCGACCACTCTTCTGTAGGAATCGGAATCGGAGCGAGCCAGTCGACGTGCTTGGCGGCCCGAGAGTAGCCGTGGATAAGCCCGTTTCGGATTGGTTCCGCACAAGGCTACTCTCGCTCACTGTGGAGATGATTGCGGAGGCGGGGTCGATGAAACCATCGAAATAGTCCTGGAATCTATGATTCACCCATGGCCTTCGATCAACTGAAAAAGACGACATGCAGTTGCTGGTGGGATTGGCCATATCACTTTCCCTAAGCCGAGATACAGAGGCTCCACCCTAGGGCAGCGCACCTGGACGCCGCTCTTGGGCCTGTCGTTTAAGTTGTGTGATCTACTATCCTTCATCAACAATAGCAACTACTAGAATGAAATTAAGTATTTTACGGCAGTTTTCCAGACCATTCGTTTTGATATACGGGTGACTATGTGTTTTGATCTCCTATCGGGATTCGATGTTAGTGACGTCGATTTCCCGTCCTGTACGTCACCCACTTACATAGCTTGATGGGCAGGGCAACTTTCTGCGCACCAATAATTACACATATTTCGCTCAATCTTCACCTTCAAAGCAGAAAATGGTTGGATGGAAAAGGCACAAAGTGAGTTGGTTATCACTGGTCATTCGACCATGATATCAATTTCGTCAAGTCCGTCGGCAAAGGAGCCTTGCAGACGAGAGGGGAAATACAGCTAGGCGACGCTTACCAGCAGCCGCTCAGGTGACCCGGCCAAGAATATCTAAAATCGCAATATCCCATGCGCCGACTCGCAACGATCCCAGCGAAGCCAAACAAGAAACAAAATGGGGAAACTACTGGATACAGATATTATGGTTCATTAAAGGATCATTACTCTTCAATGTCCTTGTTCTTCTTCTTCTTCTTGCCGCCGCCGCTACCTGAGGGCATGGACGACGTGGGCTGCTTCTGCAGGTGCACGACTAATCGTGTCCAGGACTCTTCCTTGTCCCATTCGAACCCGGCTAGGTATGGGCTCTCGAGCTCATCGTCGGACTATAGAGGTGGAGAATGCGTTAGCGTCCCGTGCATACTATTTGTAGTAGATGTCCATATCAACTGAGTACTAAAACTTACCCGCTTCTTGTATGCCTTGTAGATAGCATCCAGGGCGTCCTTGATCGTGACGCCCTTGAGATTTCGTGCTGTTACCTCCATTCCGAGGGGGAAGTGCAGGTCAATCTTCTTGACCGGGGGGGTGGTGAGAGGGATCTTCAGGATGGCAGGGTCTTCCACCGTGGAAGAGCTCTTGTTGATCTTCCTGTATCAGAAGTCAGTATTAGCAGATCACTGATATGTCAACGGACAAGGAGAACTAACCATCCGGTCTTCTGCGTCTCAATTGGCAGCTCGATTTCCTTGCCCTCGGCCTCTGTAGCAGATAGGTTAGCGATTTGTGGGGCTGACGGTGCAGTAGAGTGGGCGATGCTTACCCAGGTCCTTGATATTGTACACGCCTGGTGCACCAACAGAGCTCTGTCGGCGCTTGCTGTCCAGGACCTTTTCCACCTTGCTGTCCTTGGGTGGTGACGTTCCTAAGCCTTGCACGGCAGAGTCGACCTTCTTGAGGGGTTCCGTCATGGTGGCAGGTGTTTGGATGTGTGTGTTAGGCCCTATAGGAGGACTATGTTGTGTTGCTTGCTGTATTGCGTTTGCTATAGTTTGGTGTTAGCGAGAGCATACTGCTACTGGCACCCAGGTCTGGATAGGGCTATGTGACGATTTTCATAATGATGATGATGCTGGAGAGAGCCGGGACAATACCAACCTTGGGAAGTGGCAGTCAGGGTTGACTACGGAATGATTGATGTGGTTGATCTGGGATGGAGTGAAAGAAGAGAAGAGAGGGGTAGGAAAGAAGAGGGGAAGGAGCGCTGTTTTGTATGCTGCGCTCAGGCAGTCGCAGCCAAGTGGTAAAACGAAGTACTCTGTCGGAGGGGAGGGGTGGCCTACCTTGGTCTACCTGGGACGAGAGGCCCAGTACCACCTCGCTAGTGCTACATGCGAATACCTGCGCGATACTTGGATACCTGCGTGCTGCTGCTCCTCCAGTCAAGCTCCCGTAGGTACCACCGGTGCTTCGTCCTCCCCCTGATGTCAGATGTAGTTCGATTGAGGTACTCGCCTATGGAGCCGACATGGCCCATGCCGTTTCTGGTACCCGCTCGGAGGGGCAATCGACCGAAGTCTCGGGGGTACCCCATACAAATCAGGCGATGGCACAGGTACCTGCCTCGCCTCTACGGAGCTCGCTGGCAATCTCGGCAGGGCCGTCAGGTCTCCTCCGGCATTACCATGTGTGTGCATGCTATCTATCATGGATTCTATGTAGGTACGAGATCAGAGATCCAGAGCTACCACGCCGATTTACTGCTAAGCTCCCAGGTGCCGGAGGTGCAGAGACAGCGTGTTCCATGCTGGCGCAACCAGATCGCGTGACTCTGACTCGGAGCACTGGGGCGGGAGGGCCTGGTGACTTGCTGTACCTATTCCAGCGCGCAGCTCAGTAAGTCGCTGCACTACAGTGGGTCGGCGCTCTGCCTTAGCGCCGTCAGCCTGCAACCAGCTGTTTGCCGTCTGGGGCAGAATCCGGGGAAGCTTGTCGGAGGGCCCCACAGCGCCGCAGGAGGGGCCAGTCGAGAATACCTGCTGGTCGAGATTGACGATGAGCGTGAGCAGATTTGGTGCGGTCGGAAACATGTTTTGTGGCAGCTGTTAGCCGTCTTCGAAGGTGTGACGAGCCTGCGTCGTGGAGGTGGTGTCAGTGGCCTGGGTGGGAGGGGAGGGGGAGCAGAGCAGCAGGTCGGGTGTGATGCAAGATCGTCTCGCTGCCCCTCCCGGAGCCGTCGGGTCCATTGATCCAACCATATCGTCGCTTCACTGGGGCGCAAGGTTCATCCGCCAACTTAATGCATCAGGCACGGCACTGGGACAGTGCCATTGGCTGCTTTGTGCACAGTACTATATATCCTGCCGTTGGCACAGACGCCAATTGACGAGTCCCAGACGTTTGTGTACCGTGCGAATACCCGCCTCCACCCCAGCGCAGGTCAGCTTGCCAGACCAGTAGCAAACTCGCCCTCTCCTCTCAAATAGAGTTCAGCTCGTTAGGTGTGGAATGGCTGCCAGTAGCCACAGAAGAACGGCCCGTCCAGCTGAGCTCAAGAAACACTAGGCTCACCTCCAGGCACTGTACACCGGCCATGAGAGCTCATGATCACCCCTGGTTCTCACTGGGTTGCCGCCAATCGGGCAGACTAGCCTAGATCCCTCCCATCAACCCAAACCTCACGCGGGTGCATAGATCCCTGGTTATAGCATCATGCTCTCCCATTTCAGGGGAAGATGAGACGAGGCCCCTCAAGCCAAAGGCCTCGATCGGACATTTTTCCCAGATGACTGCTGGCCGGGGTGGGATGGGCTTACAGTGCGAGCTCGAGCCTCCAGGAGGCGTGATGATGCTGAGACCATGACCGTTTTCGATAGCTTCGTCATTCCGGCATCGCATCATAAACCACTCAATGGCTGGACTGGCCTGAGCAGATAGGCGGTCGCCAGCATCCGACACCGACAAGTGCTAAGCTGCCGACCTCACAGTGTGCATTGCAGGCAGTGATGCGTCAGGCCACTTCAGCATGGCGAATCAGACGAGCAATGCCGGGCAAGCATTGCGTTGGTGGTACGACTGGTCACAGGAGGTGCATTTTCGTCGCGCCGGAATCTGATAAGCCCACCATCGGCCCACCAAGCCCGCCACCGGAACTTGGCCCTGCGAAGGGCCAGACCCAGCCACAACAGCCATTGGAAGTAGTGAGTCATTGCAGCGGTAACAAGCCCAGCAAGCTCAAACAGCTTGATGATGCCATTCAGTTAGATTTGGATTTCTTCTTTTGTCATTCCTCAGGGCCATGAACCAGTCCTCGTGACGGCTCGGGCGATTGCGCTTGCTACCCCGGCTCGACCCTCCCAAGCTCCCTAGTCAGCTGATCCATCGGGACCGGGTTTCATCGTGCCATTACGTCAAGAGCTATCCCAAGCTCTCTCGACTTCCGATGGAGGTTAATGACCATAGGAACGCGATTTCGAGCAATTGGACTTGGTCAAGAAGCTAATTTCATACTATTCGATTCGCATCTGTCAGTGTTCGTGATTGATTGCTTCTGTAATTATTTCCTGGGCTCCGGTTCCATGTTGCGGCTTGCTCGTCTTCTCACGCTGCTACCTTCCCCACTATAGCTACCTGTTCCAATCCCAGAATCAATCGGCGATCCTTTTTCCGTCCCATCTTCATCTTCATCGTCTGCCTCAGCTCCTGCCACAGGAATCTCTGAGAGCAGCTTTGACGACTCATCGTCCTCATCTTTCACCACGGGCTCGGTTTTCACAGCAATTGAAGCTCTGGACGGCTTCACAGAGCTCCACTTGCGCTCAAAATCAGACTCTTGCTCTTCCTCTCTCTTGACAGTCCCGTGGACCTTTTCGCCTTCTAGGTAAGGTCCTGACGGTTCAGGAGACGAGCTCATTACAAGCCCCCACAGACCCCAAGTCCCAGCCATGAATAAAATCTCGCAAAGCCAAAATAATGAGGTGAATATGATATACATGGGGATCCGATAATTATACATCAGCCCTCTGAGCCCTCGAAGCTGGGCAGTGAAGTTGAGCGCCGCCGTGTAAGTTTGAAGAGACTGGCCAGCCTCGATTTCGATATACGCCGAAGCCGGTAGATCCCCATCGCTTGGGAAAGAAACGTGCTCGGCTAGCGGGATGTCCATCGTGCAGAACAGGGAGCTGGGCACAAACATGTGATATAGGACGAATAAGGCACGCGACGTCAACGATACAAAAGGATCGACGTAGGGCATCAGGGCGGTTCGGCGAGTGCTAAAGACGATTTTCTGGCCTTGGACATTATTGCGACTATCTTCGAGGAGTCGGGTAGGGTCGTTCAGATTCGAGCTGATGTCGGAGCGAAGCAGGTGAAGGCTGACCATGAAGTTCCCTCGTTCGAGATTCGGAGGCGACCGAGGCAACGTGAGAGTGACGGAGACATCGTAGTCTTGCGCTGACTTCAGAACGGGAGACGTGAGAGACACGAGGCCATAGGGGTTGAGGCCCGATCTATTGCCGAGCGCGAGCGTGAGTTAGCAACGCGGGGGAAAGTCAACGGCAGGTTGCCCACAGGAGCAGCAGTGTGCCATACCCATACTGAAGATGAACAGGAGTTGTGAGAAATCGATGCGGTACGTAGTTTTGGAAGAAGAGAGCGGTTGCGATCGCAGCGAGGCCGAGGAGGGTCGTCGCTCCAGAGATGAGGATGGCGGTGTTGACGAGGGCTCGCCGAACGGGTTTGGAAGTGGCGACGCGAAATGACTCCTGAAGGGTGTTCTGCGAAGATCATGAGCTAGTGACACATGGATCGATTTGGGTTTCTGTGTGTATACCATTGTGCGTGCAGGCAATCCATTATTCTATAGATTGGTAAAGCTTATGACGATGTGTGGATAGTGATCTTTCGAGGTGGGTTGAATTTAGTTCGCTGATTCTTGTCGTCTTAATTAGACGTCATTCCAGATCAGGCATGTGTCAGGCCCACACCTCGGCAGGTACGTACCGATTGCTCTTTACCGTGCAAGTGGGTGACAGCAGAAATGAAACACCTAATGGAGAGTTGGTTATAAACATGCTACTTTCTACAATAAATAGAGAAATTTAGTAGTTTAGATTGACAGAGCAAAAATACTAACATACGCTATATTATCTCTGAAATATATATTATTAGCTCTTAGTAGTCTAACAATACCGGTCGCAGGCTCGAGAATAGTAGCTTAATGTTTGAGGGTCTCAATTTCAATGTCACCCACTTGCCATGCTGGCGGTTATGGGGTACCTTAGCCATCATTCCCACCTCTTTCGATATGCCCAGGCTGGATGGGATTAAAAAAAGGACATGCAATATGGAATTCAAGGAGATGTGCCAAGTGTAATGGAAGAGATTGATGAATATGAAGAAGGGAAAGGCAGTGTCCCTTTACTAAAATACCTATACAGTGTTCTCACTGATGACCCTACCAGTAAAGACCTCATCTCGCCCGTCTGATATGAAATGAGAGGCAAAGGAATTAGACCAAAGTCCTATTTTTTAAAATTCCAAGACTGGGCGGCAGTAGATACGGACACCACACCCTAAATTCACCAAATATAAACAATTCGTCAAGCATCAATGTAGGCGAATGTGTCTTGATTTTGCCCACATTCCTGCGAGCTCAAATGATTGCATGGAGTGTGGCTTTTACTACAATAGTAGCATTGAATTTCAGAAAACAATTAGCTATGCATTTAAATCTTTGTTCTAGTAATCGCCCACTGAAGGCACATGATAGCAAGGTGTCGTCCGTACTTGCTCCATAAGGATCCTTGCTTGGACAAACTGGGAGGATAGAGCAATCAAGGATGTGCCAAGTACTCGGGCTGCTGCCGAGCTGGGGCAGCAGTCTGCCTTGGAATATGCCTTGTGAGCATGCTTGGCAGATAGCCATCTCTAGTTTTATAAGTGGCACTTCCCAGTGCCGTCGAGAAGATATGCGTCTCGCTCCTTGTTTGCTCCCATTCTCAAGGAAATTTCCTTTTTCTCATTTACCAAACTCCTCGGTCCTGCTGACCAAACGTGGACTGGTCTCAGGTTTCGATTGGGTTTTCATGCCTTGCTATGCGAGGAGTTGACGCGCGTACTCCGGGCCAGGATCATATGTGTGATGGGGTAGTCTCTGGCAACGGCCGGAGCCAAAATGGCGATGGATTTGGGACAATTTGGAAGCTGAAAATACGCTGAAAATGCGGTTTTCTCACCTTGTGAGTTTGGTTTTTGACGAAGCGCCAAAAGTGCGCCTGGCAGTCTTTCCAGAGGCCACAGGTCTTGTCGAACGGGAGGTACCGCTCACCCATCTCAGACTCGTCTTGAGCGGGTGGCTCCAACCCAGTCCCCAGGGCCCCTGATCTAGCATTAGAGGGGTCCATTATCCTGGCTGTGCTGGCCGCAAAGAGCAAGTAGCGCTGGCCGACGTGCGACTACGTGCATGCTGGCCAAGGTTGGAGAGATTCGATTCGTCACCCGTGGCGACTTGGACGGACGGGCGCGCCCCGCTCATTACGCACCCTCTATGGGGCCTGCTCAGTCGCGTGGATGGTCCGAAACTCAACCCGACCAACGCCCAGCGCCCACAGACCCGGAAAGCTTGTTGGCTCCCAGGCCCATCCTGGTCGGTCAGCATCGAAGCCATCTCGAATTCCCACCTCAGCGCGGTATATCTGCCTCATTCACGACACCGCCGGGCCTTATCTCCTCCAGATCCCCACCGGTTGGGGCTCTTCTTCTGCTGATCTCGTGCCCGCGATCTCTCTGCTGGCGGCCTCTTGGTTTGCCTGCTGCCGTCCAGTGCTTTGCCTTCGATGGATGTCATGCCTTTCCTTGCCCTTTCCTAGCTGGGCAATTACTAACCTTCCACACGCAATCACCAATGCGGAGCGCCCGCCGCCGGACTTTGTTCCCATCGGCTAGAGGTTCGTACCTTGACGCGCAACCCTTCCACACCTGGTCAACGTCACCCATTTTTTCCACTCTCTTTTCTCTGCAACTTCCCCTCGCTGGCCTCTTTTTAGAGAACTCGCCTGAGCAATTCAAATCACATTCTTTTTGCCGGTGATGCAAGTTGGTTGTCTCTCTTTTTCTGCTCTCGCTATGCAAGATCCGTCCTGCGGGAGTCTTTGCGGGTCTTGGGAATCGATTGGGACAGGGCTTTCGGCACACTTAACCATGGTCAGACATGCCACCCCAAGATGACCTTGAGTCTGCCTCCAGACCTGGGCCTCCTCGAAGCCAAGTTCTGATCAAGCCGCCTCTGCCGACTCTTGCTTCGTCCCGATCATCCAGGGAAAATTCCATCGAGGTCCAGCTGCCGCCTCTGATATCCGGCACCTTGATTATGGCCTTTTCGGCCGCCGTTGCAGACGCATTGGGCAATGAGCTTATTACATACTACTACCTTCCGGATGAAAGGATCAAAATCAACCTCGACATGGTTGTTGAACGGATCATCTCAGATTTCGTCAAGAATATTTGGGACGAACTTTTTGAATTTTACCGGGCATCCAACGCCGAGCACGGCAACCAGGTGACCCGCCTGTTCGAGGGTCCCATTAGACAAATCATCCTTATTTTATACGGTCCAGAGGTGTCAAGATGCATTTTAGAAAGAATTGGCCCGGGGCTATCCCGTCGGCCACTCACATGGACCGAAACAGCACGAGGTGTAGATCCCTCGCTCGCATTACAGCTGATATGCGGCTACTGGCATCGCAACTATGCCTCCAGGTCACCTGGAGGCAACCCCGATGACATTGCCCGCTCTATCGGCTCACGCCTTCTTTCAGGCGAATCATTCCGGACCCTAGTGTCCAAGTTCAAAAAAACATTATATACCCCCCACCTAGTCCAAGTTCACCTCATGGAGTCGACTATATGGGAAGTGACGCTGAAAAGATGCCAACGTCCACCTACTGATGGCTTTCACCTATTCCAATTCCGGTTCGAATTTGATGCTTCTCAGAGGTTTTTCTCCGCTGCCAACCCGTCGGACTCGGGGATTAAGGAGATTCCCGTCATAACCGGTACTGCAGAAGAATGCGGTTGGGCTACGGTCAGAGATTACACACTAGGATATTGGCCAAGAACCGGTGGAGTCGTCCTCGAGTATCTAGAAAGGGCCATGGTCGAGGCTAGGCTTTCTCATCTTGAAGGGAGGAGTTACACGGCCATGTCATTTTGGGAGAGCAGCAACCCATCAGAAGCTGCCCTTTACCCTGGTTTACGCCTCCTACACTTCGAAATCGAACCTGGCGCTATCCGTGTCACTGTATCCGCTTGGGTTCAGCCCATGATTGATGTTTTGCAACAGCTGGCATGGACCTGTGCAGCCTTAAGCTCTTCGCCGGTCCCAGATGGCGTCGTCGAGTGCAGAACGCGGATATCAAGTTGGGAATACGACCATGACCTTGTGCGCGTCAATTTAGGTCTACTACATAAAACAGCCCCGGAGGCTGGTACAGTATCATGGCTCCGCCAAAATGGGGGCGCCGTAATATCGAGTGGTTTCCCCGTTGGAGAACAAAGTACATAGCATACATATAACACACACATAATAAAATTAGAATGGAACCATCGAGGTTTTAGAAACTGACCTTCTGTGCCCATTGTTCAAATTCAAATTAACCTTGATTCTGGTCTATATATAGCGCGTAAGTTTTCTGCTTTTAAACCCAATGCCTTCCTACCCGTCTCTCACCACAACACTCTGTGTCATTTTTTGCCAGCAATTATAGCTCCCGGAGCTTCCAAGATCATGTCTTACAAATCCTTCTCATCGCCAAGAAATTAGCATGTGAAGAAGATAGTTGGCTACAAAGATCAATCAAAGAAATAGAGCCGCTGCCCCGGAGGACTTTAAGAGCTTAAACTTAGCTATTTGGGATTTTAGCTACTCCGTTCTTGACCAGGTAGCAACAGGGATGCACATTCGTACTCGTGCCGCTGCTCCACCTCGAGGAATGTGGGGGGTTCCTGGCTCAGGGAGGGAGCCGGCGGTGGGAAACCCGTTTGTGCAATGATGTCAACGATATATTAAGGCACCTCTCTGTTGACCGGGGAGGGGGTCGCTGGTTTGGGAAGGGCTGAGGCCCGTGTAAGCTGGCTGCAAGTACGAATGCACAATTGACTACAGCATTTATGCAAGGCGACCCCATCACTTAAGAAACCCTTCAGCTTCGAGGAGAAAAGGGTTATCGGAGGAAAGTGGTAGGTTTTGAGAAAGTTGATGCTGCCCTGTTACACCACATGGTTATCAATGAGGCCTCCAATGCACTCTACCTAGGTATCGTATTAGCATTGGTTAATGGGGCACGATCGCTCCTCCCATCAGCTCTTATTATATAATTGTACCTAGACAGAATCCATCAAATATTCTAGTGAATATCTCTCCTCTTCGATGTCGCCCACAGAACCTTCATCTTGAAAGGGGTTTTGGACAAATCCTCTTTACAAACCCGGGTTAACAACTTGCGTGTTGCACAATGTCAAGGGTGCGGGTCAACACCATAACCCAGGGTCTGTCCACCGCAAGGTCAGCCAGTTTCCGCAATTTGTGGCAAATATTGATTCCCAGGATCTCAAGCTATTTTATGCCTACATAGCTTAGCTGTCATTTTTTATATCCCTCGCAAGATGTACACCGATGTAAATTGCTGTAATCTAAGAGCTAGCGTTGCTATTGAGAGAACTGATAACAAGCGGTAAGTAAGAGGACTACAGTTCTTAGGCTTGAAGCACAAGTGTGATGTGAGCAACGTATCCATGAAATCGGTGTTCGCATCATGAGGCATGAAAATAAGGCCAGCCAATTAACGACAATCAATACAGACACAGGAGATATATTAGTATGTAGGATGTACCCATGCAAGTCAGCAGCCAGCCTTGGCCAGGAGGAATCTAGTCAATTATCACATGCAAATCCGATCCCTCAACAATACCGCTACCCCAACATGAACGCGTCAACCTGAAGAAGGCTGTGGTGAAACTTCAAGAGGCAGAACCTCGAAGAAACGTTAAAGTGTGGCGCGAGCTGTGGCGCGCAATGGCAGGAGCACCACAATTTTCCCACGCTCCCCCCACTATAGCACTATCCGAAGCGCTAAACGAAGGTTGCACAGGGAAGTTAATGACGTCGTCTGTGGCGCTCCGCCACCATCTTGGCTCTATGAGCATGTCTTGAAGAGGGGTTACATACGTACATAATTACGTACCGCAACAGCACCCGCAGGCTGCCAGCATGATTGGGAGGGTGGGTAGCTGGGCAGGCGTACAGTAGCGCGATAGGTAGGTCATTTTATCAGACGTGTCTTGCGTGCTCTTTAAAACAAGGCGCCTGGCCCCTTGCATCCACTTTCTACAACACTCTGGTCTACATTTCTCGTACCTCTTTTTCCTCAAACCAAACCTGCAACAGTCCCTTACCCCGCCTCAAGGAATCACATCCATATCATCCATCACAATGGCTTCCAACACTGTTCACGTCACCAACATTGCGTCCGCGACCAGCGATAGCGAGATCAAGGACTTCTTCAGCTTCTGGTAGGTGCCCAAACTTATCCCCCGCCGTGCGTGTCAATTCATGACTGACCCTCCATCCTCCTCTAGCGGAAAGATCACCGACATCAAGGTTACAGCTGAAGGCGAGACCAAATCCGCCGACGTTAGCTTCGAGAAGGAGACTGCCGCCAAGACTGCCCTTCTCCTGAACAGCACCCAACTCGGCTCCAGCCACATCTCCGTCACAAGCCCCACCGGCAGCACTGAGGACGATGGCTCGCATTTCACCAAGAACGCAGACCGAGACTCAGACGAGATCACTCAAGAAGAGAAGCCCCGCGCACGCATCCTTGCTGAGTACCTCGCACAAGGCTACGTAGTCGGTGACGCCGCGATCCAGCGCGCCCTGGAGCTCGACAGCACCCACGGCGTCTCGAGCCGCTTCCTCAACACCATCCAGACCCTGGACCAGAAGTACCACGCCACCGACCGTGCCAAGGCCACTGACCAGACCTACGGCCTCTCCAACCGGGCCAACAACCTCTTCCTGGGCCTGAACTCGTACTTCGAGAAGGCCACCAACACCCCGACCGGCAAGAAGCTCGCCAAGTTCTACGAAGATGGCCAGAAGCAGGTGCAGGAGGTCCACACCGAGGCCAGGCGCCTGGCCGACCTGAAGAAGGAGCAGCACGGCGGCAGCGCCTACAAGGCCTCCGGCCTCGAGAGGGTATTCGGAAAGGAGAAGGAGCCCGAGGTGAAGCACGCCGACCCCGCGACCGCGCCCGCTGGCGGGGACTTTGCCCCTCCTCCCACTGCCCCTCCTGCCACCGGCACCACAAACCCCACCCAGATCAACCCCAACGACCCTATCCCTCCGGTCAAGGCGACGGACGAGAAGACTTATCTGGCGTAAATCTCTCCCTTCGTTATTAACGCTTCTTTAATTCCTATGCTTTTCGTTTTTGTCTTTGGCGACGATTTCTACGAATGATCATGATGAGAGCATGCAGCAAGGGTCTGTTCCGTAACGTGTGTGGATAGCAATTCAAGAATCCTGAATTTTTTGATGAATCACCGTGGTGAATTTGATGTTTGTTGTACTAAAATAATAAATAATCTTCCATCGGATCATTGTAAAATGAAAGGAAGAATGCTGCTCGATGCTGGCTTTGTACACGATTATGTTGATAGTTACCCTATACAATCAACGTCACCTTTGGACGCAACCATCACCAGTCGAGAGTGTCTGAATAATGAACCTCGCATTAATTCACTATCATAGTAATTATAATTCCAACTGCATCCTTAATAATTAAATCACATTCTTGCCAATTGGGTTCCCTGTCTCTTTGGAGAATTTGGACTCCAAAGCGTCTTCCAGCGGACCCTTGGGGTTTGATTCAAGGTGCTGGCACCACAATGATTAGCCGATTGATTAAAACCAAGCAGAAGATTGTTTAGATTTAGGAGGAAATACATACATCTCTCTCTTCTTCCAGCTGCCTTTCTTTGGCAGACCAGTCCTTGTTGGATTTCAAGTCGGAGTCGGGGGCGTTTTTCGTTTGGGTCCCGATTTGCTGGCCAGACTGGCGCTCAGGTGGAGGGGATTGGCGACCTTCGGGCATATTTGCAATAGGTGATACTGACTGGAGATGAAGGTATAAATTATTGTCCGATTGTGAAGATTGGAATATTCAGGTTGAGTGAGCCTTTAAGATTTATCTCTGCAGCTTGGAGGTTTTATATTATCTGGGCCTGGAATTTAGTAAGAACTACGTGATTGACCGTTTTTATCGTTGTCGTCATCGGCTCATGGTTACATCACGCTTTCATCGCTCCCCTCTCGAAGTGATCGAGATGAAGCGATAGCATGGAATTGAAAAAGGATTATCCGCTTTTAAACATTTAGATTAGGAACTGCGTGGCAATTGGTCGCAGTCGCCCCAGAAGTGCCTCTGGCGGGCGCCTACACAACCCCGATCACATCTCCAATAAAGGGATCGCATGTCAAGTGCTATCATAGCTAATAGACGCAACTTCAATTGGAATTGATTGAATTTTAACGAGACTTTTCTCAATTGGCCATTGTTAGGCAATATTGTGTAGCAGCTCAAGTGTGTATCCTAGCTAGCAATAGGATACCTAGATTTTCGATGCTTTCCCAGTTCATACCTAATTGTTTTGCGCAAGCCCCGAGTTGTAGAAGATCCCACTAATCTATGCGTCTCCGTAAACTGACTGTAATGTCAGAGAATGCTTTTCCGTAAAAAATGACCATTTCCCAAATAAACGTCCCAGTATTGCAGCTTCATCTCGCCAGTCAAAGAATTATCTCCCAGAAAACACGTTGTTCTACTCTCCCAAGTCCATAGCATCGCCAAAATCATCCCTATCTTCTTCTTCATCGCTCATCTCATCATCTGCCGGGTCAATAACGTCAAAATCCATGACCTCATCAGGATTGCTCTCTGTACTGGCCATTGGCTGCTCGGAATCAGGGTTGCTGCCATCTTCCTCCATGGCCGAGGTGGCACTGCTCGCGCTTTGTCCTTCCTCTAAGATGCCTGAGCCGGAACCGAACCGGACACTGGAGCGAGTGTCGGAGTCGTCTTCGCTGTCACTGTCGATGACAATGAATGTGCTGACCGGCTGCAATCTCACAGGTGCGTAATCACGTCGGATCGGTATCTGCCCAGTCCGGATGCCGAAGTGTTTGGTCAAGAAGCGCTCCAAGGCCTCCCAGTCGCCGGATTCCACAACGTAGTCAGGCACTGTAGGTGCGAGGTTTCGTATCTCTGATGTCTCAGCGTCGAGAGGTGCCTTTGGGCGGCAGACATTGTTCTTGACGTCCATGACAAACCGGAAATCGCGGACTTGCACGATCACACCGTCGTTCTTCCATTTATCAAAATCGAAAAAGTCGACTTTTTTCAAACCCCGAAGACAAAGAATGTAGTCGAGACCCTGCAAGGTCCGCAGGTCCCGGTTCAGCCTGTAATTTGGATGCCGATTTGTCTTCTCGGCCATGTGTTGGATGAGTGCCTCGGGCTCGTGTCTTCGCCGCATGTATTCGGGACTAGTTTCCTGTAGAAAAACCTCCACATTCAACAGCCGCTTTGCCTCACTCAACCAAAGTAGAGGATGAGTGCGTCGAGACGCCCAATGGCCCTTTGCTGAAGGCTTGAAGGTAAGATGCTGGGATCCTTTCCAAAAAAGGGAAATGGACTGAACACGCTGGAGTCGTGAGCCGATCCCCTTCGCGAAGCGACCCTATTCGCCGAGCGAGGAGAAGGCAAATGTATTCTGACCGTAGAAAAGGTAGCAACCCCATGTATTCCACTTCTTGCACACTCCTAGCGGAGCCAAGACGTTCTGGGGGTTGAGAGCATATGTCAAGCTCACAGATCTAATCCCAACATGAAAGCGATGCAAGTAGCTGATTTTCCCCAGGCAATTCCGCGGCGGTTGCTGGGGTTCGTTATATAAGTCAAGTCTAGAGATGGCGTGAACCGGGCCATCCGTGAAAACTAGAAGATGTCGGAGAACCTCCAGCTGAACGCTTGCTGGGAGACGAGCCCAAAAGATGAAACGCTCCCCTCCAGTGCGGGCCCTTTGTTCTATATCTAGACCATCTGGCGCCCTCAACTGAAGTCTCGGGTGGACGTAAGCGGGGGTTGGGCTCATGTTCCCTTCGAAGCAAGATGTCCTGTATATTAGTCTCCATGAGATAGCCATCCCGTTCGGCATGTTTTGCCTATCATCCCGTAGGCCGAAAAGCTCATACCATGTCTATTGAGTACGTCAGCGAAATCCCACAATCTTGAAGTTGTTGAGAATTGCCACACGGCTATACTCACTGCCTTGTAGCGTCCGCGGCCTTGCCTACGAGCTGCCAATTGGGCCCTGAGGTCCTCGACTTCTGCTCGAAGCTCGCGGTTCTCCCTTTGGACTCGGTTATATGCTTGTGTCAGTCGTATGATCCTGCACTTCCTTCTGTAGGATTTGTTGTGAATCCTCTGCCAGTGTGGCTGGCAGAATTCCTGGCAATGCACCAAACTCCAAGGAGGCTCTTCAGCGTCTGAATCAGGTACGTTGTTCTGGTCCTGTCCTTCGGATGAAGCATCGGTTTGCGAATCTTCTTCTTCGTCCGACTCGGACTCATTGCTGCTGCTTTGGCTCTCACTTGACTGTCCATCCCCATTGTTAACATAATCCCCATCAGGGTCGTCGACGAACTGAGGGCCGTCGTCAACAAACTGAGGGCCGTCGTCGACGAAGAGAGGGGGTTCGTTGGCTAAGTTGGGCTCATCATCCAAGTTGGGATGATTGGCTAAGTTGGGACCGTCGTCTACAATAAAAGGGTTTTCGGCGTTCGATCCTGGAGAAACCGGGATACCAGGTTCTGCTCCATGCTCGTCAACCTCTTGCTCATCAGCCTCTTGCCCGTCAGCCATTTGCTCGTCGGCCTCATGCTCGTCAGCCTCACTCTCAGCGGAGGAGATATTTTCGTAATCTGTTTCGTCACCATCCATGTTGGCGAGACGAAGCGGTGGAAGCTCTGATTGCAAAGTTGGAATATTTTGGTATGTTAAGACGAAGAAGGGAAATGCGAGGTGAGGAGAGCAGAGAGTGAGTGTTAAGGTGAGGGAGAGGGTGAGAGGGAATGACCTGGGGAGGGTGAAGTGAGAAGAAGGTGGGAAGAGCTGAGAAGAAGGTGGAGGGGCTTATAAAGACGACCCCAAAACAAGAAACACAATACCTACTTCCCGTTGTGCATGAGGGCGTGTGTTTGGGAAGGCGCTATGTAGCACCTTTACAATAACTCATTGAGCTCTCCAAAATGTAGACACCTTTCAGTTATAATAGCTGTCAAACCAAAAACACATTTCCAACTTACCACTTGACTGGCAAGAGAAACAGTACAGCCAGCAGTAGTTACGGTGATAGTTATGGCTACAGGTACGGCTACAGCTACAGTTATTGCCAGAACTTGACTAGACAGCTATATCGCAGACCTTTAATGAACCTGTCATGCTATCCTCCCTACACGAACAGCCCGATCATTGGCATACAAAGAGCCTGCCCGTACGAATTGACTGCTATAGACAGCTCTATTACAGACCCCCGATGAGCTTGTCCTGATAAACCCTCCCTTGCGGACAGACCAATCGTCAACTGACGAAGAGCCTGTCCGTACAAGCCCGCGGCTACAAACAGCTTCATCATCAACCCACGGATACATCCATACGAATTGAATTCTACAGACAGCTCAATCATAGACCTTTACACAGCCCGTCTGCCCAACCCGACCCCTCGAGACAGCCCGTTCGCCGACCTACGAAACGCATATCCGCTCGAGCTGAGCCGTTGAGAAAGATAACCTGTCTGTAACCTTCTTCTTCGTCAGATAGCCGTATCGCTCTCGCAACAACAGATATGACTATTGATATATGCAATCTTTCCTTGTTCATACAACAGCCAGAACTTGATACATATTATAAGAGTAGAACACGTGAACATAGAATGGGCTCGGTGGACCTACTGTTGGGTTGCTTAGGGCGAGGAAGGCATGTGAACCTGCGATCACGACATTGCGGTAACCATAACCATTCGCGCCTACGTATGGATATGAGTTCTAGCATGGAGCCCTCTCAAGCCGGCCAAGAGTTGGCAAGAATATCATTTTCTGCACACCTTCTAGTTGACCAATTAGTACTTTTTCAAAAGAGGCCCTTCCTCCCACTGGCTCAAATTGAAAGCTGCATGAGAACCCTTTACAATTATTGGACTGCGAATAAATGTAGGTACATACGTGGGCGAATATACAAAAATGTGCCCGCAAAAATACTAAGTGACAACGCTGGCCGAAAACCATATACGACAGAAAGAAGGCAGTAAGAAATATTAAGAGAAGGGATTTCCGAAGCGCTCAGAGATTCTTCTCCCTGTCCTCGGCTTCTTCAGCATCTTCTTCGGCACTCCAATCTCTCCACCCTTGACCTCGAATCCAACTTACACCCTTCCTCCACTGTCCTTCGCGAATGGCTCGGGCATCGCGTTCATAAACCACTCCCGTGACCATAAGTGCGAGAACGAAGACCCAAACGTCTCCGCTCTTCATGGACTTCCACCATCGTCTCTTGACGCCCACTTTCCAGAATGAGTCCACGCTCACTCTAGCGCTGTAAAGAAAGACGCCACGGCCATGGCGTCGCTCTACCCAGGCCCAGAGACCAGCAAAGAAGCCACCAAGGAAGTATCGCTGAGTGGCAAGGACATGGCGGGGAAGATAAGTTTGGAAGAAGCAGATGGATGCCCAGGCGCTTGAGAGCGCACCGGTGGCAAAGGTGGACATTCGGAGCGCAGAGGCAAGGATAGAATTAATGGTCGCCAGAGGAGAATGGTAGAAGGATCTGAATTGAGGAACAACGGTCATCGCGGAATAGAATAAGAGGAGAACACGTGTCAGAGGTGGGAACGTGTTGATCCAGAATGTGAGATATGTCCGCAAACAGGATGGGTCGGAAGGATGTAAGGTAGCGCAGGAGAGAGAACTGATGAGAGGGTGTGCCCTTGATGTTAAAGGAGCGAGGCTCGCAAGTGACGGTGGAAGAACTTTCTCTTTCGTAGGAAAAAGAGTTGGTGATATATATGCCCTGGCAACAAGTATGGTTAGATGATGATGTTAGAGGCATGGGTGAAGCCAACTTACGGCCAAGATAAACGAGCCATCTCGGCGAGGCTGTCAACTATTTGGTCCATCGCTGGCCATTTCAAATGCTGAGGCCAGTCTTGCGGACGAGTTTGCAGGTATCCAGCGGATTGGCTCAGAACTAGCTTGCTAAGAGGCTGATATTGGAATTAGTCAACCGTCCCAGATCCAGAAATTAGAGGCTTCACATACCTCTGGGAGACAGTCGCGGTCAAAAACGAAGGCGTGGAAAAGCTGGCCGAAGGCCACTGGCTGCAGCATCCAGCTTCCAAACCACCAAGGTCTCTCCCTTCGACGACCATTTTTGACACCCCATATCAAGCCTTCCGCTTCGCAGGCATTCCATCCAAACTCGAGGGCGCGGAATAAGCTGTATATGGCAATGGTGACGCGCAACTGCCGGCGAGGGTATATACCTAGTGCAAGTCCTGCGAACGAGGCTCCCAAGGCGGGCGCATAAGGCGAGGTAAGGGTTGCAGCAGTGCGCGGATTACGAAGGCGGAAAGGCTCGACTTCGGGCTGGAGAAGGTGGGTTCGCAAGCGAGTAAGGAAGCGGAAGAGCCATCTGTATAACAGAAGAATGGCAGAGAGCGAAAGCGACATTCTCAGAGCTGGAGAGCTGTAAAAAGGCTGTTTCTTCGAATTGGCAGCCGCCCTGTACCTCTCTTGTTAGCAAACCGTGCAAGGACTGTCGTATGCGTCGCAAGTAAGTTCAACTTACTCCTTGTCCTTGACTTTCCGGGCCACGGCATCCCAGCCTTTCATACCCAGCCAGGATACGGCAAAGACACGCAGAGCATGGCGCACCGCCCTAGCATTGTAATCATCATTGCCTTTCCGAGGCTGAAGGGCCTTGTCGACGTTGGCTGGGGTGGGTGCTGCGCGGCGGAGCGCCTTGGATCGTGATAGAATGTATTTGTGCAAGGCTGCGTATTCGCGGGCGGAGACTGTATATCGCAAGGTGTTGCGCAAGACAGGGTCGAGATCCGCATTTGCTCTGGCTGAGGATGCTCTTCGCCCTTCCCTGGGGGGTTCTTGGGAGCCGCTAGCGGATGACATGCTGATGTGCATGCATGAACTCTGCAGGCATAAATAGAGGCAAGAAAAAACAAAAGGGGCCGGAGCCTCGCGCGGTCGAGGGTATACAGCGGTACTCTAATGGTAATGAAGGTGCGATGCCTTGGGAAGAAGAGCCATTCGGGTATCGTCGAATCGGTGGTCGGCACCCAAGCTATGAGAAATGCCCAAAATGACGGCGCGCGCGCGTTGAAGAATGTGGGAGTCGGTTGCGGCGTATCTAGCCGGGTTCAGAAGGCTTGAGAGGCCAGATGGTATCGGTAGTATGGATTGGCCTCGACATGGATCGGCGAGGGGGATGCGATGGAAAGAGGGCCGGATGGTGGATGGGAGGAGGGATGGTCAGCTGGGTGGTGAAGGAAGGAAGCATGGGAGTTGACGCTTTCCCGGGAGACAGACTGCGTCGCGCACAGGAAACCTCGGCTCCATATTAATACCACATGCATGCCGAGCTGGAGTGTTTAATTGTGGTGGCCTTGCAGGGGTGTGATGCAAGCAACTGATAGGGATAACAAATGATATAATGGCAGCAGTTGTGGGGTAATTGGGAGGGGCCGCGCTAGTCTTTGCACATTATTCAATCCTCGGCATCATGTATCGCCAATTGATGCAGGGAATGGGTTGGAATGGGCAATTGGCATCAAGAGCTGTCGTCTAAGTCAGTGATAGAAGCTCTGTGTTCCAAGGACTCGATAACCAGCCCATCTGGCAGCAGCCATGCCGGTTTTGGCAGTCAGTATTCATGCATTGCATTCTTTGCGATGGGCAACACGTCCATGCGCGAAAGAGATTAGTTAGATCATCCAGCTTACATGTAGTGGGCAAGGTATGCATAGCTCATCATCTCTTGGTCGTCATATTCAGTATCAAGTTACCCCTATCTTCTACAATCCAGGTACCCTAAGGAATATTTCCAGTGCTGTCCTATTTTGTTTTGGGGTTGTTTTCATCACTCTCCATGTCTCAAAGCCATATGTCTGCGAAGTTCATAATCGCAACGCCTTCTTCTGCCATGATAACCTGTAGATACTCACGCGCCTTTTCCTCCCCACACGGTATCACATACTCCTGTTTCCGTCTCTGACATTAAGCTGTGAACCGAGATTCACACTCCCATAAACTCTTCCTTGGGGGTTTATAGCTCAAAATAGCGATGACTCCCCAGCCGCTTAGATTTGGGGAGGCGTCTACATTGAAATTGAATGCTCTCCCAAAGATCAAGTTCGTTGTCTGATTCATGCAAGCCCTAAAGCTTGCCATCAGATCATAAAGCTTCCGCCAAAATTTCGGGGATGCGCCAAAACTCGCCAAAATCAATATTCGTGTCGTCGTGTCACTAACTGTGTCGCCGCTGAAAAGTTTGACTGCAGTCCAAGGCGATTCAAGTCAAAGTAGTACAAGAGGGAAGCCCAGTTTGGACGAGTGTGGCAGCCGCGTGGAGCGGAGGGCTGCGCTCTTGCTTGGTTCCTAGAAGCCACACCGATCATGCTCGTTCTCATGGGAATTCTGCTCCGTTGCCGCTTGGGGCGCTCTTCAGCGGTGTCCACTGACGGCTGAGGAAGAGGCCGTCAGTGTTTCCACGAGTAGTAATTTCTTCGTGCCATCCCAGAGCACTCCACTTGGGAATGCGAGGCTCGGGGCTTCGTAGGCTTTCTTGAATGAGGGTACTATCTGGTACATTGCCAGAGATGACAGCCTCAAGAGCTCTCAGACGGCGAGCTTCTCGTTCCCCTATGATCTCCTGAACAAGTCGATACCATGTTCCCGGGCTTGTCCAACCACGACCTGTCTCAGGACCACCCTCAATCAACATCTTGAGGGATCCGAATGGAAGGTTGAGTAACAGGCGAGAGAGGAGAGCATCTGAAGCTTGTCGATGGCCATCATTACTTCGCTGAGTATCGGGTGACTGGGCGCCAGGGACATCAAAGTCGCCGAATTGAATGCTGCGATGGCTACGAGGGTGCACACCCTTGGCCAAATGCGCGACAGAACTCCCGCGAGCAATGACCGGAGAGTCCACAGGAGACTCAACTGCCTTAGGAGCAGACACTGAATCGAAAGGCAAGCGGGCGTATGTGCCAGGGTCGATTGTAACCAAGTTATCAAGATTGAACATTGGATGAAGGTTATTGACGATAAAGATCACAGTGGCATGGAGTAAGGCTCTCGAGCCATTTCCATATTTAAATTCTTCATATGCGCCTTTGTCGCAATAACCCTCGAGGGCGAACTCCAAAGCTCTCTCAACTGTCGTAGCGTCCAGAAGCTGGGCTGCAATTTCGCATCCGCGCTGAACTACAGGACCCCATCCCAGGATGTGTCCAGAAGCTGCATAGGACAAGGCGAAGCGGAATTTTTCACCCAATGATCCGGCAACAGTGCTATCCTCCGAGTCCATTCCTCGATTCGGATTCGGACGAGGAGCCTGGAAAAGCGGATAGCCATAAATGTTCTGAACAGCGATGTGGAAAGAATCGGCCCGGATCCAGCGGTTATCTGTCTCTATAACAAGGGGCTGGAACCAGGTTTGGTCCATTGGTCCAGGTCGAAGATTCTGTCCATGAATTAGATCCTTCAGTATGGGGCTGCGCGATAAAACCAGACGATGGGCCGGAATTCCTCTTGGCATGGGAATCCCATTGAGGTGTCGGACTTCGAGGAGGCAGTCAGCGAATTCAGGAGAACTGAAGTGTTGCTGCGCAAGCATTATCAGACCCCCAGCTTCATCAGCATGAGAAATCATGCCAGGGGGCGGCATGTAATGGGGCAGCAATCCCGCATGGTCACCAAAGGTTCTTCCCTGAGCATCGATCGGATGTATGCCATCCACAAGAGTAGATACACCATTAGGCGGAGCTTGCTGGTACGAGATGCCATCTTCTTGAGTCATTGACGAATGCGAATCCTGGTAAGCTTGAGTTGTGGGCGAGTGATAATTTTGGTTCGGGTCCAGGGGGCTAAAGGCTATGTTCGGTCGGCCATGGTTATTGAAGCCAGCCAGTGGCAGAGGGCTTCTCCCAGGGGCGAAACCCAGAGGAAAGTTGGCCCTGTCTGGAGAGATGAAGGGCTGCATTCCGTTCGGGGGATGCATTCCGGGTGGAGGGGCTATGCCTCCGAAATGCGGTGCCGGAGAAGAGCTGGTCGAGCCACCGAAGGATCCAAGATGTGCGCTACCGTTTCCAAGATGGACTTGGGCGATGTTGATGTGTTCCTGCGAAAGGTTGCCTTGGGCGGTTCCATTGGTGGTTCGAGCAGGGTGCCTATGCCTGTTCTGAGAGCCTGGAGGCTGCTGGTAACGGGCTGGTGAGACTGGCGGGAGTGGCCGTGGCATCGTGAACCCGGAGTTTGGCTTTTCTACTCGCAGCTGTCAGTAGGATGGCAAAGTGACGTTAGCTAGAATAGGGTGCAACGTACCTTCGTCTGCGTACATCTGCTGGTTTTGGCCCACTCCGTTCACATGCACATCAACACCTGCTTTCTGGGAGACATCTGCCTGCATGTTGGTGTGAGGTAGGGAGCTCTCTGCATTAGAAGTATCGCGCAAGTTCTCGGTACCCTTAGACACCGATTTCTCGGCTAAGCCATGGGGCTAGTTAGTATACGTAAGAAGATTGAAGAGAAAGTTGGAGAAAAAGGGCTGTGGCAAGATATACCGAGCGACGAGTTGTCTGAAACAACATCTGAGCCAGCGGACTTTGGCTTAGTTGAATCAGAGACCTGATGGGTCGAGCCACTGACTGAGCTTGGTGGTGACTCAGCCTTGGGCTGGTTTGCTTCAGGAGCTTGATCGGTTTTCGCTGTCAAGGACGATGTGGTTGGAGATTTGGCATCGGCCGCTGCAGCCTGGCGTCTGACATGAGGCAAAGGGATGGCAGGCACCACGGCCCTACCGGATTGCTTGGAGTTGGCCGTCTGCCTAGACTTTCTTGTACCTGACGGTGGAGCCATGACAGCAAGCGGAGCGCAAAAGTAGAGTGACTCGGTAGGTTCAGAGGGTCGAATCAAAATCCGGGAAGCTAATGGTCGAAGGCTGATATTCGGCACCGGGCCTTGATCGGGAGAGACTCAGAGACCTCTTGAGAGATTCATGAGCCCAGTCATCAGAGGATGAATCGGGCCGTGGTGGAGCGAGACGTTTGGTCGTGCGCAAGAGGCTGAAAATGGTTGGGAAGCGGGAGGAGTTTCCGTTGACCGGTGCTGGACAGGCGAGGGAGGAAGGAAAGGAGTGTCAGAAAAAGAAAAGAAAGGAAGGGGAGTCTGGGAATCCAACAGAAAAACCTGATCCCCCACGCATGCACTCTTCGTTTTGTTTCCGTTTGCTTGTGCTACACCAGCGGACTGGTGTGCGTGATGCAGAGGCACATGGCGGGAGCAAATCACTACGGAGGGTCTGAAATTTGTGACGCACTGATTTGCAGCATCACTTTTTTTTCCCTTCCCCCTCTAATCCTAGTGCCCCGGTACCTTATTAGCACTAACAGCTACAGCCCTTGGGGATCATCGCCCAGGTTAGCGCCAGTCTGGAAATAGCACCACCTCAATTGACCGGCACGACGGCCAGGTGCGTCTGAGCGCAGCGGGCAATTACGAGCACATCAATGTGTGCAACTGGTTGATCAATCTGATTGCTTGTTGTTTAGGTAAGTACTTGACCTACTATCTATTCATCCCCAAGCATGAATAGGATCCACATCGCTCACAACCAAACGTTCTAGAGCAGGCACAAACTCTCACCACGGAAGCGGCAACCTTCAGGGATCACAGCTGTTGGTGAGTGACTTCCACTGAAATGTCTTGAAAGGGAGCCCATGGCAGCACCATAGCCACCTAATGACCAAAGCGGATCAAGAATTAAATCTGGGTCGCCTTCTCACTTGTCATTATTGATAACGTGAGGCAGGAATCTAGGCTTATCAATTTTTTTTTAGTATTCAGAACAGAACCGACGCCCAGCGTGAAACGTTCACATTCATGATCACTGGGACTAGGAAGGTACCTCACTAGCGAGCAGGTGCCACTATCCCCCGCAACGAGGATCCAGTGCCGGAAGTTCCCTGAGAGCTTAGAGTCGCAGCAGAACGAACTGAGAGTAAGGTCGTTGATAAATCAGGCCCACCTGCGATTGGATTTGGATTGGGCAATGCTCTCGTAGATGCTTGGTGAATGGAAGGTTCACAGGCCGTCTTCGGATTGATGTCTCAGGAATTTGATAAAAAGAAAACTGGTTCAATATGACGTTGTAAACTCATCTCATTCGGAGGCCATAATTATAGTACTAATATCGAACACTGACTAGCCACCAACCGTTGCCTTTCTGATTACTCGCCCAATTCCTCTCTCTATGAGAAAAGTGAAAATCAATAGTAATAACAATAACCTCGCGAGACTCCCTACGTTGCACATATCTTATTCCATATCCCGTCAAAGTTGTCCCCATCCTGAAATGCCTCCTCTTGGCGGATAATTTGCTGTTCTGTTTATCATTATGCAAGAACCACGCTGAGCCAACGTACTTAAAATCATTGCGCTGGTTGCGGAGGTGGCTTGCGGAAAGCTGCGGTCTGCTCTAACAAGTGATCGTCAACGAGCATTCTTTCATGAAAAGCCAGCCTCGCCACTCAATAGACGTGCGATGAGAACATAGATGAAGATGACGCCGCCGGCTATCAGTAGCTTGTGTCGATACACCCATCCCCTTCCTGCATCACGCTGCTGGACCACGGCATCAACAACTGCCTGTGTTTGGTTTCCGCTTGATCCGTTGACGCTCAACTGTGGCCCGCATGATGATTCCTTTTCGCCTCCTATTCGATAACCGGTAGCTGGGTCGACGTTGTTCTGCTTCATCCATTCTCGGTTCTCGACGTCAAGCTCGGGCCACTCGGATCGGAACTGTTTACCGTCATCGCTGGTCGAGTTCCACCATCGCGATCGGAAGGCAAGATGTTCCCGTTCAGCCCGGCTGGCGTTGATGGAGCCGGTAGTGATGTCGTCACCCGTCATGAAGGAGAGAAGAGCGTTGAGGATAGTCGACACTTCCCAGGCGGGGTTGAACGATCTGGGATGGAAATCTGAGATGGACAGACATAGTCTTGTTGAAGGCTGGAAACGGCCTGATGGCGTCTTCATGCGGATCGCAGGCGGCGCAAACGGGTAGTTAGGGGGGAAGACGAGGGTTCCCCAGTACTGGCCATTATGGTAAGGAGTGTTCTCGGGGCCAGTGAGGACGTAATGCCACCTTTTCAAGTCATTCGTTAGTGAAGCATGGGGGGACATGGGATGGAACTCTTACTCAAGAATGTTTGATTGAGAGGGGTGGGCAGTGATGTAAGGAGGTGGATTCGCCTGGATCGTCAGGTATTCCCGATTTAACTGCGGAAGAATGTCAGTCCAAAGTTCCAGAGTACTCCGATATCTATGCAACAGGATGGCCTTACCCGTTTGACGGCTGTTTGGCTGGCCATGCTTTGAGATATTAACCAAGACGGTTGGTCGAGCGAGGATGACGAGTCTGGGGGAGGGTTGTCGCGTGAGTACTGTCGTTACTTAGGCGTAATTTTGATGGTAAGTCGAACGTCTTCTGCGCTGATGGAGGAAATCAGAGTGTGTATGCAGACGATAGGAAAGGCGATGCGAAAGAGAGGTGGTGAAAACAATTAAAGTTGGGCTGGAACTGGATAAAGGATGGTTGCATTTCTTGGTGATGTACCAGCGATGCCCGAATGACGGTGCGAAAGGACACAGCGGACCTGCGATGTGGCTTGTGGCTGTGTGCCTGAGGCGCTTACATGGGGATGCAGATGTGGGGTAGCTCAAGCCCCATTCAGCTTGAGCTGGTAGAACCTAACGCACATGCATCCGAACCGCTTTAACAATTGATGCTACCGGCTTATCTCCATCAGACCATTCCTGGCTGAACATACCAACACATATCCGCGAGATGGCCGCGAACTTTGGGCCGGGAGGTCAGGTGAGCAACTAGAATACTAGGCGGACGATATTAGCACTCAAATATTAACAATCATAGGGCCTTGACCCTTTTGACAAGCTCAATGCCGACGCAGGCTCACTCCATCAAGAGGCTTTGTCCCAACCCGAGTTCAAGTATGCCCAAGATGCGGCAACGGAGCGCCGCGTTGCTCAATTGGTAGGCTACTTGTAGCAAAGTGCTCATATATCAAAACCAGCCTGCTAAGTAGTTTCAGATGGTAGATCAGGTCTCCATACCTATGACGATCAACGAGCTCCGGGTGCATGGCGCCACAAACACCAGACGAAGCTTCCTCGACCCCGTCCTGGCACCGTTGGTCTCTAAGGGCCCCGAATCACCCTCCACTTTAGGAGAGGTGGTTGCAGGATTGCAGATAGCCAGTGCAAAGCTCAGTGGTTTGCGTATGTTGTTGCAAGATCCCGGATTTGGCCCAATGCTAACAAGCACAGAAATATTTCAGCCAAACCCCGAAATCTTCCTAGCATCCTCGCAACAGACTGACCCATCCACTACCCCGACCGATGTCGACGTCGATATCAAACTCCGCGAGCTCTCCCGCTTCAAGCTTCAAACGGGTACGGATGTTGGAAATGGCGAGGGATCAGCTTACGGCTCCTTGCTGTGGAGAAATATCTTCGGTGGTGCGGAAACGCTTTCTCTGAATGCCAAGGCAGGCACCAGGACACGATCAGCCTACAGTGCAAACCTCAGCGCTCCGGTATTGAGCAACCCGGATATGAGAATATCCTTGGAAGCGCTCTCATCGGCAGCCGAGAAACCATGGGCCTCTCACGAGGAAGTGATGAAGGGATCCAGCTTGCGATTCTCATGGCTTGACTCGAACCGGGACACGCATTCGGTGGAGTATAACGGTGCTTGGCGACAAGTTACTGGCCTCGGCGCCGGGGCTAGCCCTACCATTCGGGCGGATGCCGGCGATACCATTAAAAGTGCCATCAAGCATACATTCTATAGAGAGAGGCGGGACAACCCACAGCTCCCGCAGAGTGGATACATGATCCGATCAGGATTGGAATTTGCTGGTATTGGCCCCCTTGGCGGCGATGTAGCATTCTCCAAGGGTGATGTCGAATTAGGAGGCGCAGTACCAATTCCTTTACCTGGTATTGCAGGACGTTCAGGTGTCTCGATTGGGGGAGGTTTGAGGATGGGTGTTCTCTGTCCCCTGCCTCTTGGGTTTGAGCCCGGAAAATTACTTCCCAGTCGTATCAACGATCGGTTCCAGCTGGGCGGCCCCAACGATGTCCGGGGCTTTAAGCTCGGTGGTTTGGGTCCTCATGACGGTCAGGATTCCGTGGGAGGTGATGTATTTGCCGCAGGGAGTGTCAATCTGCTTCTTCCTTTGCCATACAAGGGTCCTGAATCAGGCCTTCGACTGCAAGTATTCGCAAACGGGGGTCGACTGGTGGCATTGAAGAACACCACAAAAGGGAAGGGTAACGGTGCTGCATTGGATGGAACGGCGCTAAGAAATGGTCTCTTCGGTGCGTTGGGTGATTTGGTGAATGGCCTGCCAAGCATGGCCACAGGCGTCGGCCTGGTTTATGCCCATCCAGTTGCCCGGTTTGAACTGAACTTCAGCTTACCTCTGGCCTTGAGGAGAGGGGAAGTGGGAACGAAAGGATTTCAACTGGGCGTGGGCATCAACTTTCTATGATCGCCCTGGAAATGCTAAATGATGTATCATATGTAACTTATAGAACCTCCCCACGCACTTTTCAGTGCACAGTTTTCTTTCAAAGTTATATACCCGATCTAGCTTACATATTTCCCATACTGAAACTTTCCGAGCCTTACTATGAGTGATCGTAGCTTATGGCTCATGAAAGTTCAGCAAGTTCAGCAAGGGGAGAAATCCACCTTTGTGAAAAGCGTTATAAAGAGTGCGGTTGCTTCAAAGCTTCAACACCATCCTAGGTAGGTAGGTCAGCTCCCTCCACTATTACTTGAGTAGATGAGCAACACATTGTGCTCACGTATCAGCCAATATAGTTTACAATACGAGGTGATAGTATTAGTAGGTGTGGTTTACCTACCAAGTGGGTGACAGGAGAAATGAGACACCTAATGGAAGCGTTGGTAACAGACAGAATACTCTACGATAAATAGAGTAATTCAGTGATAAAATGAGATAAAGTTACAATCTCCGCTATATTATCTCTGAGGTGTGCATTATTAGCACTTATTTCAAGGAAGCGACCCATGAACTACCTCTTTGGTAATTATGCAAGAAACCTTCCACCACAACGGGCGACAATCCCCTACTCCCCATCGATGAACAGTCTAAGCAGGCAAGGGATTTAATTAGCATCAGTTGCCGGATGTGTTGATTAGTCCCAGTGACACATTTATGATCCCTGGAAGAGCTGCTGTCATTGGGAACAGGAGGGACATGGTATGAGCTAGCCATGGGCAGTTCCGTCTCTTCCCTGCTCCCGAATGCGCCGGAAGGTTGCGGTGGAGCATTAGCGGTAGGTCTATCTCTCTACCGTAGATGAAAGCGGGGCGCTAGTTCAAGGGGTTCAGGTCGCTCTGACTCCCTGAGCGAGGCCTGGCTTGAGCAGCCCTGGCCGATCGCTCATTCCACGCGAAATTATCCCAAGCTCCTGGTCGGTCCACAAACTCTCAACTCTTTTAACCCTCGTTCCTTGTCAGAAGGATGTCCTTTGGAGAACCAAACCATATTCAAGACTAGAATTTGATCGTACTGAATTCTGCCGTGGTTGGTGATCGTTTTTCGGGCGTTGCGCGTGGGTCGGTTACATCATCGGCTAGCGACGTTGCCGTGCCTCCATGGTTTTTTTGTTTACTTAGCATTGTTTGGTGGTGTACTAGCTCCCGCACTTCTTGTGTCGCACGCTCCCCCCGCCGCGCTTTGATCACCTCACAGCTCTCGACATACTTCACAGCGGCGGGCGAACCGAGCTCGTGCCTACCTTGACCATCCGCTGCGGGACTACTTTCGCCATGGAAGATACTCAGAGTCGACCCAGCGGGATTCCGCGGCCCTCGCGGTTGCCAGTGCCACGCACACAATCAAGTATCCCCAAACCGACATCCACGATACCCCGCCCGAACTTGACGATACGTGCCTCCCGATCAAGAGATAATCTTGCTGTCAAAGCCCCCGTGGCATCAGAGCCAAGAGGGCCCTCCCTGAGAACATCGGTGTCCAGGGACCAGCTTCGCTCCAGCATTGGACCTGGGAGTCGGGGCCTAGGATTGAGAAATTCAGTCTCACGCGAGCAATTGTCTACTCTTAGCACTAATCGGAACTCGATGTTGGGCAAACCCAAGATTTCCTCTTCTCGCCGAACGAGCACCGCAAGTGAGGCGATATCGCCAACATTTCCCGTTCAAGGCCAGCGGGAGTCCCATACCTCCGGGGTTGTTACCCCATCCATTCCAGAGCCCTCCACCAAGCCTGAGCAAATATCTCCTTCCCAAGTCGATGGCTCATTCGCCTATGACCCATTGTCCTCGGAATCTCCTGTCGAAGCTGCAGATCTATTGAGCTCCCCCAAACCCCGCAGGACCGGGCCTCGCCCCTCGCTTTCCGAAAGGACCATCGAAACATTAGCCAACATTCAGTCTTCACCAGCTGTCAGTAAACACAGAGCCCCATCCTTCTTTGACGCAGGCAAACAAAGATCGCGGACAGGAAGTGGAGCTTCAAGACCAGGCTCAAGCTACAACTCGGATGGTTCTGCACGGTCATCTTCTAGGGCAGGCAGTCGCGCCGGTAGTCGAGCAGGTAGTCGGCCTGGATCCAGGGCGGGATTCGAAGAGCCTACACCGTCAAGGTTTAGAGCCTCTCTTAACACGATGAGGCCCCCGCTATCTACCATCGATGGCACACCCTCTTCCAGCCCATCTATCACCATTCCTGGGAAACCTCCAATGCTCAGAAAAGCTTCTTCGCGGCAGTCGCTTTCCGGTGTCGCTCGGCCCTCGCATGCAGAGCCCGTTGCAACGCCCACTAAACGAGGGCCAGCTCAGGGGTTGAAATCATATGGTAGCCTGACGCCAAGTGGTGCATCCAAGACAGTGAGCGGGCGATTATCCAAACCGAAAACTCCCGCCAAGAGTCTTTTCAAGAAGCCTTCCTTGCCAACGATGAACTCAGGGACAGCCTCCAAGGGTCCATCTCTGGGAGGAAACTGGGATGGCTCAATAGCTCCGCCAGTTCCTACCAGCTCGGCAGAAACGGAAATTCCTGCTCATCGTAAATCGTCTGCCGCGCTCCGCGATCAAATTGCCAAGGCAAAGGCCGCTAAGAGAGCGGCAATGAAGCAAGCACCAACCTCTGCTAGTGGAACCGAAACAGCCACACCGGTGGCTATCCCAGAGGACGATCAACCAGACTTTGAGTTGATGCACGGTGACCCTTTTGGTCTGAACAAAGGCGAAGAGCCGCAGAAAAAGGTTCTTGCTCAAAGAGTTGGTGTTGGAAGAACAAGCGGAAGATTGAATATTGCTGCGCTTGGCTTAAAGGAATTTCCCGCTGAGGTGATGAAGATGTATGATCTAGACAACATCGGCTCCGGCAATGGGAGCTGGGCCGAGAGTGTTGATTTGACGAGACTTATGGCGGCCGACAATGACCTTGAGACACTGGATGATATGATCTTTCCAGACGTAGACCCGAACAACTTCGATGATGAACAAGAAAGTCAAGGAAACATTTTTGCTGGCTTGGAAACACTTGATCTGCATGGCAATCGCTTGACGAGCCTACCTATCGGTCTCCGACGCCTTGGTTGCTTAGCCTCTCTGAATCTTGTGAGTCGCTTCTCTTTTCCCTTCCCTAGAATGTGTTGACCGGTGTGGAGAATTGGGCTAATGGTGAGCATAGTCGTCGAACCGGCTCACGAATGACTGCTTAGAAGTAGTCGGTCAGCTCACGTCCCTCAGAGATCTCAAGATCGCAAAAAACAACCTAAGTGGTCCTCTAAGCCCAATTCTTGCATCATTGACAGCGCTGGAGATTTTGGATCTTCACGGTAATGCCATCTCCGCCTTGCCCCAAAACATCAATGAAATGTCCAATCTGCGGATTCTTAATATGGGCGAGAATAAGCTCGAGAACTTGCCATTCAATGAGTTAGAAAAGCTCCCGTTGACTGAGCTTGTCCTGAAAAAGAACAATCTGAGGGGAACTCTGATTGCAGATGGAACGATTGGCTTCAAGCAGCTTCAAACACTGGATATCGCCTGTAACCAACTCACACACCTCGTGCCTACAGGATCGACCATTCAGTTCCCTGTTCTACACACTCTTACTCTTTCGATGAATCGTATCCAGGAACTTCCCGACATGGTCTCATGGCCCAGCCTGTTGGCGCTCACGGCCGATGAGAACAACATTGCAGCGATTCCTGAAAGCTTTTTTGGTCTCGAGAAGCTTCGGCAAGCTGATTTCTCCAGCAACGACATCCGCGTCGTCCCTCCCGAGCTTGCTCGAATGGACAATTTGGCGATGATCAGACTCAGTGGCAACCCTCTCCGTGACAAGAAGTTTGTTTCTATGCCAACAGAAGAGCTCAAAGAGGCGCTTGCAGCCCGGCTGGAGCCACCGCCACCTTATCACGAGGCGGAGACTGCACAGCCCACAATCTTGGATGTCCTCGCGGATGCCAAAGACAATGTCATTGGCCCCCTTGCCAGCCAAGGAGTACCTGACTCTACTATCGTTAAGGAGGATGTCGACTCGGACTGGGAAGAAGATTTCGCGACACCTCCTACATCTGCACCACACTCGCCAAATCGCTCTCGGTCCCAAACTGTCTCCAGTATGAGGTCTCGAGCTCACACGCAGTCGAACGAGGTCTGGCCAGTGAAGCAGGGTGGACTCCTTGACCGATCTCACACTGAATCATCTACCTTGCAACCAGCGATTTGCGTAAGAATCGCGGCACAGAACCAAATCAGACAAGTACACATTCATCACAATATTTTTGCCATCATCCCCCTTTCGCTGAACTCGTTCGCTTCGACGCTCAATTCTCTATCCCTAGCCAGCAACCAGCTAATGGGGGATGCATATCTTGATGAGCGCTTAGGGTTGCCAGTTCTGAAAGAGCTCAATCTCTCCTCCAACCGCATCACCGGTTTTGACTCTCTCATAAAGCATCTCGAGGCGCCTATGCTCGAAAAACTTGATGTGTCCCTGAACCGCATTTCCGCTCTCCCGCCACTGAAGGGCTCGTTCCCAAGTCTGTCAGTTCTCCTTGCGTCAACCAATCAACTCACTGAGCTGGAACCAGACTCTATCCAAGGCCTCAAGATTGTTGACGTGTCGAGTAATGAAATTGCGCGTCTGGATCCCCGAATAGGACTTCTTGGAGGCCCGGGGGGCTTGGAAAGACTTGAGGTAGCAGGTAATCGCTTCAAGATTCCTAGATGGGATATTTTGGAACGTGGAACCGCTGCAACATTACAATGGCTACGCGGGCGAGTACCCGCGGCAGAGCTCGCTGAATGGAGAAACGTGAATGGGGAGGATGACTTTGATGATATCAACTAGTCACCCAGAGCTATTCCTTGTGCATACTAAGGCGTTGGGCACCATGTTTCAAAATGATCGAGCTAAAGAGGTTTGGGTATATATAAAGGAGTACCATAGCATGTGGGCAGTTCAGCCCTTGATAACTTTACATCATGGGAGGCGTTATCATTGTCATAATCATTCATACTACATATTATAATACATATTTCGAATTTGTTTCGGGGCTCAAGTCGGGTAGAAACGACAGAAGGGTTCTGGTTTTACATAATAATAAGGGAATCTCCATGATCGCGCATCAAGCCCTCCTTTTCTGATATTATTCTACTGAAAATAATACCTACCTTCTCCCATGATTCCTTCGCCACTGCCGGGTGTTTGCTCCTTCCAACGGATGTGGCATGACGTCCAGAGAGGAGAAGGAGTTAATCACTAAGTAGTAAGTGGCGGCCATCTCGGAAGTCCCTTGGGAAAGACAGAACTACAAGCTAAACTGAGACGACTCCCCTTGAGCTAGCCAGATTATTATTGAATTAACAACTACTCGTATTCAAGATATCATATCATCCCCGTTGTCTGACTACGCGACTCACGGAATCAAGCCTTGAAATCTACGTACCCAGTCCTCATTGGCGAACGAACACCAGAGGCAGCCGCCACACGCCGGGGGACATAATTTCCACCAAGCGCCATGGCCGACGCAGGTCTTTCATCAACCGAGCAGGACCCTTACACGGCGGCCGTCAGGGTCCTCGCGCCCATCACAGCCCTCGGGTGGCTGTTCTTCGGGATGATATGCGTCCTGTCCATCAACGGCCGGGGGCGAGCCGGGCGGTGGGTGCCCGAGTGGTATCTGGACACGCTGGGGACGAGGAGGGACCGAGCCTGGCTGGTCGGCTGGTGGGTGGTGGTGCTGGTCCTGTGGCCCGTCATCCTGCCAATGGTCCTGGGGAAGCGAGTTGTCGACTGGGCGAGGGCATCCTGCGGCGGGGAGCGAGGTGCTGCCACCACGACGCAATTGGAGGAGGGAGCGGGACCGGGCCTGGGGAAGAAGACGATGGGCAAGGGGGGATTCGGGTGGTGGTCATGGAGAGGACGGAAGGGGGCGATGAAGCTGGGGAGTGAGGACAGTGCTGAGGGCAAGACATCGAAGTGAGATCCCTCCTTCGCTTGGTGAGGTTTGGTGTGGTATGTGTGGTATGGTGCCGTGCCGTGCCGTTCTATTCCGCTTTGTTTTTGTCAATGCGTCACGATCAGACTCAGGGGATGGACGGGATTTCCTTTTCGCGAGACGGGGGGGCAGTGCCCAGACGGGATGCGTTTTCGTGGGGCGGTATGAAGTGATTATGGCTTTTGGCGTTGTTATTGTTTTGATATGGCGGGTAGGAGTCGTGGCTCGTTCCAGTCACGAAATATGGGCAGCTAAGCAGCTATCGTGATACGACTTACATGCTTTCCGGACGAGCTATAATACGAGCATACATTGATTAATCGATTGGTATCCAAGCCGGGGCGTCGAGCCGTTGGGAGCTTCATCTTAGCCTGGGCCGAGGTGCTTTTTTAGGACAGCTATTAGCTCACAACGTGGACATGTTGCATCTATTGTTGTTGTTCCCCTTGGCACGAACGAGACCGCGTTTTCATGCATCGCGACTGGCTGGAGCGAACCGAGGGTAGAGAACGTCAAGGGGGCGTGCTCTTATTGGAGCCAGGAAGTTTCTTTTTTCCTTGCATTAGCTCTTCCCACGCAAGGGGCGGGACACGTCGTTGGATGAAGTCAGACTGTACTGCCAGAGCCTATACCCAGTCAATCTCCCGTTCACGCTCTGGTAGGTTGTAAGCTGGCGGGATGTCATGCCATGCAGTGTGCCAACCACCATGATAATATGGCAGTTATGATATCCAAGGTAGTATTCAAGTTCTCGATCAGGCCGCCGCTGGGCTGCCGAAGGACGGACCCCTGGCCGCAGCGACTGGAGCCCTGGAGATAGGCCGGGGACCCGCAGCAAGAGCATGCCCCTAGCGCAAATGCTGCAGCCACAGCGCTCCACCACGCTCCAGCCCGGCCACTGGCTCCGTCAGAGTTTGAGTGTTCCATTGCTTCGACGCTTCCGGTGGGGTCGCAGCTCACCGCGGGCCCCCATTGCGGCATAGCGTCGCTGGCTAACCAGCCTCTCTAGTTTCTTTCCCCAGGCAACGTCAAGTTCAGATCGCACACCAAGTCAACTGCCCACCGCGCTGGGCCAAGAGCTGGGAGGATATTTTTCTGAACCTGCCCTCTCTCCTGCTCATCCTGCATTGGCTGTTCGAGTCCTGTGCGACCTGCGATATATGTGCGTGCTGCTCCCACCCCGGCGCCTGAAACCCCCTCCTCAGGAGGCTACTCCAATTCACGGAGACCAATCAATCCCTCCTCGTCACCTCTGTGCTGGCATCCGAACCGCATCCACCGCCTTGTTCGACCGATCTTTCTAGAGCTCCAGTGGTGTGACACATCTTAGTCCACGACCTCCTGTTCCCCGCGCCGATTTCGCCTCGAGGAGCAAACAGTATATGTACATGTCCAGGCCTCCTACGTACATACATCCACACCTACCTATTTCCCATCATGTCTGTCGATATCAAGTCCGAGTCCCAGCGACTCAATGAGACGAATGGCATCAATCACATCGACAATTCACAAGATCCCTCCACCCCCCAAAACGACGGGCCTCATGATTCAGCCCAGACGGCACTGCCTACTACAGAGGTGCCAGCTTCCCCTATCGACTTGAACCAGTCCTTCCGAACCGAGGTCAATGATGACCGGTTAGACAACACCATCATCCCATCGTCTTTGACGCCGCCACCATCCACCCAGGTCGAGCCCGTCAATGGCAACAACTCGCGGTGGGCCCTACCGCGATCACAACAGTCCAATCTCGTCTCACCCCCTGCTACCATTATGAACATTCTCAAGGAGAGAGATTCGGGCTCTGAATATGTACTCCCTGAGCCTCAGGAGATTGCCGATGCAACCACCGATGAGCTACGACATATGCTCCAGACCTGTGTTGCCGAGCACCAACGGTTCAAGACGGAGACGGCACATTATAGATTGCAGTACAACCTGCTCCACCTGCAGGCCGAGGACGACGCTGCACGAGCTGAGGTTGAGCACGAGATGCTTCGCAGGGAGATTGATGCTCTCCGCGCCGTAGAGCACTCACGGCAAGCGAAGCGCGAATTGAGCACCTTCTCAGACACCATGCAGACCAAGTATATGGACATGAAGGAGCGGTACGAGGCAGCAGTGGGTGAGATACACGGTCTCATGAAACAACTAAAAAAGGCCACCAAGATAATCCAGCAGAAGGAGGAGGAGCTGGATAGCGCATCGGATGAGCGAGATCAGCTCCTGACCCGCATCCGTGAGAACCGGGAACATATGTACAGGCTATGCAGCCCTGGCGGCATATTCCATGGTGCTCTGACCCCGAAGCAGCACGGGTCACCTTCTCAGCACCGAGTTCATCGCCACAATCCCAGACAGTTGACTACAGAAGATTCGCGCGGCCTCTCTACCCTTCTTGAAGCTATGAGTCAAGACAACAACAGTGCTCCCTCGACTCCCCTCGTGCCCACTCGCTCGATCGGCGCCCGTCCAGTTGGTCGCCATCAGCGGAATGCGCAGTCATTGTCCTCCCTGCCTACCACTCCCATCAGCCGGCCCCGGGGTCCCGGTCTTCTTCCATCAGCAAGTCTAGTACCCCGTACCGAGCCCCCTAAATCATACGCCGTGAGGCATTATCAACCAGCCACGCCCACTACCTCAAGACCTGAACGGCGGAAAAGCCGTGAGAGTACCATTTCTGTCGACGGCGAGGACACAGAGGAGCTGGCCCGGCAAGCTTTGAAAGTGAGCCAGGCCAGCCGTTCTTTTGATCTACCGCCACAGGGCAACGGTTCCCAACGAAGCCACGAGGGTCATGATCCGGATGTTTTTGACAGCGAAGCCAGCCAGGCAGCGACGGAGATGCTACGTCGTGATCCCAGACAGAGTTTCGAGGTGAGGACATCACAGGAATCTCGGGGGCCGGAACGTGTCCCTGGAGCGGTTGAGCGGTCATCTGGCGTGATGCAGGCAAAGCTACTAGCAGATGTGGGCAGCGGCGTCGAGAAGCGCAAGTTCAACGGTTCGCACAGTGGCTCACAGGATGAGATCCAGCGCGAACAGGGCAGCCCACCCAAAAAGACGAGGGTGGACGGCCCAAAGGAGCCACGGTTCGGGCTGGGAATACAGTACAGTCGGTGAACAGCGGCGACCTTGGAAGAAGACCAAAATAAAACGGACAAAATGAGACGGATGTAAGGAATTATCTGGACCTCAACACACGAGGTAATTGGGAATATGTTTAATCTCGAGGGTCAAGGGTTTCATATAGCGTCAATTCTCTATCATGACAGCGGGCTGTGATCACCATGGGAGCGAGTCTTGTCTCATCACTTTACGGCGCTGGCGCGGGTTTACGGGGGTTGGAGCCAAAATACTAACCTAGACTGAACGTGTGGCAATCTACTTGCAAGAGAACCAGCGGTTGAAGTTGGGTATTCTAACTATCCTGATGGGTAGTTCTAGCTATGCTAGTGAATTTTCTAACTATTCCCATAGCTCTAGAGCAGATATCCATCAATTGAAAACCAAAATATCTTTAGTTTGGATGAAGATGTAAATGAATGACTTTTGTTGGCTAGCCAAGTGAAATGCGACCATGTTTACCGTCAACCAACCAGCCTTGGTCACAGTAAAAATGACTCAAGGATGCTTGGTGATGGATGATAGCTCCTTTGATACGTTTCCTGAAACTCGTGTCTTGTTTTTTCGCTCCTTAATATCAATGTGGCGGCTGTGAACGCTTAGTGTCATGCCGTAGCTGAGGAAAGTCGGCTCATGTGACCGTGTTAGAACACCTTGGATAAGCAGGTTCTAACGTTTCTTTCGTTGCTTCTCCAACTCCTTCAGTTCCTTTTCCAGGTCTTCCATGGAGATGTCGTCCGCAAGCGGCATCTCCTCGTCCTGATTCGTTTCGTTGCCGGTGGCGTCGTTATCCCTATCACTGTCACTCTCGCTTTCGCTCTCCTCGGAATCAGTTTGAGCCATCGGCCCATCGCCGAATAGATTTCTATAGGCTTCTTCCATGCTCAATATATGCTCAGTGGTCACTTTCTCGGGGATCGAGACGTCTTGCTTCAAGATGTGATCCAAGTCTTTGCCTGGTGATTCCTAATCAACCAGCCACATCCCCAAGATCTTTTGGCAACTTTCACTCAACTCGCCTGCCGATAGCCCGTTGTTAGACAGAACTCTAGCGTGGATGTTGAATTGTGTCTTGGCCTCTTCAATCGCCTCAAGGGCTTTCTTCATCGAGTCTCTTTTGACCTCTCCCAAGCTTTCATGAAATGCATCTCGTATTTTTTGGCACAGTCTTGGAACTAAACGTTCACACTCCAGAGGGACATTTTCTGCCAAAATTTGTTGACGCTTGGCGTGCGATCCAGGACCTAATTATCAAGATAAAAAGAGGTTTATTAGTTTTAGTTGTCAGAACGGTGGCCAATATGCTTACCTTGGATTTGCAGAGCCTCGCCGAAGACGCGCTCGAGCGCGTTCTCTATATTTGGAATGATCAAACAATGTAAGCCGTTGACCTTTTTGGCAAAGTGGTCCAATAGGGAGCTCATTTGACTACAGAGACTAGTGCCAATTGCCGTCATTTCAGGGAAGATGCAGATGAGCTGTTCTCTGAGCTTCCAATCGATTTTCTCGGCTGAATCACCCTTCCAAGCGTCGATGATTTTAGTCTCGACGTCATTTCGTAGCCTCAATAATGAATCCTTGGAGACTCCCTGCCAATTTCTTTTCAGAATTTCGAGCAGAGGTGTCGCCCTACCAGAATGTTAGCTTGAGTTCCCGCTCCGACAGCTGGTTGATATACTTACAAGTCCAAAATCCAATTGTATTCAATACCATCGGGGTGCTTCCAATACCCCTTCCGAACAACTATCGCTCTGTAGGTTGACCAGTGTATTGCCCGTCGCAATGGGCTCTTTGGGTCTTTCAAAGACCAGGTTTCAGTAATATATTCGCTCTCCCTCTTGAATTTGAGTTTGATTGGGTTGATCTCTTTGAGAGTGTCTAATGCCTCAATTTTCTTGCATAAAGTGTCGAAGATACTCTCCAGATCCTAGAAATCGAATTAGCTCGCAGTTCAGGTCTCAAAGGATGCCCCTGAATAGAACCACTTACTTTCAAAAAGTTCTGGTGAGATTTGTTCAGTCGATCTTCAATCTCAATCTTATCCATAACCGGATCTGACTTAGTTGAATTTTTCGTCCATGCCTGCAACTTGTTGAAGACGACAAGATATTTGTTCAATATCAGAAGCAAGTGCTTTTCTCTTGACTTGGATATTGCCTTATGCATCCATTGTGCTACCCCCGGGATCCCCGTGAAAGTTTCTCGGGGAAAACCGAGTCTTGCCCCTTTTTGATTTTGGAGCTGCCAGTATGCAGTGGAGCTGATTCCCAAGACTGTCACTCCCAAGGTCTCATCTCTTGAGACACTGGGTCCCCGCGAGTTACCTCGTTTCTGCCTCTGGAAGCTTTGTTCTATACGCTCACCCACATGGCGGTTTCTATTCCAGATGGCCCAATGGCTCAGTTGGTGATCAAGCCTCTGAATCTCAAGGTCCGCTTGCTTGTTGGTTTTCTTGGCACGCTCTTTCCATGCCATGATTTTCCTTAATAATGCTTTCGCGAGCAACTTATTATTTGTTTTCTTCAGCTTCTGGTCAACGACTAGGGCTTTTTCCTCTGTCCCAATCTTTTTATTTTTATGGGAAGCCTTCTTGAAATGTTTCATTAAAGCTTTGGCCCGTGATTGCAACTTTCTTTGTCTTCGACTGTTTGGTCTGTTACTCTTTTCCTGTCGGGCAATTTGAATCGCTCCTTTTAAGCGCCCGCACTTCTTCGTCTTGTCCATATAAGGCTGTATAATCATCGGCCTCGATTTGGTCGGTTTTGGAAAGAATAACGGAGAACTTTTCTTTGTTGAAGCGTCCATCCATTTGCATTTGCATTGAATGAAACTTGCTTACAAGCTTCTGCGCAATACGCTCATCGGCAGCCCGATGAACTGGAGCGACGATCATAGTAACGTCAAGCTTATCTGAGTACTTTTGAGCGACTTCTACCCTGCTAGCCTCCATCTCTCCCTGTCCAGGGAGGTCGACCAAGCATATTCCATTCTTCAGAAGCGAAACTCTCAAGAATAACCTGACCTCTTTGACAAGTGGCCAAGCAGCAAAATTGGTACCACTCCCATGAGAAGCCTCTGTCGAATCAAGGTATGGTTTGGTCAAGCCTGCCAGCTCCTCGGGAGTGGATGCGTGGACGGGCTTCATCGATAACTTCAAAAGTTCACCAACCGCAGGGTTGCTATCGAAGATGAAGTTTGCGCTTGATGTGACTTTCGAGCACGTGCTGTTGATAATATCCTGCACATCTTCTTCTTCAAGCTTCCACACAGCTCGGACCTTTTCCATGCCCTTGTTTATCTCATTTTGCATCTGTTCAAGATTGTCCTCTTTTTCTTTGTCGCTGTGAAAAGAAGTCTCGTCCGGATTGTCCCGAGAGATGAATGCTTCAACAAGAATCTCAAGAGTCTTCATGACCTCCGCTTTGGATTGGAAGTAAATGTTTGCGATGCACTCGTGGCCGGCGCGGTCGTCAAAGTTCCATGATACTTTGCACGGCACCGCGGTAGCTGCTCCCTGATGTCCTGAAGGGAATATTTCACGAAATCCTAGAAGAGCATTGAGCATTGATGATTTCCCTGCGCCCGTGGCTCTAGCGACCCCCACGAGCATCTCGAAGCTCTTGTGTTCTTCCCGAATTGAAACTAGCAGAGTTCTCGTTAGCCATGTCATGGGTATGTCCTAGATGTTTGTAGATGGGCTTACATAGGCTGTTAAGAATGGATTTAATCACATTTCTCGAATCTAGACTCTGATCATCGATGTGACCTTCTAGGCAGCTTATTAGCTTGGCAGCATGAGCCTCAGCTTTCGCCACTGCATCCTCTCTAATGCTCAAGCTCTCGGCATCTTCGGTAGGAGTGACACATGCTTGCCAGGCGAAATTCGTGGGGCTTTCAGAGCTTTCGCAATCCATGAGGGAGGCGGGGAGTTCCGGCCGGCCCAGCGAGATGAAGCTGGGTCCTTTTATCCTGGATAATCCGGATAGCAGGTCCAGTGAATCAAAAAAAATTAAACACTGATTTACTGATATGGAGAAGGAAGTGGCATAAGTTGACGGTATTTGTTTGTGGATGGTGACGCAGAAAGTGCTCAGTGAGAAAGAAGTCAGTGAGCTCAGTTTATTTTGTTAAGGGAGAGAGAAAGAAAGAATGTGTAGATGAATGAAGAGTTAAGGCGAGAAGAAATACTGTGAGCCGGAGCTGAGAAAGCAGGCAGGAGCGCCTTCCTCTCTCCACTTGCCTAACTGCACAGCTCAATAAACCACCTAACAACCACTGAAAGCATGGAAACACAATGCACGGCCACCACCTGTCCATCATGTGTACAGAAGTAGGTGTTCTTTCTGATGTGTGAACTTCTCCTCGAAATACTGTGAAGTTTGAACCCTTATTCCACCCAAGTTTGCTGCACCACCTGGACAGATATCCCACTTATTTCTATGTTTTCAGATCCAAGGTATGTAAGCCTAATCACACACATCCTTTCATTCTGTTAAATCTATTGGTCGAATGCAATGCGGCCGCAGGAGATAATTGTCACGTGGGCGGCTGACTGCATGGGTGTAACACTAAGTAGACAGCCCCCAAATTGGCTCATTGGCTTGCTTGTTGGTCGGTTGTCTAATTTCCTCCTTCAGCAAGAACATGGATTCTTTCCCTTTTGCTCTGTGGCGGGGAGAGTCAGCATGGAAATCGCCGTGAAGTTGCTCATGACGGTGGTGACTATAGTCATCACCGCTTGGGTACTCACAGGACGTCTCCGCCAGACCCCCAAGAAACAACCACAGTCTGAAACCTGGACCTTGCGAGTTGACGATATTCCCACCAACGAAGCTGGAGATTTCCACAGTAATCTACAGACCATTATCGACCGGGACCAGAAATTGAAAGACGCCGTTCCTGCTCTATTCCGCTGCAACTCTATCACGCCGCGAGATGATCGCTCCAGCTGTGCTACGGTTTCAATCACTTCGTCTCTCTCTGCTGAAGAGCTATGCACCTTGCTGGAAAGAGCTCCTAGCAAGCACTGCTACACCTTTTCATGCACATTTGATGGCATCACCCCGCTCTACGAGGATCCAAGCCGCGTAGATATTGAGTAAGTCCTCGCTTCTCTCAGCACATACCAACCGTGTTGACTCTTCTAGCATCATCGTAATTCCTGGCCTCGGATGCAACGCAATCGGTTCATGGAGAAATAGCAAGACCAATAAGATCTGGATCCGTGATTTCTTACCCCAGGACTTACCCAATATCAGAGTTCTGCTTTATGGATACGATACTACGCTGCCGGGCAGCCATTCCAAACAATCTATCGCTGATCTGGGCAATTCTCTTATGGAAACAGTCACTGCTTTTCGGTCTAAGACTCAAGTTCGTTGTGTTCTCATTTCTTAAGTTGATGCCTACCTAACCTTCCCCAGACTCTCCGCCGTCCGATCATTTTCATCGGTCATAGTCTGGGTGGCCTTTTGATTAAAGAGGTGAGTCCTTCGGCATCCATCAAAAAGCATTTTACTTACGTTCGAAGGCACTTCTCCTCTCCCGAAGAAAATTTGGGGAGACAAAAACTACCATCTCTCGAGCTACCTTTGGGATCCTTTTCTTCGGCGTGCCTAATCATGGCCTTCGGAACGAGCAGCTGCGAACACTTGTCGACGGTCAACCTAACAAAGCTTTTATCAACGATCTCCTCGTGGATGATGATTCAGAAGCATCGGGCTTTCTGAAAAGACTTTCAGCACAATTTGCCGAAAGTTTTCAGGGTTACTACCACATCATCACTTTTTACGAGCGGTTACTTAGTCCGACCTTGGAGGTGCGCTGCCCTGTCAACAATGCTCAATTATAAAGCTAACATTATTTCCAGCGTGATCAAACTGGGGGATGGTCAAGGACTGGCCGGAGATGCTTGATGGTAACGGAACAATCAGCTGCCAGCACCGGAATAGTGGCTACAGCCGGCGAAGATAAAATCCCAATCAACGCTGATCACTCCGGACTCGTCAAGTTCGGCTCTAGAAATGATGTTGGATATCTCGTAGTCCAAGAGAGACTTAGAGAATTAGTCGAAGAAACAAAACAAAAGGTTTCTCAAAGATTTGCTGAGTCTGGTATGTATTCCGGGTCCCTATCTCGGGAGAATTGATAGTAATAGTATAACCTAGATCTATACTCCCCTAGTTCAGAAACACATCAAGCTTGCTTAAGGTCTTTAGCCTATGAGGCTATGGACAGTCGACTTGATACTATTAACGAGGAATCTGATGGTACCTGTGAATGGCTCGCTAGTCATCAAAACTTCGTCAAATGGAGGGAGCAACACCGAGGTCTCTTGTGGATCAAGGGGAAGCCTGGATCAGGCAAGTCTACTATTACAAAGTACGCACTTAAGAGACTCTCCAAAGTCTATGGGCCCGAGACCCAGGTTTTCTCGTTCTTCTTCCATGCCCGGGGCCACGAGCTACAGAAATCGCTGATCGGCTTCTTCCGATCGATTTTGCACCAGATTCTCCAGCGTTTCCCCGGCTCGCTCAATGATCTAGTTGATACTTTTAATACGAAACGAATGTCAATTAGTGAGCCGGGGAAGAATTGGCACTGGAATCTGCAACCGCTCCAAGAATTCCTGAGATTAGGGCTCCCCAAGATCCTGACGAGGTTCCCCGTCGTCTTTTTCATCGATGCATTAGATGAATGCGGGCAAAGGCCTGCCCTCGACCTGATCGAGTACTTCCAAAGGATACTCCAGTGTCTACCTCCAAAGGGTCGCCAATTTGGGATTTGCTTCTCTTGCCGCCATTACCCTATCATGCCAGGTAATGGTGGGTTAGAAGTAGTGTTGGAGAAAGAAAACCAGAGAGATATTTGCCTATTCGTCAAGAGCAGACTTCTCATGAACAATGATCTCATCGGCAATGATAAGGCAAATGACGAACTCTTCGGTCTGATTGTTTGGCGTGCGCGAGGAGTCTTCCTGTGGGCTATGCTGGTTGTGAGAGAAATTTCGCGAATGGCAATTGAAGGCGAGTCGATGGCTGCAATGAAAGCTGAAATAACTCGTATGCCGTGCGATTTGAACACATTTTATGAGGACCTCGTCAAAAACAGCAAGAATCATTCCGCGATGCTGAACCTAATCCAATGGATCTGTCTCTCCGAAACCCCCTTGATGAAAAGTGAACTACAGTGGGCTCTAGTTGTTGATCCAAAATCTCCACCAAAGTCTGTCGAAGAGTACCTTGCATCCGAGAATTTCATTTCAGACGATAGGTTCGAGAAAAGGATTAAGACTCTGAGTTGTGGGCTTGTGGAGATCCAGGCCTTTTATATCCAGTTCATTCACCATTCGGTCAAAGAATTCTTCCTTGGTCAAGGATTGGCCCTTCTGGCCCAGAGAGAAACAAAGGAGGCTGTTGCAGCTGCACACTCTCGCATGTCTCTGGTGTGCGTCCAGTACATGAATATATGCTGCAATGACCGGGTGGTACGACGTCCCCTACCACCACCCCTGCGTACGTACGCAGCCAGAAACTGGTCATTCCATGCGATTCTTGGTCAGGATGCGCGGGACTTCCCAAAAGAGTTCCTTGACGCAATACAATGGCCAGACGAGGGCCCGCTTCAGAACATACTGGTGCTGTTGAGGAGCTCAGTCTTTCGAAATTTCCCTTTGGACACGAGATTGATGCATCTTGTGGCCAGATTTGACCTGCACAAACTGTGTCTATTCTTGGCCTCTCCTCCTCTCCTTGGCGATGCAGTATCACATCCATCTGAGAAAAGTAACTGTCACTGTTCATCTTTGCTACACAATGCCGAGGATGGACATGGGACGGCCGTACAAAGTCTGCCTATTAAAAAAGCGTACTTTGACTTGAAGGACCGGAATGGCCGCACACCACTTTCCTGGGCAGCAGAATATGGATCTCTAGAAGTCGCCAAGCTGCTTCTCAAGACCGGCCAAGTTGACATTGAATCAAGGGATGAGATTGGCCAGACACCCCTTTCAAGGGCGGCGAAGTATGGATCTTTGGAAGTCGCCAGGCTACTTCTTGATACCGGCCGAGCCGAGGCTGATTCGAGAGATGATACCGGCCGCACACCACTTTCGTGGGCAGTAGAAAATGGACAACTAGAAGCCGCCAGGCTACTGCTTGATACCGGTCGGGTTGAGCCCGACTCGAGAGACGACACCGGCCGCTCACCGCTTTCACATGCAAGAGGGAGGTCTCCGGAAGTCGCTCAGCTACTCATCAACACCGGGAAAGTCGACGTCGACTCGAGAGACAGCACTGGTCGAACGCCGCTTTCCTGGGTAGCAAAACATCGGTTTCCGGAAATCGCCAGGCTACTTCTCGACACCGGTCGAGTGGATCCCGACTCGAGAGATTATACTGGTCGCTCGCCACTCTCCCATGTAGAAGGCAGGTCTCCAGAAGTCGCTCAGCTACTTATTCGTACCGGCCGGGTTGACGTCGACTCGAGAGATGATACTGGCCGAACGCCGCTTTCATGGGGAGTGCAGAGACTTTCAGTTTATGATGAAGAAGTACCCAAGCTACTTCTCGATACTGGCAACGTAGAGGTCGACTCGAGGGATGACGCTGGTCGAACACCTCTGTCGTGGGCCGCGTCGTCGGCAGCTGATGGGTCAGCCGAGCTGCTCCTTGACACGGGCCGAGCCGAGGCGGACTCGAGAGACAATGCCGGCCGTACACCTCTCTCGTGGGCCAGTTCGTTGTCATCCCTTGGGGCGAGACTAGTGAGAACTCTCCTTGATACTGGCCGGGTCGAGGTTGACTCGAGGGATGGCACCGGCCGGACGCCTCTGTCATGGGCTGCAGAAACCTTTCATCTACAGGGAAAGTTTACTAATGGGGAGTGGGTCCCAACTTCGTGGACAATAGCACCCTCCAGGAATACGGTTCAAATGCTCCTTGATACAGGCCGAGCCGATGTCAACTCGAGAGATGACACTGGCCGGACACCTCTCTCTTGGGCCGCAGGGTCACCCAAGTCATTGTTTACAGTCTCGATGCTCCTCAACACAGGCCGAGTTGATGTCAACTCGAGAGATGACAATGGTCGAACGCCTCTCTGGTGGGCCGCACGGCATGGGTCGTGGCTCGTGGTCGAGAAGCTCTTCAATTCAGGCCAGGTCAAGATTGGATCAGAACTCCAGAGCTGTGTTCCGGTTGCCGTTCGATTCAGCAAGGCACGGCGAGAGGAGCTGCTAAAGGTGCTTTCGGCTGAGAGCAAGGGCGAGAGCTCTGGGCACGAGTAGCTGCTTGGGGCTTTTGCAACCTTACATGGCCCAGGAAACCAATGGAGCACGATGGGCGATGTGTCGTAATAGCATATGGTATGAATCTACACATGTGATGTAATTAACTTACATTGAGCGATTTCAGTCTAATTCTTGGATAAACATGGTAGGATATTTGGATTTCTCTACATTGGTGCATACCAGCGGGATGGTAATGAGTTCTTTAAAAACATATCAACCTACGTATTTGAAGAAAGTTATTGTGAGATCCATCTCGAGTAAGTAATGTCAGCAGCATTGTTAACAGTCGTGTCAGAAATATCGTTAAAAGTATTGCTATTTACAAATGAATATCATGCAACTCATCGAGTTTTTCATATTAAGTTCAATTTATGACACGACACATTCTTGATCCAGCAAGGGGGGAGGTTGTCGAAACCCCGATACCACGCCCGTCCTCCTGTCCCTCTCGACACCGGCCCCGACCACAACCCCGGCCTTGTCGATGCCCATGCCCAGGAACGCCTTGGCGACCCGCCGATAGTCCCCGAAGAAGGCGTGCGCCCGGCTGTCGTTGCCGGAGACGATCCCGTGGCCCAGGGTGACCCCCCACACGTCGCCGACCCTCAGCGCGTGGCTCCTCGGGTTCCCGTCGCCGCGCTGCAGCATCACCGAGTACACGAAGCCCGTGTACCGCACGTTGCGCTCCGTCACGTACGCCGGGAAGCCCCAGGCCTTGGCGTCGCTGTCCCCCGCGATGGGGTGCCACGGCGTCACGAGGATCCCGCCCTTGACCTGGCACATGGTCTCCTCGGTCACGGGGGTCTTGAGCACGACGGCGACCTTGCGCGCGCCGGCGGGGGTGCGCACCTTGACGCCCCGCCGGAGCTTGCGGATGGCCACGCGGCGGCCGGACGCGAGCTCCACGGAAGTGGAGCCGGCGAAGCAGCTGCCGGCCGGGTTGTGGTAGCGGGACATGGAGAAGGGCTGGTTCGAGAAGGGGTGGTTGGAGGTCGGGTGGCTTGAGGTCGCCGCATAGCGGAGGTGCGGAGCTGATGGCTCGGGGGCGGGGAGTTGATCAAAGGCATTATCGAGGAGCTTGCGGCAGGCGATGAAGAGCGGGCTATCGATGCCGTACTGCTGGGGGCCAGAGTCTTTGAAGGAGTTGCAGATCTGCCTGGTGTGGGCGTTGTGGATGGAGGGGAGGTAGTGTGTGCCCCATTTGCGGAAATACTCTGGGGTGCGGAGAGCGATGGATATTTGGCCTCTGGGCTCTTCTCCTGCTAGGTCCTCGACGAGAGATTTGTTCAGCTCGTCGTCGAATTTCTGGGCTGGAAGTTCCTTGATCAGCTCGGGGAGCTCAGCCACCTTGGCCTTGAGTTGCTCGTGCTTGAGTGCTTGGTAGACTTCCTTGACATTGGCGGGGAAGATGGATGCGAGAAACTTGGATATTAGCGTCCTCGACTCGTGGTATGCGATCTCGTTCGGTGAGAGCTCGGCGTCTGCCAGCATGCTGCATGTTGCATCGGCGGACCCCATTGGCTTGCCTCCACTTGGGAAATATTCCAGATGGGCCGTCACACTAGTCACTCCCTTTTCATCAAAGGGGTCTTCTCCTATACCTTTCGCCGAGATGTAGATGTCTCGTGTCTGGCCATATTGCAGGTTACCCAATTCCAACCTAAGTGTGCTCTCTGGGCCGTCAGACTTTGGAGCGTGTCTCCCGATATAGTCACCCCTGGTCTCCTCAAGTGACAGTGGCTCTTGGTAAGACAGAGTGAGAACAGCCTTCGTTGCAAAAGTCGACTGTAGATTGGCGACGGCGTGAACAAAGACGGTTCCGATCATGCCAGCATCTGGAATGAAGGCGTAGTTGCCGCCTCCAAACTCAGCGATGGCTTTGAGGAGACCAGATTCAAGGTTGTAGCCAAATCCGAATGTATGAATAGAACCAGGCAAGGATTGCTCAGAACCAGGCTTGGATTTCTCAGAACCAGACTCGGAATACAAAGAACGAAGTTTAGGGATATAACCCTGCTCGGGACACATGTGGTTGGGCTTTCCGTCGGTCAAGATCATGAGTGCCGGCACTCGGCTCGACGGCTTACCCCGTCTCAGAACTTCGAGACCGTCACGCATACCATGCCACAGGTTTGTAGCGTCACGGGACTCGATCTCCCTGACCTTTTGACGGGCGAATTCCTTCTTGCTTTCGGTCATGGAAGTAAGGGTCAGCACAATATTAGATTTGCTGCCGAATGTCACGATTCCTAGGCGGTCGTCTTCGTTGAGCGTCTCAATGATGGTCATGGCTGCATGCTTTGTGAGGTCAAGGACCGAAAGGCCAGTGCTCTCTACTTCGCCGGGCACATCGGCCGGGGCGCCCATGCTCCCCGAGACATCGATGACCAGTACGATGTCACACGCAACATGAGGGGGGTTTTCCGGGTCGATGTCTTCTACCGGAGCATGAGGAGGGGTAACTTTGACGATCAGGGCCTCCTTGGCCGAGACTGGATGTAATGAGAGGCTTGCATGCAATGGCGAAGCTGGAGAAGAGCCAGTCTTCTCGTTAACGGTGGAGGGACCCCTGATTGGGATTCTCTGCCGCAGTGTTAGTCGCTTTGCACCTGAAGCGGGATCAGGTTGGAGTGGTCGCTTTACCATGGCTAGTTACCGGGCAGAGAACGACGTAGAGATATCGTGGTTGAAGGAGAGGAAGCGTTCTCAGCCCTTGGGATAGGCCGTTGTCTGTGTAGCCGCCATGACGATGTGCGGCTCCCGACGACTTATAGTAAACGGGGACGATGGCCTGCCCCAAGGCCCAGTGCAAGGCAATCGCCACGGCATCTAGACTATGCTCGGGACCCGACCTACACAACCAGCGGTGCCACGACAGACTCCAAGGCAGAGTACGCAACCCTGCTCCGGCATGCCAGGAAAGGGGTCACAGCGAGCCGCACTAGCCACGGCACGGCGCCATGTTTTTGGTCGCAGCTGCAGCACGGCAGCCCGCAAGGCAGATCCGGGCCTGCACGCCTGATTGGCCCAGGGCGGGCTTGCGGGCGGCGTAGGGGGGACCGGCGCGTGACTAAGCCGCCACGCGTCCACTAAAGCAACCACAGCCTCAGGGGCCACAGGGCTGTTGGGCTCCCACCAGCTCGTCCAGGGGCCAATCCGCCTGGCTGGCATCATTCGGCCCATCTGGGGTCGCGGCCACATCAAGATTGCCTGTTCCGGCATCTGGTCTGTTGGGGATGCCGCCTCTGCGTGTTCACAAAGCATAAGGTAAGCCCCGGCCCAATGAGCCAGGCAGAATTGCGAGATTGTCAGATCCGATCACATACGACGTCCCCAAGGCTGCAAACAGAGATGGTGAGGTGGCCAATCGCGGATGCAGTTAAAAATACATCCATCTTCAGATTACCCTTATTCCAAGCCTTATTCCACTTACCTTGCTAGTCGGTATATACTATCGAGGCACCAAAGCCCGACATTCTCACTGCTTATCTCACGATGCTGCTATTCCAAGCCGCCTACTAGGCAGAAGCTACAGGGCATCATCGCCTCTGGGGGCCGCTTCACTCTCCACATGGTCCAAGTAGACCAGCTGCGGTCAACAAGAAGACATTTGACCTGCCCGAATGCCCGTAGAATTAACCAATTCGTAAAGATACCGCGATCTGGGCTGTTTCAGTTTTAATCCACTTACAAAAAATCTACAATTCGTCGACTCATCTCGTGTATAAGATGATGGCTCCGCCGGCGGCGTTGCTTGGCGATACTGCGCCTTGTTTCCAGTTCGGTTTGCATGGGCCACATGGCAGCGCATAGTCGGCAAATCCGAGCTCGAACCGCGTACCATATGTTGCTGCAGATCCCACGGTGTTCGTCTCTTCTCCAGATGCCTGGCAGGCTGAGGATTTGTTTCGGCGGCTCTTGGATCCGTTGGTCGGAGCAGAGGCAGATAGGCAAGTGGGTGAAATAAAAAATGGCACACCAAGGCTCTTTTTCCGTAAGGCAGGGACCTCGTTTTTAGCTAAACACAATAATAAGACAATCATATACTGGTCTTATATGATATTTAGCTTGATATTGTATTCAGTACTAGGTTAATTATAATATTGTGTTGAAATTTTAACACTGAACCATCTCGATGTGCCATGTTTTATTTCACCCACTTGATAGGTACACAAATGCATATGACCGGATGCGCCTTATGGGACGCCACTCGATGAGCTACTGCAGTGTTACTGATGCCCGCTCAACCGTTTCCCCACAGATCATCAGGCATGCTCTTGTCTCATCCCTGATCCGAACCAGACGATGAGCAAGGTCAGGCTGGATGGAGTTAGGAGGACGAAGTGAGGGGACACAAGAGGTACTCTGAGGGAGTAGGGCTTCTGTTTCGTATTGGTTGTCGTCTTCCTTCAGCCCGCTAACAAGACGACAAGGTTTCGTGGCTTCACCACCCGAAAATCCGGGGGAGCCTGTTTCATCAGGGAAGCGGGCGAGAGCAAGCACGGCAGCTCAGGCGTGCAGGTTCGAATCTCGATATGACTTCAAAGCAATTGATACAAACTCCAAGGCAGACTCGGTGCCTAACAGCGCATTCTCTTACTCATCATCAAGGGTCAGTATTGTCGATAACACTTGAGCAAACCAATACCTTCATTTCAAGCGTAAGCTGTGATTCATGTCATCCACTTGGTAGAACCAGGCTACAAAGGAGGGGAAATGCAAGGCGGCCGTTTTCGTCTCTGGCTGGATGTTGGGGTTTTAGCGCTGACATGCTCGACAGTGGAATGATTGGCTCGTAGCTCACGGCCATGCACAGATCTATCCGCCTTTTGAGTCAAGGACGAAAGCCGAGGAGGACAGTGGTCTCAAGGTGGGCTCCGCTGCTTCGTCTGCTGAGGAGGCGAACTCGCGGGCTGATCAGCATTGTGCCACCACTTCCATTCATGGTCGTCGCTTGCCGATTGATAGAGAGGGGAATTGAAAGCCAACATATGATGGGTGCATCCAAGCGATCTTCCCCTCCGACAACTTCCAATGCAATGACACTGCACCGCGGAATTCGTGGGCCATCGGGTGACGAGTGGTGTGAGCTAATGGTCTAGATGCGTCCTGCCTGTGGGAGCCAGCCGGTGTGGATCAGTCGCACAAGCTTTCTGTCGTCGCTGGCGCATAAATAAAGCATAGCTATCCAAGCTATCCTGCAATAATCATGCCGGTGGTGGTTCAAGTGCAACCACAGCCCAGAGGTTGCAACCCGCCAGAGCTGGTGGAATGTCCAATAGCGTAGTCAAACCCCTCTTTTGGCCCTTTCCTCCGTAGTAGCCATCCCCTCCATTCGCCAGGGAGGTGAGGCATCTGGTGATCCGTCAACTTTCCGACCCTCCAACCCTCCGTCTCCCCTCCATTCCCCCTTCCGCTTCCACACTTCTATTCCACTTTTCGCATGTGGTACGTGGGGGGAGGAGTCGGCCCAGTGCTGAGGTACCCTCCCCCCTCCATCAAGGCCAAGCTCGATCAAACGTCGGCTCTACATGAGAGTGCATAAAGACTGCATATGTCGAGCATGGGTGCGGCACCAAGCAGTGCTAGGCCCCCAGATGCGTTCCTGTCACGGAGACACGCCGAGAGCCAGCTACCCAGAGAGGGCAAACGTCAACAAACCCCCAAGGACCCTACGTCCGTCCCCATGCCCTTTGATGTCATCGTACGTGTGTTTCCCCAACTGCCCCGTGGGAAATCTAGTCAGCTTCTGTCTAGCCCGGCCGCGCCATGCCGCTTTGGAGCCAAGCGCAGACTGAGCCAAGGGCCATCCTGCAGACGGAGGCAGAAGCGGCGAGCACACCTCCTCACGGCGCATGGCCATTTGCTGGCTGCCTGCTTCAATGGACCTCCCTCACGGCGGCCAGTGGAGTGCCTGCGTTAATAAAGAGGGGAGCATCAGGTTGCAGTCTCTCGGATGCATCTGCCCACACCCTTCGGGGTCGCGGCGCTACTTTAGCTCTCTCCCCACACACCACCACTCAGCATGCATTTCCTCCAGGCTTGACAGATGGAAATTCGTCATTTGTCGCCCTCCCACCTACCGCGTGCATCCACTCATGGCAGACGGCCTGCCGCGCGATGACCTCGCTGAATTACCTCTCGCAAATCTATTCGTCGCCTCCTGCCCTTATCTACGTATGGATCACCTCCCCCCTAAAAACCTTCGTCCCCTAGGTCGCACCCGATGCACCTCACGCCAGGATAGCATGTTCTCTCCCTGCCTCCCGTAATATTTTTTTAACCCCGAACCTCCGCAGACGAGACCGGGGATCTCGGCTGGCTTGTTTTCAGTGGTGCTACGCGCCTTAGCCCTCTTCCCTCCCAGTTTGCCTGGCCTCTGATTGGTGCGCGCCCTATCCCTCGAACTCTACGTAGCAGAAGGTTGTAAGTCATGGTGCAGGAGCGATGCAAAGCGACGCCTTCCGTCCATCCAGTCGGCTGAGTCAACAAAGCCTGTGGGCGCCTCTCGCCCTGCTTGTGCCCTCCGTGTATATTAAGACAAGACCTGCCCACCACCTTTTCTTCCGCTTCTTCCTTTGACTTTTCTTTTCATACTATCTCTTTCTCGTTTCTCAGTAGACTCTTCTTCTTTGACTCGTCGGAGCCTGACTATAATAAAAAAAGAAATCAAACCTCTACCACCTCTCCTTCAACATCCAGCACGCCCACCCATCACCACCAGTCGACATGCCTGCCTTCGAGTACTGCTGCAAGTGTGGTGGCATGATTGTCATCAGCACCACCTGCACTGGCTGTGGCCACAAGCAGTGCAACGACTGCCCTCTCACCTAAGGACCTAGTCCCTCTGTGCCCTCGTGGGACCTGCTACCTCTTTCCAGTATGATTCTCTACTCCAACCACACCTTCAAGCCGGCCCTCTAACATGATTTACAGCGTTCAAGAGGTCACAACCCTTCTACAAGAAGTCAACCGATTGGGGACTTTAAGTGAGAACCGAATCCAAAAAAGTAAAAGAAAAAGCCCCAGAAAAAAAACTCGGAAAATCTCAAAAAAGAACATGTGCTTTCCTTCGATCATGTTTCTTCTATCCTGTTTTACTCGGCTTCCGGCGATTCTGTCAGCTCAGCTCCCGAATTTTCGATCACGACTTTGTTTTCTTGTACGAATTATATGACGAATGCTTTCTTACAGGCTTCCGGCGACGATACCCTTTTACTTGCTTGTTATGCACCGCGACGTTTTTTCCCCTTTCTGCTCTCAGCTCAATTTTCTGCCGCTTTTTCCCAAGGAGTACCCGTCAAGGTTGATTCAGTTCATGTCAAGCTTTTCGAATTTTTCTCTTCTTTTTCCTTTTTTCTTTTTCCTTCACAATGGAAAAACGGTAATCGATCTACGATGAGGAAAGAAAATATGTACAATATAAACAAGAGAGGAAGAAAAAAAACCAGCAGATACTTTTGGGGGATCTTGCAGGCGTTCTACGAGTTTGGTACACAGAAGAGAATGGGGAGTCGGTGTTGATCTTGTCTCATTTTTCTTTCTTAGTTCCTCCCGCACCAATTTAGTTCGAGGACCGGGGCACAAAGCCAAACTCGTGCCTCCTCCACAGATTAGATTTAGTGTAAAATCGATTTATAGGAATA